GTTCTCCGCGCCTTCATGCCTGAAGCCATCAGAAACATGGTTCCCAATATCGAATCAATCGCTCAAGATTCTCTCCGTACTTGGGATGGAACAATGATCAACACTTACCAAGAAATGAAAACTGTAAGCTCTCTCCCTCTTCCTATTTTCTCGGCTTAAAAAAACATTCCCCTGTTTCCTCTGTTTTTAAAACAGAGCATAACTCTGTAACTTCCCTTTGCTATGGTCTAAACTGTTTTTGATCTATGTTGTTGTTTGATCAGTACACCTTCAACGTGGCGTTGCTATCGATCTTCGGAAAAGACGAGGTTTTATACAGAGAAGATCTAAAACGATGCTACTACATTCTCGAGAAAGGTTACAACTCGATGCCAGTGAACCTCCCCGGAACACTCTTCAACAAATCCATGAAAGCTCGCAAGGAGCTCTCACAGATCCTCGCCAGAATCTTATCAGAGAGAAGACAGAACGGTTCCTCCGACAACGATCTACTCGGATCATTCATGGAAGACAAAGAAGAGCTGACCGACGAACAGATCGCCGACAACATCATCGGAGTCATCTTCGCGGCAAGAGACACGACGGCGAGTGTGATGACGTGGATCCTCAAGTACTTGGCCGAGAATCCCAACGTTCTAGAAGCCGTTACCGTAAGTTCACATAGAGACACGTATTTGTCGTCCTTTTTGGTAAAAAAAATCAGAGAGAGGAGTGGCAGTTTCGTAGTTTTGTGTGTTTGCTCATGGGCGTTTTTGGTATTTTTGTTTTGAACAGAAAGAGCAAATGGCGATAAGGAAAGACAAAGAAGAAGGAGAGTCTCTAACTTGGGGAGATACAAAGAAGATGCCATTAACTTTAAGAGTCATCCAAGAAACATTAAGAGTCGCTTCGATCTTATCTTTCACGTTCAGAGAAGCTGTCGAAGATGTCGAGTACGAAGGTAAACAACCTAAACTAATATACAATTAAACCGATTAAATAACCGGATGATCCCAAATTTCAAACTAATGATTCTGTGGTTTTGTATATACACAGGATATTTGATTCCTAAAGGTTGGAAAGTTTTGCCACTATTCAGAAACATTCATCATAGTGCTGATATTTTTGCAAATCCTGGCAAATTTGATCCGTCAAGATTCGAGGTAATTATTGAATACAAGACAATACTGTTCTTCTTTTTCTTTTTTTTTTGAACATTTCAACATATAATTGATATGGTTTGCTATATAAATGAATAGGTGGCTCCAAAACCCAATACGTTCATGCCATTTGGGAATGGAACCCACTCCTGTCCTGGTAATGAATTAGCCAAGCTTGAGATGTCTATTATGATTCATCATCTGACCACCAAGTACAGGTGTGTGTACTACTCACTTATTACTTTTACTTCTTTTACCCATTTTTTTCTTCTTCTTTGGAATTTATGATAGTATCAGAGAAAATAGAAGTGTTAAGGGGTAATTTTGTAATTTTCAGTTGGTCGATCGTTGGAGCGAACGAGGGGATTCAGTATGGGCCATTCGCGCTTCCCCAAAACGGACTGCCCATTATGTTGGCCCGGAAGTCGGAGATCCAAGTGTAGAATGACATAATTGCCCTTCTTTAGCTTTCTATATTTGGAAAGAAGAGACTAGAGAAGAAAAAGATTAATAATTCTTACGGTGGAAAAAAATATGTTCAACATTTTGGTAGGAATTTTTTTTCCTAAAGGGGACAAGAGGAGAGAAAGCACAAAGTGTAAAATAATCTCCATTTCTTTTTAATAACTTTATGTAGTTTTTTTCTTTTTAAGTTTTTAATCTTAGTTTAAGATGGGGAAAATTTGGTTACTGAATTTCGAAAATCAGGGGAAAATGTTATATGTCTCGATCATGTATTTTTTTTGTTTTCCCGGAAAAAAAATCTCATGGATAATTTAACTGATTCTTCTTTTTTTTTCTATATAATTTTCTGGTTTGATAAAATCATAAAACCGTATTTGTTGATTGTTTCTTCTATTACAAAGTAAATATCATTTGCCGATTAAGATGTGACATAAATAACTTGTATTACAAGAGAAATGAATCGAAAATATCTAAAAAATTCAAAACATGTTATTTAAATCAAAGGTAAATTGTTTATATGTACGTATACAGTCTTCACTTTTATGATGTAGATATTTTAATTAATTGTGTGTAAAGTTAAATCAAGTCATTGCGCCATCTTAAGAATTAATCATTTGGTGTTCGAGAGGGTTTTCTAAGCGTTGATGACTAGTTGGGTCAAAGTCAAAGAAACTCCATATAATTAGTGAAATGGTAAAACAAATAATATAAATTTATTAAATACATTCCCATGTAAATTGGTTTGGACCGTACCAAACTACCAATTGTTCAGCACTAAGTTAGTTCAACAATCCGTGAATCTGAAGATGCACTAACCACGCTATATTGTCACTACTCGTAACAACAATATGTATCTTTAGTGATTCTACTACAGTTTTGAGAATGGTTGGTTCGTTTTCTCTTTACTAAAAGTTTCAATACAATCATCATATTAACTACACCTACCACATAAGCCTGTTTCAGGAAAAAAAAAAAAAAAATCTACACCTACTACATATTTTTTTTTGGTAGACTCACCACAATATAAATGAATATGACTATAGTATCGCCACAATCACTATAGAAATGACGTAAAAAAAGAAAAAAAAAAAATCCGACTGTATTCAAATAATTTAACGGACGACTCTGACCATTCCATCACCCGTGAATTATGTTATGTGGCCATCGTCGCTGTAATTACATTACTTTTCCAACGAAATGATTATTTTATTTTAAAATTTTCATTGGTGAGATATAGATGATTTTTTTTTTTTCAACGACTGAATTTTATTTAAAAATTTTCACTGGTGAGGTATAAATATAAAATCACCTTTCACGATATTATATGATGTACCATGATTGAGAATATTGAGGAACAGCTGTTATTGCTTCCTCGACCAACAAATATCAAACCGGCTATCAATTTGTTGTAGTCACCATCTTGTTGCGTCTTGTTATCTTGTTTCTTTAAGATTATGTATTTATATTCTGATATTTTCTCTCTAAAGAAATAATTGAAAAGCAAATAGTATTAATATCATCTAATGGGGACATTGGACAAGTGAACCAACTTTATGATATCATAAAATTCGATAATAAAAGTTGTCATCTCATAGAAATATAAAACATCAATCTTATGCATCCTTTTTCTCTCTAAAATTTTATCGACAGTAGAGAGATATATTTTACAGCTAGATAAATACTGATGTGATAACTAAGTGTCTATATATATTATTAATACTCTATAAAGTAAAGAAAGATCGTTTGAGGCATTATTATTAATATTATGTTTTACGTGTTTTGGGGTCTTTGTATTACTTTACGTCATGTTGTCGTCCTTTAAATGTACCATGCTCCATGATCTTCACGTTCACCTTCTAATTTTAGAATAATATAGATATTACATGATAGATGGTCCCGAATATGCCGGTCCGTGTAGTGAGTTTGTATTCTTACTGAAGTTTATATATCAATCAGTGGTGTCCTTGCATATATATGTGGATCGTTGTATACATATCATTTTGAAGTTTTGCGAATCCAGTCCTAAAACTCCTTACAATATTTATAAGAATGTATTTTGTTATAAACAAACACAAGCATAACTTAAACATTCATAACATGCTACATATATATCGACGTTTTTTTCTACGTACGTAATCAGATTCTTTCAATGTCCTTAATATCTGTTTATATTCGTACCAAATCGGCTATATTCTCAATATATATTTGAATAGGAATAATGATGATGAGGTCATAAGTTAATTTTAATGTATTAGAGACCTGTCGCAATCTAATTGCACCAGTGCAAGTTACGATATACACTAACATACATAAGGAAGCAGACATTGTGCTTTGACCTCAAATAAAGAACTAAATAAGAATGATATAGCTCTTAAGTAGAAATATCAATTTGACTAACATACATAATTTTTAATTATATCTTTCATAAGTTAAGTACGTGTACAATCGCAACTCCAATACGTGGATTGTTGCAGGATTAGTAAATGTGATTATTTTAATTAATTATGAAGAATAAACAGTCTGGCAAAGAGTGTTTGTATATTAGTTGACTTGAGTGGCTGTAAGCCTGTAAGCCATAATCTAACATCTAGATAAATATTTTTTGTTTACGAATTGTTATTAAATCAGTTTATATATATGTCATCTTTTATCTTCATATTTTAGACTTTTTCATGGTTTTTTGATTCAAAATTATATGATACTCGAAATTCATTTTTAACAAGTATACATACACCCACACAAATCAAATGATAGAAGAAACCATATATATATATCTCTCAAGCGTGATGATTCATATGGTCGGAAGAAAGTACAAAATCACAAGGGCTTGTTTGTTGAGTGACTCGAGTCCCAGTCATCCATTATGAATGTCTACTGATACACCAACAGTGTGATTTTATTTATTACAGAAAATTATCAACAGTGTGATATATATATATATATATGTGTGTGTGTGTGTGTGTAAGTCACAAGATGATTATTTCCCAACCTATGAACAACTTTTCTAACCTTAGAAAATATTGTGCATGAATTATAACCGAACCAATACCAAAGTACCACTCACCTTAATTGAACCAGTTAACCTGAACACAATATATGAACCGGTGATGAGAGGGGAATTGTCAAAGGTTTAAAAGCCACGATGGTGAAGTTTGGGGCGGGATTAAATGGCTTGATGCTGTGCAATGAAGCCCATATATAGAGGGCCCATAACTAAACCCAAACATGTAGCGGCACCGTAATCGTCTCTCTCGTATATAAACCTCATTTTCGTTACATTTCTAATTAAATAACCAAAGAGGAAGAGAGAGAAACAAGAAACTAACAAACTTAAAGAGGGAGAGATAGAGTGATCAAGAACTCAATTTTCCCGCTATTTTCTTCGGTTGACGAACAATGGAACCCGAGACTTCGTTAGGGTCATCGTCGTCTTCATCTCCACCGGAGAATCTCGTCGACTCCTTCATCGGAAACTTCGTCGCTCTCATCTGTAAAGACGATAAGCGATACGAAGGCATTGTCTCCCACCTTAATCTTCATGAATCGTCGTTAGGTCTCCAAAACGGTAAAAGATTTTGGTTTATACCTTCTCCAAGATCCTAGTTTAGTTAACTACCCATCTTTATGATTTGATTTTATCCAGTTCGTTCGTTTCTTTGGTTTTTGTTAGAATTTTTCGGTGAAAGCACAAACCCTAGAAAGATATGTGTACAGTATGTAATCATTAAAGAATCACGGATCACCACATGTGATTATCTAGCTTTATGTTTGCAGTGATATGTTATGGAAGAGAGGGCAAACCAGGACTCCAGCTTCTTTATGAAGTAAACGACCACATGATTTTTAGGGGAAGTGACATTAAGGTATAATCTCTTGTTGCTACTTGATTTCTTGTTGTACATGATATAATCTCTATTCTGATTGCTGCACCAATGGGGAACAAAAGGGAGGCATAGTTAATAAGTTTAAGGTTTAAGGCTACGTTAGTTAGTTTAGGGTATTAGTAAGCTAGGTTTGATATACGTTTCTGGAAAGCTATATACGCCGTACTCATGATACGTCGTATTCGAATACATTCGTTTGTGTGTTTATATATACGTCAGGTTTAAGGTCATTATTCATCATCGTACTTACTTGCTGCATAAGATACTTTTTGGCATCAAGTAAACTAGTATATTTTCTTATGTTCGTATATATTTACTTTCCAGGATATCCAAGTTCTCTCTCTGCTAGCACCACCAAAGCCTGAGTCTCTCTTAGGTCATGTCGTTAGTTTAATAACAACGGAGGAGGTGAGGTGTGAGGGCCTAATCACCCACGTAAACGTTCATGATTCCCTCATATTCTTAAAGAATGGTGAGAACATTTGCAGTTTTTTCTGGTTTCTTTTTCTACCTATAAATGTATATTTATATATCTAGATGACTATATATACTAATATACTATAATATTGATTCATTTTAATTTGCAGTCGTGTGTTACGGAACTGAGGGGAGAGAGAGAAGGGGCCGTTTGAGATTTGCACCTTGCAACCAATTAGCTGGTCCAATCCACTTCCAAATTAGGGACATCAAGGTACGTGCAACAATAACTTTCTCCTACGTACGTACATTCATATTTAATTAATTAGTTTCTGTACTATACAATTTACGATCAATTACGATTTACAGGATCTGGAAATCATCTTTATTCATTTGGAACTTTCAGTGGAAGAGAGACAAGAAATTGCTCGTGGGACTAGTGAATTTCCTCCATTAAGTAGATCACACATTGGTCATCATCGCCAAAGTGGCCTTTGATAGTCTCATGTCACAGCTTCTTTCACATGTCAGAGACAAAGAGAAAAAATCATATAAGAGCCTGCTCCCTGATTTGTGATTTGTGAAGGATAATACATATGAACCTACTGTTTATTAGTGGATTTACATGGTGTTCCTACTTTTCCTTTTTTGCTGGTCTCCCTTTTGTCACACTTATTTAACAATTGCATGCCTATTTGTCTCACGTCTCTGTTTAGCAATTTTACTAGCTAATGTAGGAATTTAAGTAGCTTATAAGTTACTTTTATATATTGAGTTTAGGATTTTTTGGTTTTTTGCGTTGTATGAGCAAATATTGGGAATATTACAGTATTTAGTTCATATTGCTGTAAAAAACACCAAATAATAATCTTTTTTCTGTTCGTATTATTATTTTATTGTGTAATTTCTGTAAGATTGTACCAATCATTTTCTTTTATAGAACGGGTGGTCACGGACTCACACGATCTTCTTTTTACAATTTGTTTTAGGACTAGTAATTTTTCTAGGATTACATATTAGAAAAAAAGATTATTATTTTCCTTGATAATGATAATGATTATATGGGTCGCGATAATGATAAACTTAAGAATATAAATTAAATAGGAAATACTTAGGCTATAAATTATACACCATGCATACACAATAAGATTTCATCGGTTTAACTAAGAAAACAAAAGGCAAGTGTTTTGTTTTCAATTGATAAAAACCCTACTAAGAGTCTAATATGGAACCACCAAGGGAGCCAAACCCTCCTTGTCCGGCTACGCCACCATCTCCGTGGTTGTTTTCGTCTTTACCGAAGGACATCGTTTTGAGTATATTGGCTCGCATATCGACATCTTACTACCCAACGCTCTCTCTTGTCTCCAAGAGCTTCCGCTCGCTCCTCCTCTCTGAAGAGCTCGACGCTGAACGATTTTACCTTGGAACTCGAGAACAACGTGTTTATGTCTGTCTACAATCTCCCACCCAACCTTTTGATAGTAAGTGGTTCAGTCTCTGGATAAAGCCCTACAATCATCAGCCCCTAACCCATTGGAAGATCGACGTCAAGTGTACCGGACATTGGTTGCTTCCAATGCCCTCTTCCTATTCCCGTCGCTTACAACTCCACGAAACTGTTGGTTCGGAAACATATGTAATCGGTGGACAAAACACGCCCTCTTCCTCGGCTGACGTGTGGGTCTATAATAGGCTTATTGGCAAACGCAAAGCCCCCAGCATGATGGTGGCTCGTAAGAATCCCCTTACGTGCTCTCTTGATGGCAAACTATATGTACTGGGAGGGTGTGAACCAGATGAATCTATGCTTTGGGCTGAGGTTTTCGACCCAAAGACTCAAACTTGGGAAGCTTTACCAGATCCTGGAGTTGAGCTCCGGTACTCTTTGGTCAAAAAGCTCCAAGCGAAGCAAGGAAAAATTTATGTGAGGAGCAATAAGAAGAACTTTGTTTACCTTACAAAAGAAAGTAGGTGGGAAGAAGCTGACCCAAACTTGGGCGAGTGTATGTGTGAGATAGAGAATGTATGCTACCGTTATGGTAATAAAAGATATTGGTGGTATGACACAAAGTGCGAAGAGTGGAAAAAAGTCAAAGGTTTGAGTCAACTTTACGGTCTACATAGACCTACACCTGATATTGAATTAGGTAATTACGGTGGAAAACTCGTTGTCTTTTGGGACCGTGTGGTGTCGTCTCGTATTTGTGCAACCAAAGAAATTTGGTGTGCTATGATATCGCTTGAAAAGAGTTCTGATGAAGTTTGTGGCCACATTAAATGGATTGATGCTGTGCTTATTGCCCCTTGGTCGTATACACTCTCGCATTGTGTGGACTCTTTGCAATGATATCAACAATGTCCTTTTTGCTTTGACCTTTCACGGTCGTTTTTTTCTTTCTCTTTTTAGGGCTTATATGTAGTTTTTACTTTTTAGTCTTAGCAGTATTTTTCTATATTGATATTTCTATTTGTTTCGGTCATGTTCTTTATTAATTAACAATATTTATTATTTTTCTTTATAATCAAAAACTCGTAAAGGAAATATGAATGACGCTTGACAAGTGTTAACATGGCATAACACCTCTATAGATTGTGTATATACGATTTATATTGACATGAAGTATGAGTTAAGCTTAAGTAGCTCGCATCAGCAGGTTCGTTTCTAAGCACTTGTAAAAGACTAACAAGTAGAAATGAGATATAGTAAAGTTTTATAACTGATTAATAAAACAAAGCAAGCAGTTTCTTGGTCAGTCCCACTTAATTTCGGGAAAAATGTCAAGAAAATCCTATATGGTTCACAGAGAGGAAACTACACAGAGGCTTTTTTTTACGTACACATCAAATAAGATGAAGACAACAAATCTTACTGTTATGACTTATGATAATAAATGCCACAGTATTTAGCAGCTAATGACCATCTTTTGTAACCTTAGAAAATAGTTTTGCATGAATTGTAATCGAACTAAAACAAGTTCAATGCAGATTGTCAGTAGTTTACACATGAAGCAAGTAGTTGTGACTAGATTGACAAGACTCTAATAAAGTATATACAAATGCAGGGGAATGAAAGTGACAGGCTTTATCACTGCAATTGTGTGTTGAAACTATATTAGAGGTAGCTTGTCCTTTCCTTCAAAGTAACTAGAGAACCCAGCTTTCAGCTGCAAAAGATAAAACATTTCGAGGACAATTAAAAACGGAGAATAGTGGGTTTAAGGTTCTGAAAATCGAATGAGTTATAATACCTTTTCGATTCTGTCAGTTGTGCCTGAGAAATCTTGTGTCTGATTTTTGAGCAGGTGGATTCGGGCTTCCTTCTGGCGATTCTGTTCTTCAGCCTAGACAGTGGATGAACACGAGAAGAAATCATTTTCAAAGATGGCATCATAAGCAAAGGATTAGTGTTTTTGTGACAGTCTTTTCAAGCTTACTTACCCTTTGGAGCAAAACTGTTAACTTTTGTATCTCATTCTTCTTTGCTGTTGTAAGATCATTTGCTATTGCCATTACATCCGTCCTGAGATATGAAGTCATGGTGACAGTACTATCAGATTTCCAAATTATGGAGACTTGTAACAATTGAGGCCAAAGCACATAAATGCATAACAGGAAAACAAAAATGGATTGAGCGGTGTGCATGAGACCTACTTATCTGAAAACAAGGGATCCAAATTCTGTTCTTCAACCAGCTGTTCAACTGTATCAAGAATTGGTCCGACCTGCAAAAAGGAAAGTGTTTCAAACCTTTGAAACCATTCACTAGTTTGTTGAAAGAAGCAGAATAAAGATGTCTGTGAAAAGCACCTGAGATTCGTGACAGTGTTCATCAAACTCATCCTGTAACAGTTAAACAGTGAAAACGTTACCAAGAGTTTCTAAACTGATCATACTATATGAATAACCCATCACATTCACAGGTCTTTTTATGTTTAGAAATTAAGACAACTTGAACAATCTGGGAGTCAAGAGTTACCTCTAATGTCTGATGCAAACTCACAACAACCTAGAAACATGTCAGAGACAGAGAGACAAGATATATCAAAAATACTTCTCCTCGATTTGTGTAAACATCAAAACAACGATGAAACAAATGATTCTACATTGGTATATACTAAAGAAACATACCTGATTATATAACCTATAAAGCGTTTCTTGCTCAGCCACACTGAATCTCGAGAAAATTTCAAGAAAATCCTTGATGATGATGGGTTGGGTTCACATAAGTAAAAAACACACACCAGGCTTATTAGTTAAGTGCATACACACAAGAAACCAAAAATATAAATATAAAAAAAGTCTTAAGCTTTGATATTTTACAGTCACTGGATTGAGTCATTTTTTCCTTTGCAGTCTTTAGTAAAACAAATCAAAATCAGAAGCAAACTCTATTTTAATCGACGAATGTCTCTAAGCATTTTAACTCAAGGATACAATTATCGAGAATCCTTTGAGACCCTAAAACTTCAAAGTAGTGAACAATTTTCCCATAGAAAGTGATTCGCCAACAAAACCCAAAATGCGATACAGGTAAAGGCATTGGCATTGGAATTGGAAGGAGTGTGTGTAATACCTGTTTGGAGCAAGCAGTGAGAAGAGATCGAATAGCGGATTTGAATGATTTCTTCAGATCCGATTGTCTACAACCCGGAATACCCGTTTCATGATCCGGTTTCTCCATCTGACCTGACTTTTGAACTTTGTTTTTTTTGGTTACCTTCTCTTTTATTATGATATAAAACAACATAACAAGTGAACTGTTACGGGAAAATATAAATTTTCTCGGGAAGGCCCAATTGAAATCTAACAATTTTAAAAGAACAAGAAAATATTAGTTTTCTCAAGAAGGCCCAATTGAAATCCTTACGGCCCATATGTGCTAATTTTTTTTCAAATAAATCATTCCGTTAAAAGAAAAGAAAAAAAAAGCTCACGATCGAGAAACATAGAAAGAGAAAGAGAGACTAACAGTGGCGAACTCTGACATCGGTAGCGTTATCACAATGGAAGAAGTCATGATTGATAGGTCTGACATCGGTAGAACCATTAGCGTTATCACATCTGTAAACAATAATTTTGTAATATATATCATCACAGGTTATAAAAATAACCAATTTTTCTTTATGTTTTCAATGCATCATATTATTTTTCATATATACAGAATTAAGATATAACAAGTGAGGTTATTAATATACATTGAAATTTATGTATATCATTTGTATAAGTGAATTTATCTATAATATTTGTAGTTTATAGTCAACTTTTTTTCTCTAAATATAATATTCATTTTTAAACTATTGTATAAATTATAATATCTAAAAGATTCGTAGTAAAATTGTGTCGATTCATACTTTTTAACATTTTGAAAATTTAAAAATACCATTTTAAATTATTAATTTACACTATAAAATAATAAATATTAATTTATAGACAAATTAATATCATTATAAGGTAATAAAATATTTTGGTCCTAACATTATTAATTTATAGAGGTTTTGTACATGTTTAGACCATTGATTTTCTTGACACAGTGCATCAAATTCTACATGTTGCACAATATCGAAAACTTTTCCGGTTGATCATACCATGAGTAACCATCATGAGTGTTTTTTTTTGTCCTTAAACTAAGATAACTTACTAATTTACCTCTGCAAACAAGTAAACAACCTACTAGACAAATTACACCAAACATACAGTATGACATTATAATATATTTGCATTAGTTGATGAATTTGAAAATCATTCTAACACAATTGAGTGTATTTAATTACTCGGTGAACAAGAGAATGTAGGGCAAACCTAAATGAAGCAAACAACCTCATCAACACTAACTGACCCTATCCAACTCGAATATATATATATATACTTATCTGTGGCTTTAAATAATTACCTCAATGTTGAAATAATATATACTAAAACATTAATTAAATCAATGGATATATTAGAAGACACTTAAACTTCTACTTGTATTAGAATTCGGTCGTATGTACTTGTGTGTATATATATATTGCCTAATTACACAATAAGTTTTCATTATACAACGTCGGTATGAAATCTCACGTTGAACCACCGAACGAGTCAAACCCTCATCCACCGCCTCCGTCGCCACCATTTCAGTCGTCGTTACCTGATGATATAGTTTTGAGTATATTGGCTCGCAAATCACTACCCTACTACGCAAAACTCCTTCTTGTCTGTAAGACCTTCTGCTCGCTCATACTCTCCAAGGAGCTCCACATGGCGCGGTTACACCATGGAACCAGAGAAACCTGTCTCTATGTCTGCTTACAATCGCCCACTAATCCTTGTGATCAACGATGGTTCACTCTCTGGATAAATCCTGATGATCATAAAACCCTAACCCATTGCACAATCCAAGACAAGTCTACCGGAAATTTATTGGTACCAGTGCCCTCTTACTATTCTCCTCGCTTACATCATGTACCGGAAATTTTTAGCATATATTCTCATATTCTACTTACTTTTTCATGTGTTCTTTTTAATTACTCAGTAATTTTAATCAAAACCTTAAAAAAGTTTCTCTTTATTTTTGTTTTCCAAACAGCCTAAAGCAATGCAATGATTTTTCTCAGGTTATTTTCTGATGACATTACTGCATTTTATTACATCCGACAGATATAAGAAAAGAAAAAGCATATTAGGCCCAGTTAAAGCCTCTATAATTTACGTTCAGAACGGTCCATGTCGGCCCAAATATGAAGTAACGCATACCGTACAAACTAACTTATCTTTCATATATATATATATATATATCAGCTTAGAACGAAACAAAAATATTTAAGGCAATATTTCAAATCCTGAACAATACGGCAAAACAATATAGAGCGAGACAAAGAGATCAAAACCCTAATCGACTAAATCCTCTCTTCTTCTTCTTCAAATTTGTTCCAGTAAAGAATAATAAATGGAAACTGATCAGAGTTCTCAACATCCCTCGCCAAGGCCATCATCTTCAACTCCTCCTCGTAATCCCGTCGAATCGTTATACTTAGGAAGCTTCGTCGCTCTGATTTCTAACTACGAACTACGTTACGAAGGCATTCTCTATCATCTCAATCTTCAAGATTCGACTCTAGGTCTCCAAAACGGTACTGATTTCCATTCCAAAACCCTCTTGATCTTATTGGTTTTGTTCTTTTCTTGTACTGCAATCTTTAATTAAGGTAACATATAGTTTTTTGTTTTTGTTTTGTTGGTTGAATGTTTTGTGCAGTGATATGTTATGGTACAGAGGGAAGGGGCAATAACGAATTTGATATTCATCCCTATAATAAAGTTTACGATTACATTCTGTTCAGTGGAGCTGACATTAAGGTTAGTTTACGAATTTACATTGTGTTTATTTGAATTTGAAACATAAACACCATCAGAGATTTTCTTATTCATGTTTTTGGTTTCCAGGAAATTATAGTCAAACCTCCCACGAGCTTAACCAATTGTGGTTATTGTTTAGCAAGAGGAACTACATGTAGTAAATCTTGTCAAGCTACAAAACCACCACTCCCTATGATTGTCTCATCAAACAATCGAACCGGTGCTAAGCTACGTCAGAAGCTTCTGTTGACACCTGATGAAAACATCATCAAACCGCAAGCTATGATAGATCCTAATGTATTCTCGGTTATGGGATCAGTCAATGATGGAGTTCACATTGCTTCTCAACCACAGTTTCCCGATTCATCGAAGTTCTATAACCCTTATGTTTACCAAGCTCCAATGAACGCTGCGATATCGACTTATTTGCCTCATGACCCATCTGCCTCTCAGCTGACGTATACTGCAAGTCAAAGCTTTTTCACCACGTTTCCGCCTGCTCCAGTCTCTATACCGCAGGTGATCTCATAGACTCTCTTTAATTTTGATGATGTTTGTTTTGTATCATTCCCTAACTATTTTCACTTTGTCTTTTGGTTGTAGAAATATGGACGATTTGGTTTTGATGCTAAGAACGTTGATCAGTACTACCTATGGGGTCCTGCTCCTCCCGAAAACAAGATTGCAAAGGTTATACTCTAGCTTAGTTTAATAGAGATCTGATGCTTTGATATCAGATGTTTAAGTTCTTGAATATTAACTAATTTTGGTATTACAATATCTGTTATTGTTTGTGTTTTTTTTTTCTTTTTGCAGCCTGCTTATTATATTGATGGATCATCTTACAAGATTTCGCGCAAGCCGTTTGAGCCAATCGGGAGACCTTGCAATCCATTTGGCCCTATCACGAGACCTGTAAAGCATAACCAGGTTTGCTTCACACCTTTTTCTGTCTCTAGTTATCTACTGAAAGATGTTCTTTATTTCATAATTTTTAGTATCTTCATCTTTTCAGGTATTTGGAAATTACTTACAAGGGAGCCTTCTTCAATTACAACCACCACCATCCAATTTCATAAGAGGATTCTTCTATACACCTTGCTAATTAACCTGCGAATCTCTGTTTATGGGGGATTTTAACATTTCTTAATTTTCCTTGAGTCTATATCTTTTGTGGCACATATCATTGACAAGTTCATGTGTCGTTTGGTATCATGAGACCTTACCTTTTTACCAAGGATTAAATAAAGAATGTTGTTCCTTCGTTTTTGTAGCAACTACTGATTGGTCTTTAAACATATGTGTTTCTTCTAGTTTCCAACTTTCCATGTTATTTTTCTCTCTATATTCTTGTTTGAGTTTTTTACTTAAATTTGAATAGGTCAACTATGGTTGACTAGGTATTGGTCCTGCGTACGTGGGTGCATCTCTCATACGTGTGAAGTCTTCTTGTCATTATCCATGTGTTTTGGTAAGTTAGATTAGTCAGAGTTATGCAGACCGGTAGTTGTGGCTTGTGGGGTTATAATTGGGAACGAATCTTCCTAATCGTCAGTCATAAGTTGAGATAAAGAAGAAAAATAGCATAATCCATAGTAATTATACACAAGTGGAAAACTAGACTATTTTATAATTTGTAACCTTAAGTGGTTGATGGGTATGTCCATCCAACATTCCCAAAATATTAAGTGCATTACCAATTAATATATACAACTTTATAAATAATAACAAAAAAAATCCTTTGTTTCCTTTTTTTCTTCTTTATTTATGTATTTTATATTCTGCTTATATTAGTGGAAGACACTTCTTCCACCAAGCAAATGACAGTTTGTGACTTGTTTGTTTGGCACTCATCATGGTTTTGTCCTTCTCCTATGGGTCTTTTTTGTTCTTGGTTTTGGTCTTTGATTAAGACTTGCACAAGTTGTTGCTGTTTCTTTACTTTGATCCTAGTGGCTGATATGGTCAAGGCTCCAAGTCCAAGGATGGCTAAGCAGCCTGAAGCTGCAAACACACCGTCTTTGACCAGGTAACAATCTCCCTCTAGCCATCCTTCTCTATAAGCTTGAGCTCGGCTCATGCTTATTGCAGTACTCAAAATCAAAACCACTACCACAAAATTGGACCTGACACAAAAGTAAGAAAAAAAAAGAAACATATCTCAGAGATAAGGGTCAGAATATAGGGATGTGAAATAAACTCGTAACCTTAAAATCAAACCGAACCATCTTTTATAAGTCGACTGGTTTTATTATTTATTTTATATATATATTTCTTCATACTAAAAGTGAACCTAGTCCAAAACAAAACTTAACAACCAAACCGGAACTATAGCGAACCAAAGCAATATACAAATGGTTTTATTTGGTTTTAGCTTTTATAAAACCAGACAAACCAAACCGAATTACTCACTCATAGTTTATATGCCCAATACAAATTCAGTAGGAGGATATTTGGGTAGGTGGTTCGGGCATTCTTGGATGATAACCAAAGGAAAAAAAATAAAGACGAGAGTCAAATATATTACCAGGAAAGGAGCAGAAGAACAGTTGGTAAACTAAGATCGGTAAACTTGTAACCATCTTCTCTTTTACTTCTTGTCCGATGATTTCGCAAGACAGCTATGTTTCCAACGATCTGAGCAAGACAAAAGCAAAGAACAGCAGCTGATCCGAGCCCAAACGCATGGCTCTCTGGTACATAGCAGTTCCTCTCTTTGTCCCATCGAATATCTTCTTTCTACATAAATATGGAATATTTCAGAAAACTTGGTTCGATTTTTTCGATTTCAAGAACACAAAAAAAAAGAGAGAGACTATTTTGTCGTACCTTTGTTCTCTTGAACTCGGCGGCGAAACAAGTTATAAAAGAAACGAGACCAAGAGAGAACACGACTAAGTAGAGAAAAAGGTTATGCATAGTTTCTTTCTAATGAATTTGTGCCTTAATGGAATAAATCCATCGGACGCACTTACATATATGTATAAAATTCTACTACATTAATGATATACTTTGAATTGTTTGTTTGAGTCAATTTCTCAGGAGTTTTTTTCTATTTTTTTTTTTTTTTTAGGCTTGAGAAAACTTCTTCATCAACTAGATATATAAGATTGAGGAAACAAAAGATAAACAGAAGAATATTCTTAACTGTATGAAATGATATTTTTTTTTCCAAACCATTTTAAAGAAAAGAGATGATGGTGTATACTAAAATGTTAGAATTTTGGCTATATGTGAGGCAACTTCTCATGGTCAACTAAATGAATATAGAAATAAAAGAGAGGAGAATATTACCATAATATTAAATGATATTTTTTCCAAAACCATTTATAGGAAATATATGATTTGTGTTTTCTAAAGGCGATGTCAACTTAGATGATTTGCCTTACATATAATGTGGCCTTTATAAAAAGAACAAAAGCATAATTATGACATAGGCCGGGCTATATAAGTTGAGTACAGATTAAGCCTTCCCAAGTTAAAGAGTTGAAACTTTTTGTATATTTTGCTGTTTTGTCTTTTTTTGTTCTAGAACTAAAATCTGAGAAATCGGTTTTAGTTTCAAATCATCTATTGCCTACTAGGCTAAGAAATATTATCCATTTTGCTCATTTTGCTTTCTTCTTTATCAATTTGATAATAGCGTTTACTAGTAATAAATTTTACGAATAAAAGAATATGAAATTTATCGCCTAATTGTTACTTAAGACAGAAATTCTTAATAGAAGCTAAATAAAAGTCCTTTTAAAATGTAGAGGAGAACTCCTTAATTATTCCTCTTAAGAACATCAACAACGTTAAGTCCAATACAATAAGCAATAGACTGAACGGTGACCATCGGATTTACCCCTAAAGCCGTCGGAAAAACACTTGTGTCGGCCACGAATAAGCCTTCGACCTCCCAAGTCTCTCCTGTTGGCCTCACTGCGGATTCCTCCGGCCTAATCCCCATCCTACAACTTCCCATTTGGTGAGCTGAACATATCTGGCCTGACAAATTCTTCAACGGCTTTGAACTCTCTTCTCTCACAAACCGCTCAAACTCTACAGCACTCGCTCTTCTAACGTTCAAACTCTTACCTTCTGAGTTATGCGTCCCAATCTCCTCAGCTCCGGCTGCGGCCATAATTTTCAAGACTTCCTCAAGACCCTTCTTTAGACTCTCTTCGTCTTCATCGTTTAAGTTGTAGTCAATGTAGCTCTTGGAATTTATTGTTCCGGTTCCTTTATCTCTCAAAAGTGCAAAAATGTGCGCGGTTCTTGAGAATTTGAGCATTCGGGTTTTGAAATCCTTACTTGATGCCCAAGGAGTGACCCCTGAAAACATTCCTGGATGTAGAGCAGGAGTCTGGATCACCGTTTCGCCATAAGAGCTCTGCGTTTCTGCATTTACAACACTAGACATTGCGGTCATGATTCCTCCCTCGTAGCTCATTTTCTTCTTCTCCGGCCATTTCTCTCCCTCTGGAAACCATCCCCAAGCCATAACAACCGGATGTAGACAAAGGTTTCTCCCAATGTTACCATTCTTCAAACCACTGCGTTTCAACAGATGCGGCGTTCTAAGTGCACCGCAAGCTACTACCGTCGCTCTAGACTCCACCACATATATCTCTTCTCCAAACGCAAACGCAACTCCAGTAGCCTTCTTCTTATTCTTCTTCCCCTGTTCACATTCGTATAAGACTTCCATCGCTTTACAACCTGGAAGAATCAAACCATTACCAGATTGCACTAAATCTACAAGCCAAGTCTCTGAAGTCCCCTGCTTTTGACCTTTCTTACATCCCAAGCAACAGTGCCCACAGTAATGATCGGATGGAGCATTCCTCGGAATATTCTTCACTGGTAACCCTAATTCTTCACAACCCTTTCTCAAGATCTCATTATTAAACCCTTCCTCTACAAATCCGCATTGAACACCCATTCTCTCACAGACAACATCCATTGCCTCTCGATACAAATCACTTCCGAACATTTCGAGTTTGGACTTTTCTGTCCATTCCTTCATCACATGTTCCGGTGTCTTGATAGAGGCGGACCAATTGATCGTAGAACCGCCTCCTACCGTGGAACCCGCTAGAATCACTACGTTCGTATCAGACGTCGCTAATAGCCCACCAGACAAGTACATATCCTCCATTGCTTGCCCTTCAAGTAAAGATAGGTTGCTTCTTGCATAGTAATTGCCTGACTCCACCACCAACACTTTGTAACCTGCCTTGGCTAACACTCCAGCTACAACTCCTCCACCGGATCCGGACCCAACCACCACAGCATCACACCGGATTGTCATCACCGGGTTAGAGAGAGATGATCCTTTTGATTTATTCTTTTGAGATGAAACTGTGAACCCACGACCAGTTAACTTCTTTGTAACGGCTTCTCTAGGGCAATTGAGATCGACGATGCCATTGTAAAGTGGTCCAAAGATCTCCTCAGGTTTCTTCTTCTTCTCATTTAGTTCTTCTTCAAGATCATGATCACTATCATCTAGGCTGGGTCCATTGTAACCAATTGCTTTCCAAGCCAAGTTCCTTCCTTTTTCATCGACCTGAAAATTAATGAATCACTTGAAAAATTAATTATTTTTAGAAGTTAAATGGTACTATATCAGCTGTCAGTGACAAGTTTCATGTTCCCTACCGAATTCATCGTGTAACGAGTCTCTTTGAAGAGGACATTTCAACAGGTCCACCACACGTAAATCATTGGTCCATATAGACCCCATTACTATATATGGTCTAACAAGATATTTTGCATTTTGGCTCAAAATTTAAGAATCACTAGAACATCCAGGTCATTATTACCAACTCACTCATGCCATTGACTGCATGGTTAAACTCTTCTATGTAAAATTAGTTCTATTTTCTAATTTACTCATATTTGTTAAAGTGAATAAAATGTAAACCTGAATAATTTGATAAGTTTAATCAGTAGAGTAAGGTTAAACTTGTGAAAATCAAATTGGAACGACGATCTATCAAATTACATAAAACGTTAAGAAACATTAGGAGTATATATATAGTAATAAGTAACTAAGATGTCGAGTTTATTTACCTGAGTGAAGAAGACAAAGGCAGTGATAAGTTTGATGCACCTAAAGAACATTCTAAGGAGTGAGAAATAGCTTTCAGACCAATTGAGCAAAATAGCTTCTCTTTGTTTCGTCGGCAGCCGGCAGAATCTCCGGAAGTAAGGAAACTCGCCGGTAAAACTTCTCCGACCACACAAGACGAGACTGCCTATCCAAGTGGAGAGTAACCACAATGCAACTCTTAGTATCCACTTCTTTGGGTGGTCAAGTCTCTCACTCATTAGCCTCGCCACCTATTATATCGTGAATTTATGATATAATTAGTAACAAACGGTTATAATGAAAGGTAATGAAAATAATCTGAATCAGAAAGAAATATAGGAGTATATAACAATTGTCTTAGCTAATATATTCAGCAGAAAAGGTTTTTAAAGAAAAAATATAGATTTAACCAACCAATAATTATACGGCCAAACCAGTCACTAATTTGTAATGGATATGTTGATGGCCGTCACATTACATGCCTTATTTGAGGAATTTAAACATTTGTAATGGATTGATTAACTGAAAGTTTTATAATTGTAATGAGAATTCTCTGAAAATATTAATAACGGATACAGTATATAAGTTAATAAGGAAATTAAAAGCTATCTACAAATGGACTAAAGTCAAGACGAATTGATAAGAACATTTTTTAAAATATATCTTTAAATTGACTAAAGTCAAGACGACTAAATAAGAAATTAAAGTATATCTCCAAATTGACTAAAGTCAAGACGAAGTTAACATCATCGTAGACTAGTAAACAAAGAGTTTCAATCTATTTTAGAATATCTTTTACATGCCAATTTAATTATGACACGAAAAAGAAATATTTGAATTGGTCATCGGAGTAATAATTAATACCATATATATAATTAATTATATCTTATGGAATGAATAAATGGGAAATATTTTTATAGATATTATAGCACAATTTTGTTTTTCTTTTTTGGTTAAATAATTCTGAGATATATTTGGCATTAAGGGGCATGCGTGACGACGGAATTTAGGTGTACGATCGAAATCTGTCGGATCTATATTTCATCACTGAAGAGACTACTGATTCTTTTGTTGTCATCTCTAAAGTAATGATTCTTCTTTTAGGGACCAAAAGTACTAATTCACATGCATGCAATGCACACCATAACACACCAAAGCTTTACCGAAACAGTTTAAAAATGAATCACACTATGAGAGTTTTTTTTTGTCTTTCACGTTTTGTAAAAAAAACTACAGATTTAATTAATTTTTAAAAGGAACCCGCATAATCAAGAAAGAATACAAACACACACACAAAAAACACTTAATTTCATATTTTATAGTATATATTTATTGCAAACCAAAAACCCAAACTTTTGCCCATAACTTTATACCAACAAATTTTTTAAAAAACCAACGAATGGATTGTGTTGTTCCTTACAATATTGTATTATCATGTGTTTGTAAACACTAAACAAGAAAGTTAAGCTACAAAAGTATGTACAAATGCATGTTTGTAACATATATAGTTGAGGATATGTCTTAATGTCTTATGCTATATGTTCATGCATGTATCATGTATCATGTATCATGTATGTATAATTGAGGATCTATATATGGTCATGCATGTTTTTTTTGTATATATTCACTTACGCGGTCAGGAGTTCCGGTCTGAGAAGCGGAGGCGGCGAAATACTCAGCGACGGAATCATCCACGTGTCCTCCTACTCCGGAGCCGTCGATGGAGGGTATCAAGGTATCGCAGAACGCTACTAGAGTTTCCATCTCGCGCTGTGTCAGTGAGTTCGCATAAAACGGCTTCGTTTCGTTTGTCTGCCGGCGGAGGTTTCCGATTTCAACGTCTGATTTGGACTCTGACATCGGATCTTTCTCAAGGCAGCTTTTGTTTTGGGTATTTGTCCAATTATTTTTTATTCAATTATTTTAAGTTGTGGCTAGTGAAGAAGTTATATGTCGTGTTTATTTATATAGAGGCCAAGGGGATTTAAATACAAGCATATAGAAAATTATATATTGTATGTATGTATTTCATATTAACTGATACATGAACCGTATCAAATATAGTTTGGTACCACCGTACCAGCAGGAAAATTCCAATACCAGGCAAGTAGACACAGGTTTGATCCGAATTGTGTTTTTCACAATATTGATAAATTTTTCCTTTTGTGATTTGGTTTTGTATAGAAAGCATGGATATCATTCATGAAGTAACACTTACCTTAGTCAGCCTTTCTTTATGTTGTTAAACCGTAGTCAAACTTTCCGAATATATGATTATCTTGAACATTAATAACATATTATCTTACATTTAATTTTGGATTTAAGAACATTATTAAGAACAATTATTGGTTCTTTCGTAGTCGTGTGTACCTAAAAAAAAAAAAATCAGAGGAAAGGTATTTGACTATTTAGATGGAGTCTAGTATTAATGGAGAATTAGGTGGAGCCTAATAAAATATCAGAAAAATTTACTCTTTTCTAAATCAATATATTTAACTTTGACTTTTTCAGAGTTTTTATGAAAGTATTAAATTCTTTGTGTATACATATATAACACACTTTACTTGTAGTTTTATATAACAATGAATCATTATTTACAGAATCACGACTAGTAGTTCCAACTACGTGTAGATTTGTGTTACAAGTGATTATGACGTGATTTTATGTCAACGAGTTAAATATATGGATCAGAACAAAGATAGTAAATAATAGTTAGCGTGAGTTTATGATATGAATTAAAACTGAAACTTTAGCTATAATGATCATACGGATTAACCAAGTAGTTTTGGATAACACTTAAGTTATGATCCTACGGATCCATCATATGAATAATTAATTAAATATCAAAGGGGTACAAATTTAAATGATCTGTTCTATAATATTACGGATTAGATGTTAGTAATCAATAAAATAAATTTATATAAAACAAGAAGAAGATGCTAAAACATTTGTTTATATATTTATGATTTAAGATAATTATCATACTAAGAAAAGAATAGAAAAGTCTCGACATTTTGAGATTTTGTTAGGGAAGAGGCTGATTCATCCATGTGTGAATGTCTCCAGATATGGAACTCAAAAATATCAAAAGGAATGATAAATCATAATATTGAATAGTTAATATAAATTGATAATGCTAATTAGTATGAGAAAAGAATCACAATATAAAGAGCACAGAGATCGTGAAAGGACCCAACCACTGAGTCAAGGTACCAAAACTGGACCCTTTGAGAAGAAAAAAACAAACAAAAGAAATTGAATGTAGAAGACAGTACAGTTAACCATACCTGTCCTCCATAATTATCACTCATCAAGTTTCTGATTTCCCTCAAGATTTAGAGTTTATCATCTTTTTATTATTATTATTATATATGTAAGTAGTTATAAAGTTGCATTGATATCATCGAGTGTCCAATGCAACTTGATGATCGATCTGGTTGATGGAATTTATTATTATCTCCTATTTCTGAACGTGCTTTAATGTTTGCTTTCAGAAGTGTGCACACACTTGTACACACACTCACATAGTTGCGTATAAGTTTTACTAAACTTGCGTTTGTTTCGGATTTTGGTATTCATGCATGATCTCGATGATCAGTTCAGTATTCGTAGATATAACTATACAAGTACAGTTTGGAGGAAGATATACTTATGAGTACGGGTATGGTTGTTGGAAACTTTATTCATTATTTCATACCCCAATCATCAGAAATGTATTGTTAAGTTTTTTGTTTTTTTTTATTGTATTGTTTTTAATTAGTAGTTGTACGTAATATCAACTTCAATTCTTATGATTGATTAGTAAAGAATCTTGCAAATTTATTGTTTTGTCGCCTCTATGATTTATTTATATACATATTTTATCCAAATATGAATAAAGCATAAATTGTTTCAGATTTTATACATATTTTATTTTAGTTTACGTCTGGTTCAAGTTTTCTGTTTATTCCGCAACAGTTATTGGGTTTTGGTTAGAAAGTAACAGTACATGTATGTATGTTGATTTTTCTAACTAAAAGTATATATCTTTTTTATTGTCAAAATCGAGTTCAGAGAAAAACAACATATGGACAAAAAGAGAAAGTGAAACTTTGCTAAAACATTATACACATCATCATACAAAGTTTCTTTTGTTTTGGGACAACACCATCATTAACTCAATGTGACCCATGAAGCTTAGAAAGCAAGAAGAGACAAGCGGAAGAGAAAAAGATAGAAACAGAGATACATAGCAAATCCGTGACAGAAGTTATGGCTACTTTCCTGCTCTTGTCAAACAAACCAATCAGCAGTAGCATCACTATTACATGTCCCAACTTCGTTTTCAGTTCACTTACCGATTTCACCTCTAACCATTGTGGTCGCTCCTGGAGAAACAAACCGTTGCAAAAGTCTTAGTATGAACCAAACTGAGATCTTGATCAGTTATATAGATGGGGATGAGGGTTTTAAAAGGAGCAAACCTTTAAGGTGAACATGCCAAAGAGACTCGATCTATTGGAAACAATATCGTGTGAAATCGATTCTGAAGTGTCGAGATTGCTAATGAACAGCTCGTAAAGTCCCAGTCCAAAGACTAACATCACAGTTCCTAGGAGATATATATCTACAATATTCGTATATAAATCATCAGCATCAGCATCACATCAACGAAGTTTTGGGCGTATAATGTTCTTAACCTGAAACAAAGACCAAACTCTCTCACCTATGGCCTCAACCAAAAGTAATATCACCTTCCCACGATTCACCGAATACTGCAGAAACGAGTCTACAACATACATACATCCCTGCACCGATCAAATGTTAAAGAGACCGCGAAGAACCAAAAGATGCAGACATGATCTGATATAATAAAACAAGAGCTAGCCTATGCATATATTCCACACAGTTTCATCTTAATTGCAGCTTAAATCAGAGGTAAGTAATCTGCAGTGGCTTTACCTTGATGAAACAGAGAACCGATCCGAGCAACGATCCTAATGTTCCAAGAAACGTCATGAATCTACAACTATAAATAACCTGAAAATTTGAACAGGAATCAGGCAATAATACGAGTCAGTTTCTCTAAATCGTTGAGCCATTCATTCATTCATATCCCTAAAAGAACTCAGCTTTTGTATCACTCTGATTTGATGATCTTTAGAATCAACCCTTTCAGTACCTTCAAATCCCCTAATAAGCTCAGCTTTAACTATGAACCAGACCCATTCAAATCCATATACAAAAAACCTCAACTTTAACCAATGAACAGACCTATTCAAACCCCTAATTCCGAATTTGTACCGAATCATCAGCGATTCAATGAAATTTGAAATCAACCCACTTATACCTTCTCAATCCCCTCTTCTAAAGCTTCAAGTCTATTCGTGGAACTCGATGTTACAGCCGCAGAAGCAGAGGCGACGCGCGAAGAGAGCAATCTCCCCGGTGACCTAAAACTCCAGCTCCAATCTGCGCTCGTAACCGTCTTCGACGGTAGTTTCAAGCCACGAGAGCTCGATTTGACAAGCCTCTTATTAATCGGGACAAAATCGCGAAAGCCAGTAAAGATCGTACCCGAAGGCGACGGTGCGGAGATAGCATTTGCGTTGATGGTCCGGCACGGCGTTGTCATGGCTGGTTTTGGAGTCGTGGTTGAGTCAGCCAGGTGTGGAGCTCTCGGGGGAAGAAAAAGAGAAGAAGAGTAAGAAGGAGAGACGTGTCAGGGAGATTGGTATTGCGCCGCCGTGAGGGAGTGAGAGTTGTACGGTCTCCTAGGAATCCACTTGGACGGTAATTATGGAGTCACTTTTATTACACCATTATAATCACGCGCGCTTTTTTTTTTTCCAACAAAAATATCTTTAAACGCAGCGCGGTTTTGTGCAGACGCAATCAACTGTAATTATTGAAATGTCCCAGACCGGGTTTTGGTTTGATTTTTCCGGTTTCTTAATTGGATGTACAAACCAAATCCTAGCCATTCGTTCGACTTGGTTTGGTTAAATAGGTTTACCTGTTTTGTTCAGTCTTAGATCAAATTTAATGTAAGTTTCATGTTCGACTTTTAAATTTCTTTTCGTTTTAGTTTATGTAATGAATATATTAACAATGTAAGCAAACAGGTGCTAATGAAATCTTTCATTTTGAAAATCTACTTATTTATAAGAAACATAAGCGTTTCAAGAAGGTCTGGTGTTTAAATTTCATTTATATCACATTTTGGGTTTATGTAGAAAAATTCCAAATCCAGTTTTGTTTACTCTATAAAGTCATATTGTTTTGCTTGTGAGGGTTCGATGACGATGGCATCACACGGGTGCTCATATGTAATTAATCATTTTCTATTGAATTGGGAACCTCTTCTTTTCTTCTATAATTATTCAATGATATAGTGAGGTTCTTTTTAAGAAAAATATGGAATTAGTAAAAAAAGATTGCAAGGTCAAAAGTATCGCGGAAAATCATGTAACGGTGGAGGAATTGTCAATTTGTTGAAGATGCAAAAATGAAACTGTCGGCGCCGTAAAAGAGTGGAAAATACCATAACACATTCACATATACATTGCTTGCATACATTGGGGTCTAGAATCTTTACAACGAAACAGACTGAGCACATTTGTCTACTATCACATAAATAGAATCATATTCTTATTAGTTTTGTATTTCTTTTCATAAAACAAATAATCATATTTCAACGTAAGAACTTGATGACCATTAATGTTGTATATAATAATACTAAACAATCTTCTGAATATAGTCTGTTCTAATCTCTTCGAATATTCCGATATAAAGGGCACTAAAGGTATGGGACTGTTATGATCAATTCGTTTATGGAGCATTAGGTAAAGTAGTTTGATTTAATTATTCTCTTTTGCCATTATATTATTAAATGTTTTAGGCGCGCTCTCTTACAGCTTTAGTATTTTTCAAAAAGTTTTTATTTTTTATTTTTTATCATTGGAGTTTTGTATTAAAAACCAAAAATGAAATACATTACTATACTACATGATTGTGATACATAAAGCTTGCCCTGCAAAACCTCCAAGATAACAAAAGAAGACATCGAAAAAAATAGCTAAGAAGAGTAGATTAGTAGAAGACTGATGTTCGCACAAAGAAATAAACCCAAAAAAAAACAAACTAGCTACAACATCAGCATGAATAGAGACACGACCAAAACGAGAAGAGAGAGCTGAAACTATCACACCATTATATACCACATGAAGTATCCCATGAGCGACTGCGAGAGAATACACACCTAAGTGGATTTAAGGAAAAGAACTTTGTAATCCATAAGTCTGTGGATTATACGTCTCATGTGCTAGATTTACATTGTCTTATGTAATGCAACGATATTTTCTCTACAATTGTGGTGGACTGATTACTAGTACTAACTACTAACTAAACACCCATTGTTTTCAAAGTAACCCATTTCTTTATTTCTTAGAAGAAAATAAATATCAACATGAGAAAGTCAAAAAGTGGGAGGAGACGCCAACAGTAGTCCACGTGACAAGTGCAGATCACGCTCACGTGGTTTTATTACGCAATGGGTTTTTCCGTAATTTCAACAGAAAAATATAATCAAAAAAGCTTTTAGGTCGGAGGAGAGAGAATTCAACTTCCCTCTTTATTTATCATCCATCCAACAGTGAGAAAACGAAGATGTCTTTCTTTAAAAAAAAAAAAAAAAGAACACGTGTCGGCGAAGGAGTGGTCTTAACATGTATTAAATACCCTACTACAGATGAGGCTAAGGTTGTCTCTGTTTGATAGGGTTCCTTCTTCCTTCTTCCTTCTTACATCAATAAAAACCATTCTTTGCCTCGTTTCTCCCATCACTAAAACCTAAAGGGAGACTCCTTCTCCTCCTTATCTCTCTCTGTCTAGAGAGATTCTTATATATAAACAGCGAGAGTCTCACGGTCGGGCTCGGATTCGCTTGGTGCAGGTCGGGAACCAATTTGGCTGACGTGAGTCGTCTCTTTATTGGTTTTGTGTCAGCAGAGGATTGGATCCCGCCTTGCATCAACTGAATCGGAGCCCTCGACGTGAATAAAAAACATTCCATACTCACTAATCCAATCAGATCTGGACCTATACTCGTTTCTCCTTCTTTTTACATTCGTTTTCTTCAAATCTTTTATATATGTAGCTTTTGAATCTTTATGTTTCTTGATCTGATTGCACCCTCTGTGTTCATGTTGTTGTTTGATCTCTGTTTTCTTGTCCCAAAATGATGAATCTTTGTTTTTTTAGTTCTGATTTTGATAAAGACACAAGTGAGCCTTTTTAGATTTTGAGATCTAGGTTTTGAAATGATAGGAGATTTGTTGGTGTAATTAGTTTAAGATTCATTAAATATGTTGCAACAGTTAATTCTTACAGTCCCCTCCTTATGGATTTGATTGGTCTTATTAATTGTGGATAGGTTTCAACGATTATAAAGTTCAAAGTGAACGATTTTGATTGGTAAAAATGGTACTAGTCAATATCTCATGTTTACCTAATTTCTGGTGGGGTTTCCCGGTTTATATCGGTTTTGTTCTTGACACTGTTGTTAACTTGTTATGTGTGTGGTTTTGATGATAGTGGAATCATGAATTAGCAGTACACTGTGTGTGCTGTTTGTGCAGATGACAATGATTAAAGTTAGTTATACAACAAAGAGATGAAGAGGAAGATTTATTGGAGGCATATGAATTGTGAAGATTCTTTTTATTTTTTATGTTTCAATTATTTGTTGTTTTTCCGTTTTGAGATATGTAATGTTGTGAATTGTTGAAAGAGAGCAGATGGTGTAAAAGTAGTAAAGAAACAGAACCAATTCGATTAGTAGTACCGTTAGTGCGGAATAAATTGCAATTTAATGATGTTAGTGGAACACAAACGTAACTAAACAAAACAAAACCTAGTTTTGTACTTTTATTAAATGTAACTTGTAATAATAAAGTTGGTTGGTTGGTTGTTTGATCATGTTGTTGTTGTATACATTAAATATCTTAAAAATTAGTTGGTTGTATCAGACATCTATCTCATTTCAGATTTATGTTATACAGTACCTTATTGTATATCTCTTTTTTGGTAGTTGGATCTATATTACAATGTGTACAAGCCACTAGTTAATGACTTAATGTATGTGTAAAGTATATAAAAGGTTAAGGATTTTGTGCTCAAGTCTAATCAGAGAATTAGATTTGAGCAATTTAGTCAAAAGGATCTCAGATTCGTCAATGGCAGGGTCCCTTATTTTCAGCTGCTCCTCTTTATTTTCTTTTTTGTTTGTTTAATGTATTTTTAAGCATTATTGTTTATCAATAATTTAAGTAAATCAATTGTGTAAGATCTTACTCGGTGATAGCAAAATATTTTTCTCCTTTTTTAATAGGTTTTTTTCTTCCAGCTAAGATGTGTTAAGCATGCTTCTTTTTGTCATAGATGTTTGATCTTAGAAAATGGAATAAACTACTCAATAGAAGCAACAACAACAAAAAGACACTCCTTTCTATTTTATGAAAAAACAAGTTCAAGCCAATTTAAAAAGCATACCCTAGTTAGTGAATAGTGGAATTTTTTCATTTTGGAACTATTATGCTTTGTATAAAGAGGAGGCAAGTGTAGATGATGATGATGATCACGATTCAAAGTGTTGGAATTTATACAAACAAAAAAAACAAGAAAGCATCATGTGATACAAAAACAATTTCTTGTCAGGGCCATGAAGTTTCACTTTCAATCACAACCCCAACCTCTATGTTCTCTATAGGAACTAATGGTTATAAGTCATGGCATCTAATCTTGTTTCTTCTTTTTTGGATCTTTCTCTCTCTCTCTCTCTTTTCTTTTGGCAAAAAGGATATTTTGATTTTCAATGATTTAAAAAAAAAAAAAATATATAGGTTTCTTCCCTCCTGGGGTATATGATTAGTCTGGCTATAAGCTAAGTTCAAACAATTAGAAGTTTCTTCATTCTATGATTTCACATTTCATCCATCATCATATTATCAGCAAGAAGAAGATGATAGAGATCTTGCTTGCGATTTTTGTTTGTTATAGGTTTATGGTTCATGATCAGCAGTTCTCTGTTCTTACACAACATATTGGTTCTGTAATGGGCTCTCACTTACTCTTAACTTGTAATTGCAGGTTATATCCCACTATGTCGAGGAGACTTTCATAATCATGATCCCCATTACCTGACCTACACTGATGACTGATGATGACTCTGACATGAAGTTTGAAGCTTCTGATATCAAAACTACAAGCCAGACAAGAAAGACTCTAGTGTTTCATGCTTCAAGAACTTGATCAGTTTCAAGAATTACGAAGCACCAACTCCGGATTCTTACAGCCAGTTTCAAGAATTACAAAGCAACAACTCCGGATTCATACAGCACTGGAACTGAATCTAAACGAATGTATATGCTGAAATGAGGTGTTCACATGATTGTACCAACTGAATCAATGAAAAACTATTTATCTATACTTGCAGCTTCAGCTTATCAAATTGACTACTTTTTCGCTGCTTTATCTTCTCTATGCTTCTCTAAGAAGGTTAATCTATGATCTAATATAGGTTCTTGATCAGCAATCTCTTGTCTAATCATATTGATGATGATCTGTTCTCACACAACATAAGGGTTCTGAAATGGACACTTACTTGGTCTAAATGGTAACTGCAGGGTGTATCCAATATATTGACAAGGCGGTGACAATTGCAAACATGATCCTCACTACCTCTGAAACAGCGCTGATGGCTCTGACATGAACTTTGATGCTTTTGGATATCAAAATCCAACAATCCAGAAAAGACGCTCTGGTGTGTTGTGTATCAAGAACTTGATCAGTTTCAGGGAATACGAAGCTACAACTTCGGATTCTTCCAGGAAAGAAACTGAATCAAAACGAATATATATGCAGATATGAGTTGTTCAAGGGCTTGCATCAATTGATTTCTGAATGTTCTAGTTATAAAAGATGAGATAAAATGAAAATCAGTTATCGCAAGTTCACAACTCAAAGATCCTCCACAAAACATAGTCAAAGCTGGTTTTCAGTAATAAACAGAGATGAAATGTGATACTCGTGATTTTAGCAAAAGATGAAGCTAGAAGTTTTTCCGACTCAGCTGGGATGCAAACTGATCAGCTGCGGCCACAGCTTGAGAAGCTGAACCAATTGATCCATCATATCTGCAAGAAGAAATTTCTTCATAACCATCTTTGTTTTGAACTGAAAATGAGAGTAGAATATGCAATTGAGCAAAGTGTTCAGTGAACTCACAGAGCAACCAAGACGTAAGCCGCGGTCTGCATAACAATAGCTCCTTCACCAGCAGGCTGGATAGTGTTTAAGCACCGAGCAGCAAACCAATTCTCGTGAACTGATGTTATTATGTCTACACAGGCAGATTCCAAGTCCTATTATCAAACCACAAAATATTCTCCAAGCAAAGAGAGTAAAAGCAAAGAAACATTACATTGGTTGGATCCAAGAACAAAGGTCTCAGTAGGAAGATTGCCACGTCTCATGAAATCGATGAATTGCTTTAAGTCAACTGGATAGAGATCTATCCCTTCTTGTTCAGCTCTGCAAAGAACTCAAATTGAGCCTCAAGATTAACAGAACAACTATTCATAGTAAGAGACTATATATCAAAAACATATATACAAAGCATACATCAACACTGCAAATACCAAACTAAAAACAACCATCAAGGAGAAAGAAACACAGAGCAATAGATTTTGAACTTTATGAATTTGCTTACATTGTTGATACGAGACGAGAAGGTCCTGCAGGATCATAGTTTATCAAAATAGCAGCCTTCAATGGATTGCCTAAACAAAATTCAACAATCAGATCATCAAAAAGGAAGACTCTTTTTTTCTTTCTGGGTTCTTCTTCTTCTCTAACCGAGAGAGAACAGAAATCTGAGAACTTACCTGAAGAACCAACGTTACCCGTACTAACCCATTTGTCCCAAGCCCTGTCCACAAACGCCGAATCCATCGATGTGTTTTGAAAGTTTTAGTAAAGCAACGATTTTTAGGGTTCTCACTTTCCTAAACAACCGAGAGAACCAGAGCACCCAAAAATTGAGTAGTACAGTCTCTCTCGCTCTCTCTTTCTCTCTTGGTATTTTCAACTTTATCAGATAAACACTCGATTAATACTAAAACAGAGTAAAAATATACTCTTTATTCAAATTTTGTTACAAGTTGCAATTGCAATTGTTATATCTCTTGACTCTCCTTATTCCTCAAAACAAATTGCAACGATTTGGAAAACAAAACTCAATATTCGAGAATTCGATCTTAATTGAAAGTTTTAAAATTGTAACATTTTAGGGTGTTCTTCTAGTCTTCAGTAGAGATTGCAGGACATGTCGGATTACAAGTCGGCGATGGACAGTCTATCTTCTGGAATGCACTCCGACCATAAAACCAGTTTCCGACTGCTGTTGCAATTCTCTGCAAAGAAAAAAAAAACAAAAATCAAAATCCAACTTACAACCAAAAGATTAAGATGGAATGAAGAGATTTTATAAATCTGAAAGTGTTTAGTTACCGTGTTAGCGACTTGGGGACCTTTAACACCGGACCAAGAAGCGGCGCTTCCGCCTTGACAATGAGCGTGACACGAGTCCAAGAACAACCCTCTCGACGGTGTACTGTGAACCGGTGACAATGCACGCATCATCTGATCTCTAAACCCTGAAATGTTAACACCAACCCGGTTTAATCACTTGTTTATCCATTTAAAATCTCATCTCACCCATCCTAAACCGGACCAGAATCTAAAATATACCAAATCCGGTTTTAAGTATGGAAATTTAGTTACCTTGGACAGTTCTGAGCTGAGCGGCACTACATTTCTTAAGATCAAGCTTACAGTTCTTCCATTCTTTACTCTTATCAACTGCTGTTGGAGCCAAAACGTTCTTGATCTGGAGAAATCACCGAATTCAATACATGTGTATCCGGTTTTGTGTATATTTTTACAATCATATGAATGTATTTTGTATATAAAACATATCATGTACATGTAACATGTATTACCTGCCAGGAATCGAAGGCGGCGTTAATGACAAAGAGTGGTGTTCGCATGGAAGGAACAACATATTGCGGGAAGAAACACTGCAAAAAAAAAAACCATCAGATAATACATTCATAAATCGTAACACTTTATAGATACCAACAAATGTCGAGATTAAGTACGTACGAGTTCGGGTTTCATTTTTGATGTGCAAGAAAGAGGAAGACTCTTTGCAGATCCCTGAAAAATATAAAAAATTATAAAGCAAGAATGAGTTTAGGACTGTCTTCATCATGATTGAAGAAAATTCAACAATTGAGAGTTATTAGATAAAAGAGCTATACGTGGAGCGCGACGACTTTGCTGTAATACGATTGGATGTATGATCCTCCTGAGATATCTTTACTGTTTCATATAATCAATCCATTTCAGTGACAATAATCAAATTTTGGTTCGGCTTTAGTTAAAACTATATTGGCCAACTCTTAAGAGTATATATGTACACGCGCGTACGTACCCGTGGATGAAGTAACCGGCGTCGGAAACACATTTAACTCTAGCTGTTCGGGGAAGTATTGCACGGAAAGTGTCACAGTGTAGAATCGCGGCTAATGCTCCGGCTGAACAACCGGAGAGTATCGCCTGCAAAGTTTTATCTCGAACTTATTAGTAAGAAGTTAACAATTTTAAAATTTGATACAAGACTCGTTGAAATATGAACATATACGTTTTGAGCGTTTTTCATTCCTTTAGCCATAAGATCATCAACCACTGCACGCCAAACTCGTGCACCACGGAAGAAGAGCTTGTTCGACTGCAAATATTCAAAGTCACAGATTAATAATAGGATCACCTACAATTTAATTGTTTTATAAAAAGCAAAAAGACCTTTACAATTTTGAATATGCAAATTTAAAGTCCTAGATGAAATTTCTGTATTTGGTGATGAAAAATAGAAATAGAAACTTCATGCATACTATCAAACATGTCAAGTAGGATTTTAAATCCGAAACTAGAACAACATGTTAAATCTGTATAAATGGGAACAAAAGACAAAACAAATCTAGCTACAAAAATCAAAATTGAGTAACTTATAATTACCGGATTAACGGCTGCTACATTGCCGGTGAAGGATGATCCATCGCAATATCGTACTTTTATTCTATTCCAGTTGTAAAAATCTGAAGAAAAATAAAACCCATTTAATAAGAAAAGATAGATTAACATTACTCGAGTATAGCTCTTAGGAAAAGCGTTTAATCATTAGAATGAAAATAAAAGAGAGTTAAATTTTAGTATAGACCTGGGTTAGTGCTTTGCTTGCCACCCAAGATACCAGAGAAACCAAAGTCTTTGTTCATAAATTTGGACGAACCCTTCATTGTATTCTTACGCGCAAGACATGAGGCAACATCGGTACACCATCCTCCTCCCTAACACATACAACAACAACACACACACACACATACCTCTTTTAAATTCGATTCAACCAATTCCAGCGTAATACATTGAATTTCATTTCAGTGTCTCAGTGAGATGAATATTAAATAAACACTAGATATGATCGGTAACCCCCAAAATCTTATTAACTTCTTACCATTCACACAACTATAAAGAACAACATTTATATATATTTGGGTTAAGTGGTTCAAATTTTGCCACAAGAATGAAGTTTCCTACGTACCTCCATATGGACGATCCAGTTGTTAACCCCTGAACCAAACCCTTTGTCGAAATGGTAAGCTGGTGCACTCCCATCCAAACACACTACACAAACATAAAATATAAATAAATATCCTTAGTATCTTATTGTATTTTCCGATTTAATGCATTTTCTTTTTGTATATGAATATGATAAAAGTATGTAAACCGTTATAGCATATTACCAGCTCCTTTAGCGACGGCGCTTTGAAGATAAGTAATGGGAACAGCTCCGGTTCCGATCACCACCACTGCCAACACTAGCAGACTTGACCAACATTGCGTAAGCCTCCCCATTAATCTATAACAGTTTTATCATTACATCAAACAAGCTTCGATTTAGTTGAAATGTTTTTAACAATAAATATTTTTTTCGATGCTTTTTTTGCCAATATATATACTGTATGTCTTAATGCAAATTATGGCTTTCATATAGTAACATGAGGACTGACAAATTTAATAAATTTAATACGGCATAATTATATTTTCGATGAGAATAAACTACTACTTTTAGATTAGTGATCGACATCATTACTTATTGGAAATCTAGAGTATTGAAAAGTAAATCACAGCAGAACAAAAGAAACAAACAAACAAAAAAAGACAATATCCATCTTCCTTTTTTTTGGTCAAAAGGAAGATGGATATTTGCGTGTTTTAAAAAATCTTTTCAGGCCAACTTTTTTTTAGTTGTCTGTAATTATTACATTGCTCAGAGTGTAGACCACTAAACAATTACTACTACGTACTATCATTACAAATCTATAATTAATCCTTTTGTTAAACATTTGCTAATCGCTATTATGGGATGTTGGCGTTATTTTTAGATGCCAAATATACCCTTTCACATCATCTATGTCTTTCTCTTGTAAGAATTTAAAGTTTTACAGAATATCATGGATCGCAGAGAAATGTGTCATTCACATTAATGATAGAAAAATTCAATCTGCTGAGACCTTAAATGCCTGATTTAGTTATATAACTAACAAGACTAGAACCATATATTCAATTATATTTTGCCATATACTAGTACCGCAACTAATTCCATTAAAACGATAACAACAATCTGAGTACAGATCAAAAATGCAGAACTATTAAAAAGGTTTCGATAAATTCAGATAAAAATGAAGCATACCTTGTGAAAAATGGAGTCCTCTAAATTATATTCTTTGCTTAGAGAGAAGAAAAATAGTTTTTGTTTATGTAGTTGGTGTTGGTGTTATAATGAAAAGGATAGAGAGGAATCTAAAAGAGAGAGAGAGAGAGAGAGAGAGAGAGAGAGAGAGAGAGAAGGAGGTTTAGAAGTTTTATGGAAGCCAGCCATTGTTGTCTTCTTCGTTATATAGATACTTCCACAACTTGCTAATTATTTAAAAAAACACAACTTTTAATTTTTCTCCTTTTGTATTTATTCTTTTGCTTTGCTTTAATTTTGCATAAAGGTTCTCTCTTTTTACTTGTGACTCGGCATAGCGTGTGTGTTACTAGATTCGCCAGGTTTATCCAACGTCAAGCAACTAAAACTACGTTGTACATACATACAAGTCTCATTGTTTTCTATATATATATATATATCGATTATGTTGTTTTGTTACAAGAAAATACTGTTTTTACCGATTGTGTAAGATTTAACCATATATTCGATAAAACTGATAAATCTCGGACTTTGAAAATACTGATTATGCATGTAATTATTTAGATATATTCAAGTTTTCAAAGTTATCATCAATCTTTTCACCTTTTTTTTTTTTTTTTCTTCTTCTTATTCTTATCTTAGTTTGTCACATAATATTTGTAAGATAGTATAAATTTCTGAACACAAATAAAATAAGAAAGAAAAAGTATAGTTTGGCACGAGGACTAAAATAAAGTGTCGGTGCACTTCTCCTTAATAGAGTAGCTGCGCAACAGCCAAACATGTTAAAGATATTTTTTTTTTTGGTAATGTGACAAAATTAAAAAGTCAGACCTTATCTCTATGATCTTAATATCATATCACGAGGAGGAACTCAACATAAACTTATTTGTAAATGATGAAGACATTGTTTCTGTTAATTATTTAGGTTTTAGGAACTAAATGGAATAATTGTTAATTAAGGAATTAAAGGAAGCTACATGGATGGAGAGAGTCAGAGAGATCTCAATGAAATGATTAGTATGATCGATCCGAAACCGCGTGCAAATGAAATAATACATTCAGCACAACTAATTGCATATGGGTTTCGCATGAAAAAACTTAATAAACAATACTAAATTATTCAAGATTCATAACTCGTAAGCTATGGTATGATGATTAATGATGAGAAGATTTATGTGAAAATTGGAGATATTGGCCTTTGATGAGAACGATGTCGTATTTTTAAACCATGCACACAGCACCCCGTTTTCATTAATCCCACCAGAGAAATAAACGGCAAGGTGTTTGCAGTGGAAGGAATCTGGAAAGTGAAAAACAATAATGAGACCCGAGTCCATGCAATGTATGTTATGACTCACCTCAAGTCTCAAGACAAGTAACGAAGAGCCACATATCTCTTAAATCAACGTTCAAACTTCCATCTCTCTTCCGTATTTAAATAACGTCTCCACTCAAAACAGTGAATGCATAGAGATCTTTTATTCTGAAGCCAACAAACAAAAGTAGCTCTGTTTTGGTTTCAAACTTCTCACTGAGAATGAGCACGGAACTTGAAGTAGATATGATTCTTGGTGATGTATCATCTGCTGCAACAACAGAGGCCAACCGTAACTATGCGGCGTTTCAGTTGAGTCTTGAGTGTGCAAAGAATGAATACCTAACCGATAGGGACCAGAGGGCGACATACTACCTTGGAGGGATCTGTTGCTTAGTGCCGGAAGTAACAGATGATCTGCAACAAGCTGTTCGTGCTATGGGTCGGAGTGTGAAAACGATAAGTTTCCCTTCAGCTGCCGCAAGAAACGGTTTAATCGTTCCACCAAAGATGGTAGATCCCAAAAAATCAGCCGCTTTCTTTGGTTACTTGGTGATCATGTTTTACAAGAAAGATACTGAAGCCAGGTCTCTTAAACGTATGAAAGTACTGTTTGAGGCAGCTGGTTATGTACCAAGCAAAGGAGAAGATATGTCAGTGTTCAATGATGAGGATCATTCGGACTACTTACGCTCGACCTATGGTAAGATTAACCATGAGATCCGGAAAGCTGTCCTGAAAGATATTCTCAATCAGACCAAGTATAAAGATTCTTTTGGTGGTGTTTGTTCATATGTGGCCTTGGTTCTTTCTTGGATAGACATGGAAATATTTTTCTCAACCATAGAGATTATTAAGATATTCCCTATTATCAGAACCCCTGGCTTAATAGATGAAGCGAAGAATTTGAGAAGGGCATCTAAAATAGTCATGGATGCTGAGATGCCCAAGTATTACATATGATCATGGAGAATCCTGAGAGCTGCTCTATACTTGACAGTTACAACTTCCCCACGCTCACTGCTGTTGCTCGGAAGTTCAGGTTGAACGAGGTGATATGTGAAGTAGACTATTATGTTGGTATGCATAGGAACCACCAACGTGACAGACATATTGGCGCTTGATAGTGCCTGAGTCCGATAAATATGTATCGTAGGACTGGTCTAACTCACTATTGGTCCTAGTGATTAGAATGATCGATTCGCACATTTACATATATGGGTTTCGTAGGAAGCATAATATTTTTTTTTAATTTGCTTGGGTTTTATTAAGATTCGTAGCTATACAAGTTTTCTCAAAATTTTGGTATGATGAGAATGTTTTATGTGAAAATTGAATATGTCAGTCTTTTATTAAATTTCCCATTATACATGTTGTCAAAATGTTTTTGTGGTAAATTAAGAATTCTGTAAAGAAAAATTGATACACAAAACCTTAAAAACATAAAGGCAGAGAAAAGAATTATACATACATCATGTAACACTTTTGCATTTTAGGAAAAAAAAAATGGAAGAGAAACATAGCAACTTAAATGCATAATTGACTAATCGTTGTTTACTCAAGACATATATAATGGGCCATATTTATAAGGCCCAAATAAGAAAAATGTAATGGGCCAACAAAATTAACAGATGGGGTCGGCAAATTTATCAGAGACTGGTCTCAGCAAGATCAGAGCTGCGTTCTCTGAAGAAAATCCAAAACCTAAAGATCCGATCATCTCAAGACCTAAAGATCCGATCATCTGAAGACCTAATTCAAAGGTAAATTGTTTCGTCGCGCAAATAATTTTCGAAAATTCTGCTTAGTTTCTGATGATTCTGTTTATGTTAAAAGAAGAATCGGGTTTGTTCATAATTGTTTTTGTAGATCTTGAAGCAGTGGTTTCTCTATCTCTCTCTCTGGGATAATAATAATGGCAGATCGTGGAGTTCATGTTACTCGTAGAGGAAACAGATGTCTTGAGTTCGTGACCAAATTGTATGAGTTGGTTGATGATCCTTCTACTGATTCACTCATCTCTTGGGGACCAAACGGCGACACTATCATAATTTCGAATCCGCTAAAATGCTGCAGAGACATTTTTCCTCAATACTTAGGAGTCCGCAACTTCATGAGATTTCTACAATATGTTAGTATTCTTTTTTTACTTCCTTGCTTCATGCTTGGCCATAGATATTATTAAATTTGACAACTTTGTGATGGATTAGATTGGATTGATGTTGATGGTGTGTTGCATTTTAGGGATTTGAAATGGTTGAAGAGTCGAGACAATTGGAATACGCATGCGACGATTTCGTGAAAGGCCAACCTGAGCTTTTGGACAAGATTGGGCAACGCTACAAGGACCTCCAATATGAGAATTTTGGCAAGCATTCTGAGGCACGGCTTAAGCGACTGAGAAGCTGCAAGACTGAGAAAGAGAGGGAATCACTCACCAAGGAGAATCTCAAGGGATATGAAGTGGAGATGAGGGCCAAAATGGATCAACTTTTGTCCAAGGACGTCGAACGTTTAATGCAAACTGTCGCATACGAAAGGGAGTGGAGAAGAAAAGCTCTTCCTGAACATTTAGAGGAGCGGTTGCAACTTGTTCTTGACAGCCTCAACGAGCTGACCAAAGCTTCCAGTGATCTTTGAGTTCGATCTTGTGGAGTGCATCTTCATAGAATATGTTTTCTTTAATCTCTCGCATTAATGTCTGACTCTAGCCTAGTTCAGTAATTGGTTAACCCTGTTATTAAAAATCTCACCAATGATTAGAGTCTGAATAAAAGGATTTCTTGCAAAAATTCATCTCAGTGACTACTAAATAGAATTTTCAGCGAAAACTTGTTGTACTTGTGGTTTGATTTGTTTTTCTTTTGAGATTTTTTTTGGTTGCTGGGGCTCATATAGATTGGGCTGAAATGAGTAAAGTGTAATTAAGCCCATAAAAGTGTTGGGTATAAATAGTATCGTCGTCTCTCTCTCGTCGGTCGACGCAGACTGAAGACATAGCCAAACATCATCCGAACTTTTATTCTAGGGTTTGTTCATAGATTTGTAGATCTGAAAAAGCCGTCTGGGATAATGACGGATCATGGAGCAGCTGTTTCTGTAACAAAAAAGAAAGAGTGCTTGGAGTTTTTGAGCAAAGCATATGCGATGGTAGATGATCCTTCGACGGGTTCGATAATCTCGTGGGGGTTTAACGGCGATAGTTTCATTGTTTGGAATCTTCCAGAATGCCGCAGAGACCTTCTTCCTCGTCTCTTTGGAATCAATGACTTCGGGAAATTTCAATTACATGTAAGTCAGTTACTTTTTTTTTTTTGTTTCCTTCTTAAAAAAAAATTAACACTGTAGTTGAGTAGTTGGTGCCAAATTAAAACACATTTTGGCTGGTGGGCAGGGGTTTAAGAAAGTTGCGTCGGCACATTTGGAATATGCAAGAGATGATTTTGTTAAAGGGCGACCAGAGCTTTTGGAAAAGATTGCACAAAGCTTCTATGATAAACGTGAGAAGAAGATGAAGCCACTAAGAGATGCACTGAGAAATTGCAAAAAGGATGAGGATTTGAAAGTCACCAAGGAGTGGTTGGCCTCGCAGGAAAGGGAGAGAAGGGACCAAGTGGATAAAGATTTGTTAAAGAACGCTGATCTTCTTTTGCTAAGCATCTCTAGGGAAAAGGAGAGAAGGGCTCATGCCTTGGCTACTTTTAACTGAAACTTTTACTATATATATATATATATATATGTGAGATCAAACAAAATGGAGATCAAACAAAATGGAGACTATTAATTCATTCATTCAGATAAGAGAAGGAATTCCAAAAATATAAACCGAGGGGCTTAATTTAGTTATTACCTTTGAAGAATATGGAGGTATAGAGAGGAATCTGAAAGAGAGATAGAGAGAGAGAGAGTGAGCTCTCTATGGAAGCCAGCCACTGTTGTCTTCTTCATTATATACAAAGCCATCTAACAACAACTTGCTCTTCTTTTTTTTGCCTTCAATTTGCACAAAGGTTTATTTCAAGTACTCGTGAAGTGTGCAATAATAATTTGGCTGGAGGACTAAAAGTGTCGGTGCACCGCTGCACACAACGAGTAAGCAGTGCAACAGCTTTCAAAACTTGTTTACAATCATTGTTTAAAGACTTCAAAGTTCAAACGGATATATACTCCATTTAATTTGATTTGAATAAAAGTAACAATATACTTTATTAAATTTGAATAAAAGTAACAATTTCGCATTATACGTAAGAACGGAAGAGAAAAACAGAGCAACTTGAACAGCACACAAGACAAGTGCTGAAGAAATTGACTCCTTTTACTTGTTCTCAACATTCAAGAATTAATCACTCTTTTTCTTTTTCTATAGCTAAACCCCTATATGAATATTTCACTAAAGTATCTACCAAATGAATCGTTTATATAAGCAATTTTTCTTTCCAAGAATAGTAATAAATCTATATGTATATATATTTTTTAATGGTAGAAGCTCTTTTAAATTGGAGGAGCATCTAGAGGAGTGAAAACCCTGTGGTGGCAAGTAGGGTTACAAGGGTAAGGACAGTCTATCTTCTGAAACAATGTTCTGTCGTAAACCCAATCTCCAACAGCTTTTGCTATTGTCTGCAAAGTTAAGAAGGATATTAAATGATCATAAGAACAAAGTGCACATTTGATAATGATTCTAATTAATGATCTTGTTCTTTTCTTTTTGCTGAAGTATATTTATTTATTTACCGTTCGGTTTAGAATTGGAGAATCTTGCCAGAACCATGAAGTTTGTGTCTCTGTTTGGCAGTGTGTGTAGCAAGAATCTATGAACATCCCTCTTGATGAGGATCTTCCTAAACCTATCACTGCGCTTAAGAACTCTAACCTGAAATCTAAAAGACCATAAAACCCGGATAATGTTTTAAAACCTTTTTATTGCACTGGTGTTAAGAAAGGATCCAGGAAAAGCCAGATAATAAGTTTCGGTTCTGAGGCTAACCTTGCATAACTTTGAGCTGGCTTGGATGGCAATTCTTGATGTCAAGTTGACAACTTTGCCATTTTCCGTAAGGATCAGCAGCACGCGGGGCCAAGATGTTCTTTATCTGGAAAAGAAAAGGTAAGTTTCTGAAGTTAGATTATGGAAAACAAACACTTCTTTCAAGCTAAAAGATCTCTTCATTAGATGAATGTTTACAAAGAGAGATAACCTACCTGCCAAGAGTCGTATGCTGCATTAAGAATGAAAAGAGGAGTTCTAATCTCACGAGCCACATATTGCGGGAAGAAACACTGCCATTTTTGGTATTTGATACTGTATGAGTAAATTTGAAGAGTAACATAAAAGGACACAAAGAGATAACATGAATGCTTTTTACCATTGCAGGGGTCAATCTTGATGTGCATGACCTCGGCAAGTTCTTTGCTGATCCCTGCAAAAATTTTCATTGAAAAGTTCCAATTAATAACAATAGTGAGCAATTGAATCTTACAGAGGAGAAAGCAAATATAAAGCTTACATGAAGAGTAACCACATCTTTGAAGTATTGTTTAATGTATTGAACTCCTGAGACATCTCTTCTGAAAACATACCAATGAAAAGTCTTTTTGTTAGTTAACAGTGAAAACCGTATTATACTTCTGGTCTTTGTAATAAGTCAGTTGATGATAGACTGATAAAGAACTTTTACAAACTGGAATAATTGTCTTACGTATTTAGAAAGAAACCAGCATCTGAAAGACATTTTACTCTGGTACCCATCGGTAATAGAGCACGGAAACTGTCACAATGCATCAATGAAGCTAACCCACCAGCAGAACACCCGGACAAAACAGCCTGCAATAGTTTCATCAAAGTTTTAAACCACATTTTTAAGGGTCAAAAAGCTTGCAGTAGTCAATAATGGAGACTGTAGAAAATTTGTGTAAGAAAGAAAAAAAGCTTACATTCTCTGCGTTTCTCATGCCTTTAGCGAGGAGCTCTTGCATAACAGCTAGCCAAATTCTAGCACCTCTGAAGTGAAGATTAGTAGCCTGATCAAATTACCATTATGATTATCGAAATAAAGAAGAGAACAACTACATAATATTTTCATAGTTTTCTCTTAATACTCACAGGGTTCACTGCTTCCACATCTCCTGTGAATGATGACCCGTCGCAGTATCTAACTTTCACTCTATTCCAATTGTAAAAATCTGTCGTTTACATTCAAAACCAACCAAAACTTTGTATAAGCATAAAAACGTAACTTATGTGCTTTGATCAACAAATAAGTCAAAAGCTAATAGCATTCATACCAGGATTATATTGTCTTTTATTGCTAAGAATAGCTGAGAAAGCAAGGTTCTCTACCATCTTCTTCGATGAACCTAATCGAGTATGCATCCGACTGAGACAATTTGTGACATTATTGCACCATCCTCCTCCCTAAAACCCAAACATTTCACAATAACCACAAAAATCTCATTCAGAAACATCTCCTAAGTCCCAAAAGATCAAACCAGTAAGCCAAAGCAGGAACAAAACAGAGCAAGAGAGAGAAAAAAAACAGAACAAGACCTCAAGCTGAATCAACCAGCTATTAACTCCAGTTCCAGAACCTCTGTGTAAATGATAAGCTGGTGGACTTCCATCCAAACATACTGCAAAACAAAAACACAAAAATAAATAAACTAAGGATTAAAAACACAAATAAGAACAATATTATTTTATATATATAACTCACCAGCCCCTTTGGCGACTGCGTTTCGAACATATGTGATATTAACAAAGAGTCCTTCTGTCTTCAACATTACTAACGAACAGACCAAAAGAATCAACCATTGCTTGAACATTCTGGTGAAACAGAATAAATAAAAATCAAAGAAAGTTATGAGAGTAGAAGTACAGATAAAAGAGAAGAGCTATAACAAAAATGGCATTATAGTACTTAATGCCAAGATCCCCCCAATTTGGAGGATACAATGCATAAGTAGAACAAAAATTTCTTGAATTAGATCCGAACTATATGTTCACACTATTTTTGTAGCATTTGGTATCGTAAAAAAACGTTTTTTAAAAAATTTCTTTTAGATTTTTGCGGTACCTGAGATTTCAATTTCCAGCTAATAAAAACAAAAGCCAAAAAAAATTTACAGACAGGAAAAATTTCATAAATGGATTAGACTTTGTCAGAAAGATGTTTTTAGAAAAACGCAATGCAAAAAAAAATAGAAAAATTCGAAATCTTTTCCCTCAACGTAGAAGGAATCAAGGAGAAAGAAGAATCTGTGTTTTTTTTGCTGCTTTAGCAAATGGGGAAAAGAATAAATCTTTCTTGGAAAGAAAGTTTCAGCCGCAAACGCTACTTACTTGGAAACGCGGTTTCCAACAAAAACCCAAACTTGCGCTTAGTTGTTAAGCTTATAACTCGGAACAGTGACTCAGTTTCAGCACATTGCTCGAAGACGCGATATCCGAGCAATGGCGGAAAGGAAAAGAATCTGGGAGTAGTCTAGCGTTTGTAAAAACGCGCGTTTTGGATCCAACGTACAATGTTTTTTTGTTTTCCACTGTTTTCAGAACCCAAGAGCCGACACTGATTCGTTCGTTTTCGTGAAACCCAAAAAAAAAAAAAAGGGTATAATAAAACAAAAGGATTGTGGTGTGTACGAGAAGATGATGTGTTTTTATATACTAAAATGTTTTCAGATTTTACCCGACATTATTCTTTCCTTATAATTGTGACCCTTTTCTTTTATTTTCTATATAATTTTTTTTTTTTGAATAATTTTTTTTTCTTTTATTTTCTATATAAATATTTTTTTTTGAAAAACAATTTCTATATAATTAAGAACCCCCTTTACATTGTCACTTTTTTCCAAGTAGATGAACACTAAAAGTTTACATCGTTATTTAACTCATGTTCTTGGTTTATTAAAGGACATCGATATATTGATGATTGTTGGGGTTGACTAACAAAAAAAATAAATTGAAGGGGTTATATATGAAAACTTCGACATGAAATTGGAGGGTGTTGGTAAATATAAAAGACTGAGAGCTCAGAAATGCGTATAATAGTGAGTTGACACGTAAGAAAAGGTGTTCGTTCGGGTATAAATGGGGTTGGATAGGATCCGACCCGAATGTCGGGGGTGGGTGACGTGATCTGGTCGGACTGGTACTGTAATGGTGTAGTTAGAAATGTAATGTAACGAATCTCTTTGATCAATCATCAAAAGGCTTTGCTAATTACGCGTTCCTACAGCCAAGAAACGGCTGACGATATGTTTGGGGGAATATGGTGGACTGTTTTGTTGTCTTTTCAAAGTTGAGTTTTATTTATTATTCTCTGTGTGTTATACCTCACCTTTTGTTTCGGTGATCGCCAACTCCTTCTCTTTTCAATAAATAGAAACCTTGTCCACAACACTAGAAAGAAAGCCAACGATATATCACTAGTTTCCTAAAAAAATATATATAATAAAATTGTTAGGCTAGACAAATTTGGTTCAAATCGGAAGACAAAAAGAAAAAAAAATGCATTTGTTCTCGTTTTTTTTTTTTTTCACTTTATTGAATTTATTTATTTATACATGTAAGTACCACTAAAAAGTCTAAACTTGGCGGAATAGTTAGGTTAGTATTTTACCAGAAATACACCCATTTAGACTACTACTTTACCTAAAAAAAGAAAAGAAGATAAATCATGAAAAGAAAAGAGCATATTGTCTTTTTGAAAATATTTATTCGCAATAATTTTATAATCAATGAGTAGTAAAAAGGTTAATCTTTTTAGAAAAATAAAAATAAAAATTACAGTTCTTGGCAATTTTTTCTAAAAAATGAGAAACTAACCGGAAAATTGTTAGAGATTTTACACGATTGGTGTGTGGATAGGTTTTCATATTTTTAAAATAGAGCTGCATATACATAATATTAATTAAAAATAAAAAATAGAGAGATTGGGGAAGAAGAGAAGTAACCAATGAAAAGGACCGAAGTGATGTAAACAAGTGAACAACAAAAGTCAAATTCGGTCCATCATCAGAACCTCAAATGATTATTCATTTCCAAGCTTATCTTCTCTTTCAAAAAGATTAATCAATGTTTAACATGATTAATAGTTCAGACTTTTATTAATCAATGTCAAATCTGTTATGAAGTTTGTTTGTTACCTACTGGACTAAATAAAACATATTCAATTTTTTTTTGTCTAGCATTTCATTTCGTATATTAACATTTATAATTGGTACTAAACCAAACAAAGAAAAAAAAAACATTTAAAGCTGGAATTTGGTATAAAAGCTGGTAGCGAAGTAGTATGAAATTATATTTTTCTGACATATATATGTTTGAAATGACCAACCACTATATAGAATCAGACTCATACGTTTAGTTATTTTGTTCATAAAGACCCGTTAGCTTCAAAATTTAATCAAATGAACAAGGTTCGATGTAATGAGAACTGTTGCGTAAAAACATTCTTAATAAAAATGTCATATGTTTTTTTATATAAATCTATCAACGGAACATATAGTAAGATGAGAATAATATCCTTTGTTCGGTGACATAAAAAAAGAAGAAAGAAGAAGGTATCAAACACTAAACATGGCATCTGACTATGGTTCATGCATCATTATCAAATGATTAAGTGTGGATGGAAGCAACGTGCCACATTCAAAATCTTGTTTTTATTTTATAACGAATTTATGATGTTTTTTTTCACCATTTCCATACTGCAATTTTTTTTTTCATTTTTATATAGCACAAAACAGATTCCGGTGACACGTATTTGTGGCTCAAATGCCTCAACCCAAAAAAATACATTAAACACCGTCTTTAGTTTTTTTTTTCTTTTCTAATCGGCGGGAGGAGCAAAGCATATGATTGGAGAACGAGTCTGTGTTTGACACGTGGAGGAAGATGGAGTGATGAAACACGTGATTGACGGTGGGATTCTTCTTGCAAACAGCTGTTTTGAGTTGAGTTTGAGACTCATCGAGAGTTAAAAGTTATACTTATAAATTCTTGTGTCACTCTCACGAGCCGGTGCGTGTGTTTCCCACTTCCACCTGATAAGTTGGAGTTAGGCGTTTAAGGACGACGAGGGAGTGAGCGAACAAAGCTACAAGCCAACAAACAATCGTGTAGTTTCACTGTAAAATATGTGTACATGAGAATATATCCTTTTATGTGTTTCAACTTTCAAATATTCGCTCCAATCTTTGAAAAAAATCAATCCAAATAACTTATCCGAACAAACTTTCAGAAAATTTGATTGATTCTGACATAACGAATAAATAAATTGACAATTCTATCATACAATTTGTGAACTTTTAAATTTAGGATGGTTTAATCCTGAACTTTCAAAAGTCGTTTTAATCACAAAAAAATTCTTGATCACAGAATTTGTTAAATTCTTGTTGAAAAGGATAGTCACAGAGAACCTGTTTTGTAACTTTCGCTAGTTAGGTGTTCTTCAATTTTTTTTCATAATTTCTAATAAAGCATTTATTATCCGCTTATAAAATTTATGCAACCAATAGATGAAGAGAAGAATTTAAATACGTCACATTGAAGCTTACAACATTGAGTCTGCGATGTAAAAGTTTGTCCAACCATTTTAATTGGTCTTCATCTTCTTCTTGCTAGTTGGTCACAAAGGCTGCTTCCAAGATAAGTCTCCAATCCAAATCCACCAAAACGGACCAGTGGGGCTCCAAAATTTGTTTATGTTTGTCATCCTCCCGTCGTATAATCACATCAACGTAGCAACTTGTAATGAAAACAATCAAAACATCATTTGTGAAATTAATATATATGGTTTGTGGATCATATACATATATCGGCTTCTCGTATGATATATCATGCATGCACATTTTATCTACAAGTCACACATATGCATGCACTAGCACATATATATTATTGGATTTTAGATTTTAATTTTATTCCGATAATGATAGTAACACACACTATTTAACTCCAAATTCTTGTTTGTGTTAGGGAATTATATAATCGAGTACTGTTTCTATTCTCCACTAAGAAGTTTGAGAAAATAAATGGAGTGTGACATTAATAAAGTAGGTGCCTTGGCTGCGATATATGTTGCCGTGAAAGAAGTCAAGAAGATCATGTTCTCTATTTCTTTTTTTCTGTTAAAGGTGAAGAAGATCATGTTCTCTAGAGATCATCATGAACAAAATAGATTTATTTCAGCCTAATGGGGACATTATGACAATTAAAGATGTTATCAATTAATTAACTGACTTGTTTTTGGTTAAAGTAATATTATATGGTTTTGGATTCAGTGGTAGTCAATATTAATGATGTTCCTTATCATTATTGTTTAATTGTTGTATAGCACAGCTTTACAAGTTGGTCATCGTGTGTGAAAAAACTTGCAACAACTTGCAGTTGGTTTAAACATATCACAAGGTACCAAATTTACCAACAATTTACATTTATTATTTATTCAATATTTTTGTGTGTGTGTTCAATTAAGTCTTATAGCATAACATAGTTAAAGTTAAGAGAAAGATGAATAGCATAAGAAAAATATGTTCAGAAAAAATATTAATATTAATATTTACAAGAACATGTTCGCATTTAAGAAAACATTAGCTGGCCAACTATATATATATTTGTGTACCAAAATTTAATCGCTTACGTTTTTTTCATTTAATAATTTTCAACAAAACAATTAGACAAGTTTCGTGAATTGATTGGGTTGATATACGAAAACCAAATTTTTTATAGTAGATTGGTCCATGCTCAACAGCGATTGGTCGTCATTTATCTACCTCTCATGAATGGATGATTATCCAATCCAATTACATGTTTAATCCAATCATAAAATAATATGGTCCATCACCTCTTGTCTATATAACTATTCAGTATGGCTAAACCTATATTGTAGGTGTATGAGTAAACATCGATCTGAATTACACAATATAAACTATATGCTAATTAGTTTAGTGCTAGTTCTACTATCGTTTGATTAGGAAGAGAATAGGAAACCTAATTATGTATTTGCCCTATATTACACCAACTCACCAATTAATGAAGACATAAAATGGTGTATTTGATACCTTTTTAAGTTGTGGGAGTTTTAATATAAATCACAAATAAGGGTTGATTTATAGAAAGAAACAAATTATTTGAGGACGAAAGAAGTTTGCAACTTGTAACACTGTATCATCAGTGAATAATATACAGAAACATTCCATGTGGGTTGTTCCAAGAAGCAACATCAACTAAAACATTATTATGTAAAAGCCAGTTAAGCTAATCACATGATTATTATTAGATCATTAAGAAAATTAACATATTATATGTATTATGTATACTTTATGATCCAACGATTACACGAGTATGCTTAATTATAGTTTCCCCCCTACTTGGCCATTTATTCAACTAGATCAGGTTTATTCATAATGGAAGATTTTGGTGTTATCAAATTAAAGATTCTAGACAACTAAAGCAATTATGATGGTAGCTAGATTTTAATACGAATGTATACAAAAAAAAAATTGAAATCTAATTTTTCTTTCTTTTTGTCGGCTAGATTTTAAACGTACTTTGTCTTCAGAAAAGTGAGTTGTTTCGCGTTTATTAACTTACTGTCTGTTGGTTCCAACTTCTAACACACATTGTTTGATTAGTGACAACAATACATAATTGAAAAATTGATGATTATGTTCTATTGATTAGCAATTGAGCTTTTCTTTTTTTTTTTTTTTTTTTTTTTTGTAAACCGATTAGCAATTGAGCTATAAAATATAGTTTTTGTCTAGAATACCCAAATATAGAGCACAATTATAATCATAGATCATGTTTGACTGAAGGAAAAAGTTATAATATTTACTAATCATATACCATGATTACGGAATGATATTGGCCATCCGTGTTGAAAGATTATATTTTGCGTATGAGATCGTGAAACGTATTTGTAGACTAAAATATGTAAAGGCATAGAGCATTATCCAACATATTAGATATAACAACAAACCAGCTGATATGATGACATGATAATTATATACACCTATGATTAAATCTCAAATGCATATTTTTTTGGTTAACAAAATAGTCAGCTCAAGTCTCCCAATGCTATTTTCACGTCAACGAATTACTAATTTCTTCCAATGGTTCAATCGGTTGTTGTAGAACAAATCAAAAGAAACAAAAAAAATGTCAAATAGGTTTGGTAACTCATGGTCTTTCAGAAAAAAAAAAAAAAAAGTAACTGTGATTTGAAATTCAACACCACCTTAGAAAATGTATTGTCCCATATTTTATATATTCTTGTTCAAGTTCTCGGGGGAATTTGGGCTGATAAGACAAGTTTGATATTTGGGTCGATGTTTGATATTTCAAGTCTGATAAGCCAATGGGGCTTTTAGGATTCGTCTTTTTATTGTCCAAACAATTTTTCTGTTCTTCCCCCATTTTTCAAACCAACCATGTTGACATGTTCACGTCAATTACTAATCTTTTTATATACCAACAATCAACTCTGTTAATTAAAGTAAAAAATTCATGAAATGTCACTATAAATTTGTGAAACGGCACATATCTTTTTTAACCCGTCGAAGCTCACTTGGTCAAACCAAGAAAATTCAGTCCTCGTGCTCATCATCGTCAACAACAACAAGGACTATAAGCCTAATCATAATTACATGAACAATTGACCGTCAATACAAGTTACTAGCTAATCTCTAGGCTCTAGACTCTAGTGATCATCATTATCTGTTGTTTTTTTTTGTCATGCAATATCACAGCATCATGATGCATGCCTAAGAGAGTATGTATATATCTATATAGTTCTAGAAGTAACGAATACGAAGAACGAGTAACTCGTATTGAATGAGACAGGTACGAGTCAACATAAGTTACCATATTTAACGGTGCAGAAACATTTATGGTGTGTAGAGGACCATTTATATAATAACGATGTATATATTTAAAATATCGTGTGGTCCTTCTCATGAAATTTAATAATAACATTACAAAACGTTATGCATGTGATTCTGCATGCATCCAATCTTCTAGTCCCTAGAGAACATTACTCTTACATAAGTGAAAACTGACATTTCCAATTTATCTCTCCTCAAACATCGCTGTACATGGAAGAGTCAATCACATTTTTCTAGAGTTCATCCCCGCCAACCAAACCTGGCTTTCGAAGTAATAGTTTCCTCCCCGATCCTATATGATCTATACAGCATTGCTTCCATATTCAAATGCTGGTATACGTAAGAGTTTATTGACAGCTATGGTCGTAAAGATATATAGCTTACCACACTCGATGGGTTTCTTTAATTAACTAAACACTTTAAGAAAGTTAAAGGAGCAGTGTTGCGTAGCAGCGTAGGACTGTGAATAGTGTGTCCATCTTTAAGACGTACGTTACCCTAATTAACTATCAATACCGAGTATATTCTCTTGACTTTGAATAATTTCAGTAATATCCATCATTCTGATAATCAGACCTTGATTCGAAGCTAAAAATTAATGTCTTATGAGAAAATATTGTAATATTGATCAAATATATGTTAACTTCGAATCTTATCTTTTATATTGTACCTATTTAAAATGCTAAATGTAATTAACAAAATTAGATTGAAAAATCATGTTCAGACCTTCCATATATCATTAAAAAGAGATGTAATATTGACAAAAACATGATAATTTTTTTTTTCCCGAAATATTTAGTTTTATTGTCTACCTTATACATAAATTGAATATTTATTTTAAGTACGTAAGAAATTAACATAACACTACTACTTGGAATTAATTTAAGTACAACATTAGTTACATACATGGACGTCTGCTTACACATATGTGGACGTACAACACATTACAACACAACAAAGCTAATGAAGCATTTTACTAGTGATTAATTATAGTTAACTGTAGTTTTTAATAACGTACGTAGACAGGATTTGGAGATATTAATTAATTACCGGAATAGAGAAATATGGATCTACGACAACCATATTGCTGCCACCGGCCTCAACGTAAGTATCACAACAAAACTCATTGTAAAACGCTCTTGCCTTCCTTAATATAAAGCTTATGGAACATTTCATGTACCACAACAAGCTTAATCGAGCAACGTCACGTCTCAAATCTCCATACTTCGCAGCGGTTATCGACTTACCATCTTCGCAGCTGGAGTTCAAGACCTTCCCTTGTTCTTGTTGATTCCTCTCCTCTTCTTTTACGGACTGATCATCTTCGATAAACAGTAGTGGGTTAGTAACAGGGTGCGGATTTATGTTATTATGATAGATTTCTGTCACCGGTTTGCCGGAAAAGATGTTGTTCAAGACGTTTTCACTTATGGATTTGGATGGTTTGGATTTGTTTCGACGAGATTTTGGGGTGGGAATTAGAGTTTTAGGGCGGTGGACCTGAGTGAGGATGATGAATTTAGTAGCCATGAGACTATGAGAGTGATTGCTATATTGTATGTAGCTAGTGATTGGTTTGTGAATTGCTCTTCACTCCTTTCTTACCGTATTTATATGCACACATCTATATATACATACACATTATATGAGTGTGGTAATATATACGTGGTAAAAAGGTTGGCCTAAGTGTAAGTTTTGCTAACCGTCCAATGTTGTATATTGATGTAAAGTCACAATACAAGCTTTCGCGATCTTTCGTTGTATATTGCCTAACAATTAAAAGGTGAAAGATAAAAAATAATACTTAAAAATCATTGATCGTTTTCTTCTGATCGTGATATTTGCGATTGATTTCTTTTTAAAAACGTGGAAACAGTCTTTTGTATACGGCATAATTTATAAAGAATTTTCATAATGATCACCAGTTTGAAATATAAACATTAACTTAGTCTGTAGATATATAGGAGGATTAGTTTCTGATTATTTTTGGGGTTCGGAAACAATTTGAACAAAAATAAAAATGAACTTTGCGTATATCATTATTTTGGTATAAATTTTTTCATGTTTTGAAAGAGAAGAAGATGAAATTAGCAAGTCCGTACCGTACGGAATGTGTTAAGTTTCCAACATAAATGATTCTCTAGAACTCACTATGACCGTGTGTGGTCGATGTTGCTCGATCTTAATTGGTGAAAAAGAAGGTGAAAGGGGGACATGAAAGCTGGATGAAAATGAAATGTACTTTACCTCTTCCACTTCACATATTTTTTTTAATACATTAAAATATCGAATTTACAACAATTTTCGTGATCCACAAATTACTATAATTCGTGAAAAAATAAAAACAAAGGAAGAAACCCATAATCTATGGAACTGAAATAAGGACTTTAGCTGTGGAGTCAAGTGGTGTGGGTTGATGTATAAATTGTACAATAGTATAGAAGGAATGGTCCATACCCACGTGCATGCGTAACTCCATATGTTTCCTCTGTTTGTTCTTTTCACTAAAAGGCAGGTCATCTTATGTTCCTCTTGACGTTTCAATGATCCCAGCTTTTTGGGTAATCGACTCTCTCACTTTACCAAATCTCTTTTATCTTATCGCAAATAGCTGATATTAATGATATTAATGAAACCATGAGCTAGGTACGATGATCTCATAGTAAGTTTCAGACTCAACACATGTGGTCTTCAATATTTTAACATGCAAATTAGTCCATCATAAACCTCGAATACCACCAAAATTTTAGGCCTAAAATTCTTGGGTAATGGACCATGCAGCAATTTGTGACCGTAAGTATTGTATTTTATGACTACCAAGCTGTAATGACCACTGACTATTCAACTCAAGTCTATTATCTATCTAAACCAGAGTGACTATATCAAGTTTCTCAAATATCTGTTCACTCAACTCAACTCGACTTACATATCTTAAGAAGATGAAACTGCAACAATGTATAGTATTATCAGATTTTATATTGGCATTTTACAATCTTCATATTGGTACAATCTTCAATAGTATAAACTAAAAAACACAAAGCATCAACAGTGGAAGCAATCCAATTTAATTCTTGATTTCTTTCTTCTATTTTATGTACATCTAAAACAATATTTCCCCCCTTTGTAAAACTAACAAAAGTAAAGAATTGCATACAAGAGAAATAAACAGTGCTAACTCCACCGGAAGTCTTTACTATACGGTGAATGGGTGTTAGATTAGTTGATACCGTTACTAAAAGTTACCTTTCATATCAACCCATCAAAATCTCCGTGGGCAAAAATTCTGCACGTCTGAGGAAATTTTCCCCAGCGACGTGTCGTCAGGCAAGGATTAGCTCTAAACTACATTCGATGAGAACTGGCTTTAAGGTTTCTGAAGCACAAAAGTGAGAGAAAGAGAAATACTTTCAGCCAAAACAGATAGTATAAGAGGATGAAATATAAAGTGGAGTTTTGAAGGAGTTTTCACATTTAGGTTACCTGTTGTAAACAGAGGAGCCTCCTATTGATCCAATCTCATAGCTCCCTGTGTAAACTTTTTAATTGACTGTCCATGATGTGTGTATCTTTCCATTGAACCTGCTAACAAACGGTGTAACAAAAGGGCACGTGTTTTGGATTTAGAAAACAGCTTTAAGAGATTCATTCTTTTAAAACAAACAAACAGTATCAAGAGATTCTTTAGTATAAGCAAACCGATCAAAGAATCCTAGTGGTCTCAGCATAAAATTAAAAACTGTAACCAGCAATATACTTAGGCACAAATTTGTGTATACATTATTGTACCTGTGTAATCTTTTCAGCACCGTTGTCTGAAGTGCTTGCTCTAATCCAGAATCTATCAAATGGCTTAGATTCTGTGGCAGTCAATCATAAACCTGACGAGCACCAGTAATGTGTAAATCATAAACCCAAATAGCCTAATATGCTAAAAGAAACAACTTTTATCCTTAAGATTAGAGCAGGGCGAAGCTGTTTAAGTGAATGTAGCTAGAGAATTAAGTAGAACACACTAACATACTTGTAAGATGCAATGGACCATATGCATTTACCAAGTAACTCCATCCTGACATGTTCCTTTAAGAAGAAGATGCCGAGCCAGGCGTTAATAAGACCATCAAACTGAGAACGCTACTGGATCTCAATTTTTCAACTGCAAGAATAGGATAGACAACACAAATCAGAACAATTTACGTAAATAAACTGAAACAACCAGAGAACTTAATAGGAGGACAAGAATTGAAACCTTTTCTTCTATTTATTCACCAACTACTGTATAAGTTTGTTCCATCCTTCAATGATTGCTGCATAATTTTCTTCATCTGAGCCTTTAAAAGCTTGCAATACACCTCCCTGCTTAAGATATCCATATATAAATTCTTTGTATGTGATACTATCTGGAACAATTCCTTTTTCTCTCATCTCACTTAGAAGCCTAGAAGCTTCCGTTACATTCCTATCTCTAGCATACCCACCAATCATCACAGTATAGGTAATCTTGTTTGGGTGTATGTTCTTCGAATGCATCTCACGCAAAATACATTCAACTTTGACCATCTGACCCAATTTACCATATCCATCAATAAGTGCTGTATAATGAAAGACATTTGGTTCCAAACCCTCCACCCTCATCTCCTCGAGGAGTAGTTTTGCCTCCTCAACACGGCTAATGATAGACATCCCCTTTATAAGTGAGGTATATGTAGCAGAATTAGGTGAAATTCCTTTGTGTCGCATATCTTCACGGAGTTCCAAGGCAATTGATAGCCTTCCAGTTCTACAGTATGCTCCGATTAGATGATTGTAAACAACAGTATTTGGCTGCACCTTATTGCTCATCATCTCATCAAACAGTTTCTGACCCTCTTCGGTCCTTTCAGCTTTACAACATCCATCTATCATCACTGAATATGTATACACATCTGGAAGCATGCCATTCCGCTTACAATCACCCCAAAACTGTATGGCTTCCTCAACTTTATTCATATTAAATAGCCCGCGAAACAATATGCAATAAGTATAATTGTCAGGCTCAAGTCCTCTCTTAACCATTTCATCCATGAGCATAAAAGCTTCATCCAATTTACTCTTTTTGCAACATCCAGAAATCAAAGTGTTATAGGACACTCTATCCATAACAAATCCACGCCCTAATATCTCCATTTGAATCCTAAAAGCTTCTTCCAGCTTCTCTGCTTCACAGAGGCCATGAAGCAAAGCATTTGAAGTCTTCATGTCTACGAAAAAACCTTTATTTAGAAATTTTAACCAAAGTGCTACTGCCTCTAAGTGTTTTCCATGCTTACAGAGACCAGAAATCAATGTCGTAAGTAATCCACCACCAGGACTCATGTTACGCGGTAGCATCTCTCCAACAAATCGAAGTGCTGAGTCAAACATATGATGACTGCACAACAAGCAAATCACAGATGTAAAAGATCCCTGATTTACAGTGACACCTATCGACATCATTTCCTTCAAAAGGCGCTCAGCATTATCTACTTGACCGCTCTTGCAGTATCCCTTTATGAGAGTATTATATGTCGATGATGTGAGAGACAAACCTTTCGAAACCATGAGATCCTTTATCTCAATAGCTTTGTTCAAATTTCCAGCCTCGATTAAACTATCAATTAAATTATTATATACAATAACATTAGGAGGAAACCCTTTCTCTGTCATTTCCTTCAAGACACAATAAGCATCACCAATCCTCTTTGCCTTGGTCAAACCCTTGACAAGAATACTATAAGTGATAAGAGTTGGCTCCACACCTCTTTCTACCATCTTTTCTTTAAACATCAATGCCTCATCATACCGTCCACTCATCCCCAACCCATCAATGACAGTATTGTAAGTAACAACATTTGGTGCGACACCAGCTTCTTCCATTTTCGAGAACAACACAAGGGCCTCCTCGACTTTCCCTCCCTTGCAAAACGCATTAATCGCTGTAGTGAACAAGTAAACATCCGGGAAAACCCCTTTGCAAACAACTTCAAAAGCTTCACAACACTTTTGAAACTCATTAGCTCTTACTAAAGAAGTCAGCAAAATGTTGCAGGTCGTCTTAGAAGGAAACATACCCTTGTTTGCAAGAAAAGGAAATACATCGAGAGCTAGATAACAACCATCACGCTTGAACTGAGTGCAATAAACTTCAATCAACAAGTCTGACATCTTCCTTCTGATTTCTTCGTCAAAACACAAACTCAATCTGGCCATTGCATCCGCGATGGCAACTCGACTATCTCTCAAACCACCATCACCACAAGGCAAAACCGGTACATTCCCATTAATCAAACGAATCAAAGTGACCCTAGCAGGCGATAACAGATTGGCATCAAGCAATAAACCTATCAATAAACAATAAGAACGGAGACTGAAGGAGAAACTAAATGAATCGGAAGCTAATCGGAAAAAATTCAAAGCCGTCTTGGGATTAACTTTGGATCGAAACTCGGGAAACAACCTATCGAATTCGAGAGGCGATAGAACAGTTATGAGTTGTTTACACAGCTCGTAATCTAGAGATCTCTTTGACAAAACTGAAGACAACCGGTCGTGCAAATGCCGATCAGAGGAAGCTTCTTCCGACTTATCCGGCGGATGAACGTACTGTTGCAGGTATCGAGTTGTATGTAAGCTTCTCCGGCCGGATTTAAGGCGGCGCGTGAATAAGTAGCTGGCGCGAGAGAGTCTCCTCAAATCCATGGGTGAAGAAGAGAGGAGATGTGAAGAAGTCATTCGTGAAGAGATTTCAGGGAAATACAAAAGAGCCGACATTGATCAATGTCGAACAGGAATTGAAGATGGTGTTGAGCCACGCCATCGGAGAGAGAGACTCGTGAACAAGACGGAGAAATTGCTCGAGAGGAGGCGATTTGGGCAAAAACCCAGGGTTCAGACTTGTGGGACACGAACGGGATCTAACACAAATGGGCCTATCATTGGCCCATTATTTATATCACATGGGTTAAAAGCTACGATATTGATTAGCCCATTATCAAACTTGAAAAGTTGTAATATTGTTCGTTTAATTACTGTGTTCTCTTCTTAGAATATATGCAACTACTTGTAAATTATACAGTAGATTCATTGTAGAGATTATTTGGTGCGTCCATGATACTATATGACCCACGCATTGTAACTTCAATTTTAATCACTGGAAATCTAACATTACATCATGTATTATCATCATCATCTGGATCTGGAATAAACTTTTCGCTTACGATTCACGTGAAAACAGACTTAATCAGAGATTCAACTAACTATAGTAACATAATGTCGTAGTATCACACGTATTTATTATAGCAAACATCTCATAAATGACATGTCTTTTTTTTTGTATATAACCAAAAGCGTATGGACCGTCCAATAGAATGAATCGAGTTTATACCATCTACAAAGAAAAATACTGTAGGTTTCTTTTAGTTTTAGTTATAGCAGACATGTAAAATGACAAAAAAAAAAAAAAGAGAGATATTATATCTCATGATTGCATTATATGATAAACGTTCCTACCAGAAAAAAAAATTATATGATAAACGTATAATGATGACCAAAAAGAAACAAAAGATAAACGTATAATACAACCAGTGAAACACTTAACTATATATATGACCAACGGTAAGTAGAAACTAAGTTGTAACCTCATATGCTAGCTGTTATAATATAGTAGAAGACAAAAATAATAAACACAAAAACGTGGATTTTAGTTAATCATGTAAACAATTGTCTTTTAACTAAGCTCATTTGAATTAATCTTAAGTTCTTTTTATGACACAAAAAGATAAAAAAAAATTATGTATTGGGTAATCCGGATTTCAGTTCACAATCACTAAAAAGAGACATTATCAGAAGTGAGATACAATTAACATTAGTTGATCTCGTTTTTGATTTTTAGTTGGGTAATGCATCAAATGTATAAAATATGTCATAACATACTTAGGAGTAATTAATCGAAGATTCACCCATTTGGCTGAAAAACATTAATACAATTTATACATCGGTTAATCGTTGATTAATTACTCCATAAGTATGTTAATTAATAGGTTTATGCTGCAAAAAAAAAATTGTCTATTTGACAAAAAAAAAAAAAGGTAGTAGGTTTATGCTACCAAAAAACAATGTCTATTAAGTAGTAGTTAAAATATTGACTAGTTTAATTATATTGTATTATCTTGTTCTTTCATTTCTCTCTAGGGTTGTTGTCTCTATTTTAAGATTAAGGATTTATCTTCTTTGATTGTGGTGTGATATTATATGATTTGTATTTCTAGTTAAGTTCTTTTGTTTTTCTTTGATAAGATTTTAGATTTCTAGAAATTCTCTTTTTCTTCCGATAACAATTTTTAGAATTTTCGGTTATGTGTGAGTTTAAAATGTTCATTAAATGTTTTTAACTTTAAATCTAAATTTTAATAGAATTAATAAGTTGATCAAATAACATTATATTATGTTATTAAATTACTGTTACTAGTAACAAATGGTGTCTTTTCAATTATTAAAAAAAAAGTCAAAACTTTTAAAACTAATCAATATCTTATTGAAGATAGTACATAAAATCCTGTTGTCATAAAAAAAAAGTATACTTAAATAGTCGCCACGTAATAGATAAATTGATTTTCTTTTTGTCTTTTCCTTTGGCAACTTAAAAATATATATATAAAATGTAAACAGACCACAAAAGAGAAAAAGCTCTCACTCACAAAAAAAAAGAAACACATCGAATTCTCTCTACCATACAAAAAAGAGAATCTCGACGATTCTCTCAAAGAAAAAAAAACCAACGCTGCCGGCGATAAGGTGAATGGCGGGACAGTCAAGGAAATGGATGATTCTGGTGGCGACGATATGGATTCAAGCTTTCACAGGGACCAACTTCGATTTCTCAGCTTACTCTTCAGATTTGAAATCGGTTCTTGGGATATCTCAGGTGCAGCTGAACTACCTGGCCGTGGCTTCGGATCTCGGGAAAGTATTCGGATGGTCCTCGGGTCTTGCCCTTATGTATTTCCCGCTTTGGACGGTCCTTTTCGCGGCGGCTTTTATGGGATTCGTCGGTTACGGAGTCCAGTGGCTCGTCATCACTCATTTCCTCTCTTTGCCTTATATTATGGTACCTAAAACGTTACTTACTCTTCTTCCCTTTATTTTATTATCAATCACAACTATATTTAATTAATGTTCATATACAAAACATAATACTATTAAAGAAATAATTCCAGAGGTTGGAATAATCTACAAGTTATCTTCATTGTTTAGTTGAGTTAGTAACGTTTTAACTTAAGCATTAGTTTATTTAAGGTTTACTTAATAAAGAACTAATTATTTAAAAAATCTTTTTTTATTATTAGGATGTGATTCAACAAACTTATATATGTCGAAATTAGTATTTTCACAAATGAGACGAAAATTAATTTTGAATCTTAGATTGAGAGATGTTTGATTGGTATAGATTGGTAGTTCGATTTTTTTGTGTTTTCCTTTGGTTTTGATCAATTTGTCCTTTCTTTAAATATGGAAAATGCATTATTTTTGGAACTTTAGAATAATTTTGGTTGGTGGCAACAAACTAACAAGTCTTAGTTTTGGACTGTTATGCTTGTTGGTCTCGTGTTTGTTACTTCTCGATGGCTGTTCGATAAATCTTCAATTCATTATATATAATTATGACGTCAAAAATAGAAAATGAAAATTTTATTTTATGTAACCAGTTGCATATAATTCTTCCTTCAAACACCCATCACATCAAATAAGCTGAATTTAATTGACAACCATATCTTTTTTTCTTTCTTTGAAACGTCCTTTTCTGAAGAGTGTAGGGAATTAGAGGATTATTCTGACTGAAATAGAACAATGAAATTATTTTTGTAAAGCATTTTATTAATAATATTTACTGGTAAATAACACACAATGAAGTTATACATCTTTAGAAATGTGCTATCTCTTCAAGAAATTTTTGTTTTAAAGTTTTGCTAGTGATGATATGTGCAGGTGTTTCTCTGCTGCTTACTTGCTGGTTTAAGTATCTGTTGGTTCAACACAGTCTGTTTTGTGCTCTGCATTAGTAACTTCCCTGCAAACAGATCACTTGCTCTGTCCCTCACAGTGAGCTTCAATGGTGTAAGCGCCGCGTTATATACTTTAGCTTATAACGCAATCAATCCAGCCTCTCCAGAGCTGTACCTTCTCTTGAACGCTCTTATACCTCTCATTGTATCTTTCACTGCAATCATCCCTATTCTTCGCCAACCGCCTTTTGAGCCTCTTCCACCAGATGGTGTTCGACGTGACTCTCTCATGTTTCTAGTGCTCAATATACTCGCTGCTTTGAACGGTGTTTATCTCCTTCTCTTTGGATCGAACTCCTCTGATTTAACCTCTGCTCGGCTCCTTTTTGGTGGAGCAATCGTTCTTTTGATCTTTCCTTTATGTATTCCCGGTTTAGTCATCGCTCGGAGTTGGTATGACCGCACTATCCACACTAGTTTCCGTCTTGAAGGTTCCGGTTTCATTCTTGTTGATCCTGATGAGCTTGAGTTGCATAAAGGGATGCTTGCACATGAAGCAAACCGCGAAAGCTACCAATTGCTGAGTGATGATGTGGTGCAAAACCCGGTTAAGACAGTAGCTGTTGAGGAAGATGATATTGATGGGTCTTGTTGCACGAAGCTTATTACAAAAGATCAGCTTGAAGGTTTGGGGATAGAACATTCTTTGTCGCTGCTCTTACACAGATCAGATTTTTGGTTATACTATATTGCCTATTTTTGCGGTGGAACCATTGGACTTGTGTACAGCAACAACCTCGGACAGATTGCTCAGTCTTTAGGACAGAGTTCAAATACAACAACTCTTGTCACACTTTATTCCTCTTTCTCATTCTTTGGAAGATTGCTTTCTGCAACACCGGATTATATCCGAGCGTAAGTGCATCGATCATTGATTAGTCTTAGCTTATGCTTGAATTGCAGACTTGTGAATGTATTTACTTGTGCAGGAAGGTTTATTTTGCGAGAACCGGGTGGTTAGCAATCGCGCTATTACCAACACCATTTGCGCTTTTCTTGCTTGCATTATCAGGAAACGCATCAGCATTACAAGCGGGAACCGCGCTGATGGGTTTAAGCTCAGGGTTTATATTCGCAGCAGCAGTTTCCATCACATCAGAGCTTTTTGGACCAAACAGTGTTGGAGTTAACCACAATATCCTGATCACAAACATACCAATAGGATCGCTGATCTATGGATTCTTGGCTGCATTGGTTTATGACTCGCATGGTTTCAGCGGGATTAAATCAGTGACCTCGGAGTCAGTGGTGTGTATGGGGCGGGACTGTTATTACTTGACCTTTGTGTGGTGGGGTTGCTTGTCTCTGATTGGGCTAGGTTCGAGTCTTGTGTTGTTTATTAGAACTAGACGAGCTTATCGACGGTTTGAACAAGCTCGCATAAGTTCAAACATCGACTCTTAGAAATTTGCCTCAACACCAACGGTTTGTGTTTGTGGATATGTAGGATCTAAATTATAACAACAATTTTAGTGGATTTGGCTGATAACTAAAGTTTCGATTTCATTTTTGGATTATAGTAATTAGTTGAATTAAAAATACAGGACTCCCCATAAACATATCTTCACGATATAAAAACAGGATATCCTATGGATTTCGCAGAGAAAGTAACATCATATGATTTGGTAACTGGACGAGATCATGGCGAGACCGCGCATAGATGAGTATCGAATTTTACATCTAAAACTATGGAACACAATTTGTCCCATGTTTTGTTGCATGATATATGAACGACCATATCACTTGGTTCGGCCTCTTCCTCTCGGATGCAAACAAGCGTTAGTACTAAAGTCGAAAACTTCGCATGTAGTAGCGTTATCTAGGCCTATTTCTGTAAAGTTGTATAACTTTCTATATATAAAGGGTCGCATATGTAATTGATTACTTTGCTTAGTTTGCTATATGACTCACTTTTCCAATAATGCAACCAAAACTATAATTTATACGGTTGATAAAATAAATATACTGGAGTATGAATTACTAATTAAGGGTAGATACAAAATCTCTGATCGTTAATACAAAGAAAAAGCCTCTCGTAAGCCAAAGCCATCTTACTCGCCGTAAACATCTCCGCCGCATACTCTTTACACTTTCTCCCTCTCTCCGCCAATCTCTCCGCTCCTTCCGCCACGGCAACTTCCATAACCGCCGTCAAAGCTTCCACGTTTGGCGCAAACATAAACCCAAACTCATCATTCACCACTATGCTCCTCTTTATGCTTGCGTACCTCGACGCCATCACTGGTTTGCCACTCAACATCGATTCCATTAACGTCAAATCAAGTCCTTGTGGTCTAAGCGTTGGATTCACGAACAAATCGATCCCGTTGTAGAAACCCTTGAGCTCATTTGGGTTTAGAGATCCCAAAATGGAAACCTTTTCTCCTAGTTCCTTGTAACGTTGTTCCCATGGCCCTGATCCAGCTACTACAAGGTAAACATTAGAATGTGTTTCGAGTAGTTTTGAGAAAGCTTCGAATAGCAATGGATGTCCTTTGTCTTTGACTAATCTCCCGGCGGCTCCTAAAACAATCGCCGATGAATTTTCCGATAACCCTAATTTTGACCTAAACAGAGAACGTTGCTTCTTGTCTGATGTGAATCCGTGTTCGTCAACTCCGTTGAGGATCACGTGAACCCTTTTCTCAGGGATTTGATAAACGTCTCTTAGCATTTCTCCGCAGCTATCACTGATAGCGATGTGGTGAGCATAGTTGTGGAAGAATCTGATTTCGTCTAGTATCTTGGGAATCACGGCACCGTATAGGCTTGCATTGAAGCCTTGAGATCTTGGTTCGTCTGGTTTACGGATCAGGTCTTGGTAAATGCTTGATTGTAAGCTCTCTAGCGCAATGCCGTGCCATGAGACGGCTAGGTTTGGAACTTCCCTGGCGATCCAGTGAGGTAAAGCCACGCTTTCGGAGTGAACCGCATCAAAAGGCTCTTTCTTGTTTTCTTCTTGGTAAAGCTCCCATGCTTTATTGTACCGCCATTTTCCAGGCTCAGCGTCCCCGTGAGAATGGATGATAGGGTATAAGATTTGGTCAGAAACCGGAGTGATTATGTTGGTTTCAGGGGAATGGTCTAAAGGAGAGGTGAAAACGTGGACACGGTGTCCACGGCGGGCTAAAGCAGTGTAGAGAGTGAAGGCATGGCGTTCCATGCCGCCCGGATTGGGGCCGGTAGGCCATTTCCGGGAGAAAACAGCGAGTTTTAGGGATTTGGGAGGAGGGTTGGTTAAGGAGAAAGCAAGGCGGTTCCAGGCAAACTGGGCGGTTTGAAGGTCGCCAGACCACGGTGGCTGGTATGTATCATAGGAGGAGGAGACTGCGCCGGTAGAGGAGGAGCAAGAGGAGGAGGTGCGGAGGAGGAAGAGAGCCGGGATGGTAAAGAGGACGGTGAAGAAGAGGAAAGTACAAAGGCTAAAATGAGAATTAGGTTTCTTGAGTTTGGTTTGTGAAGCCATTGCTTTTTGTTTCTTCTTCACAATGTGTTGTGGTGTTGGTTCCGTCTGTTCAACTAAAGGATGCATAAAAAGCAAATCATCATTTTTCATCTTTGGAGAAATTAATTATAAGCTTACAATATAAGTAAAATGATAAAGTGGAGACGATCCCATTAAAGTTGTTTATTCAGTGGGTTTGGTAACGTCTAAAAATGACCAAAAAAGAAACGTGAGGCTTCAATTAATCTTGTGGGGTTACTTTGGTTTGTATGTATGGGAAAAAATGTTCATGTGACTTGTTGCGTGACTTTTAAACACATTATGTGAACACTTCTCATGATACTTTTTTTGTTTATAAACTTAGAAGTATTTTTCGTATGAGGTATTTAATATGATTTTATAATTTTTAAGTCAACGGTCCAAAACATTGGTATAGTTTGAAGCAAATAGTATATTGTTAAGTGTGTTTGGCGTTCACCACTTTTGACTTTTTTGATTGTGTGATATATTCATGCTTCTAGTGCGGATTTTTTGGTATTTTACAACTCAAGCATTTGACTTCCTTAACTTTTTAGGCTAATACTTATTCTTCTTATTATTAGAAGACGTAAACCAAATCACTCAAAGGCATGAAATAGGATAATTTTGTTGTATAATATCAAAACTTGTGGATGAAGTTAACATATGCGAGGTGGGAAATGAACTGGTAATGCATTTGTTTTGGAACTTTACTTCAAGTTTCAAAGAATCTTATTAATTATATTTGTGCAGAGATAATATCGCAATAAGTTTGCATGGGAACTTTACTTCAAGTTTCAGTAAATTTTATTACAAGTCAAACTTTAGGCTTTTAAGAATACCAGAAATTACTAAAAGGATCTGATTCTGAGTTTGTTGTGCTGAGGAGACAGCAGAGTAAACTGATTCAATATTTGTAGAAGAAATCTGTTTGTGATACAGAGATCCAATTATCTCTTCTTGAAATTTTCTTAACAGTAGCCAATTGCCTTGAAACTTAAGAGACTATGTACATTACTGTTTCTACAATTCAAAGTTCAAACTAAGAGGTGGAGAGCCAAGAATAAGATAGATTTAAAACATGATTCGACTTCTCTTTGAATCCAAATCTTGACTGAGATCAGCTTTCTGAAATTATTTATTTCCAGTGATTAGGCTTTGCTGGCTTCGAGTAACTAAGAACGGAAGTTACAGTACACTCGTAATTAGAAAAAGAGACTTCTTCCTTTATTCTTTTCCTGTTCAGCAGCTCTTCTTCTTGTGAACATAAACGGCCTTTCTTGGACACAACAACTTCACCCAAGGCGGTTTCGTTTACATCTGCTTCTTTTCCAGATATCGCTTTCTCGAGATTATTCTCCTGTAAGCCATGCAACCTATAATCATTCTCGCCCGGTGCATATAACAAGCTCATCCCACATTTCACCACCTCACAGCAATCTAGTTTTCTTTTGGCTTTGCCATCAGTAAGAAAAAATTTGAATGAGGCAGTGGTGTTGCAGCATCTATTGAGATCATCGCTTTTCTTGGCATGGTAGCAGTTGTTATAACTGATGAAAACATGATCAGAGCTAAGTTTTCTTGGTTCTTCGTGGCTAGATGATCCACACTGCTCTTTCCATCCCCCAAGATTACAAATAAAGCTGAACTTGCATCACCGTCTTCATTTCTGAACTTGCACTTGCATAACACGGAGAACCGGCTGGTTCTATCTTCATAATCCTGGAATGAGACAACAGTGTTGAGAGAAAGTCCAATGAAATTATCGTCGCACCAGTGTTCTCATCTACGAATTATGCCTACCACGGTTCATCTGAAATCTCTTGAAGTTCTTAATCTATCTGGCTTCTCAGATCTTGACGACCTTCAGGATTTATCACCAAACCTGAAAGAGCTATATCTAGCTGGTAGTGCTATTAAAGAATTGCCTCTGTCAGTTGAGGAGCTCACTAGACTTGTTACATTAGACCTGGAGGATCGTAAAAGACTTCAGCACCTACCACCGGGTATAAGTAACTTGAAATTCATGGTGACACTTAAGCTGTCTGGCTGTTCAAATCTGAAGAATCGTCCAATTATCGATCCATTCTTTCCACGCGATTTGCAACGTCTTGAAAGAAAGATAACCGCCACTAAAGAATATGTGCCGTTCAAACTTCACTCTGCTATTAATGAATCAAGGTTAGATGACTCTAAAACTCTTATGAACCTTAAAAATTTGCAACTAAGACCATATATTTACAGTTACTGTTTCATCAGAGATGTTGTAGAAGAATTCTTATCAGCATTTGCATATCTATCAAGCAAGGGAATACCACAAGAATGCTGGCTGTGGATCACTATTTCTCCTTTACCATCATCAATTTTACACTCATTGGCGCCAAGACTAAATGCCCTAGTATCTTTATTTCTTTGTAACTCGTATCTGGTGGATATACCTGAAGAGTTATGCCGGCTTGCTTCATTGAAAGCACTGGATCTTGGTGGAAACTCTTTTAGCCAACTTCCTGAAGACATTAAGGAGCTTTGTAAACTACATAGCCTCAGATTACGCCATTGTAAAAACCTCATATCATTACCCGAGCTTCCCAGAAGTCTGGAAATCTTGAATGCACATGGTTGTGTGTCTCTTAAGTCATTTTCTTCAAGCTTCGAGCAGTTTCCAAGGCACTACACATTCAGTAATTGCTTTGCGCTGTCCCCAGAAGTTGTCAGAAAATATATGCAAAAAGCTCTTGACAGTGTTGAAATCATGGCCAAGGGGGATCAACAGGTTTCTCCCTCTCCCTCTCTCTAACATGCATTTTCATATGCACTTTTGACTTGTTTGATAAATTTTATTTTGGCTGCACTGTAGCAGGAAAACAACAACCTGCTTGCATTCAGCATCTGTATACCTGTCTATGCAGGGCACAAATTTTCAGTTAATTTTAAAGCGGGTTCATCTGTACTGATAGAGTTAACTCCTGGCATGCTTAGCACTCTCTCAGGCTTTACTCTATCTGTAGTAGTTGAATTTTGGGATAACTATCGCAATGCTGCTGGTTTTGGCATCAAGTGCATATGCAGGAAGGCCAGGGGAGACCTTTCACCTAGACTAGAGAGAATCGTCCATTGCTGGGCTCCAAAGGAAGCTCCAACTGTTCAGAAGGATCATATGTTTGTTTTTGGCAATGTGAAAATGCATATTGCAGATGGAATTGACCATGATTTCCTGGCCGATCGGGTTACCTTCGAATTCCATCCTGTCAATTGGCAGAACAAACTTCTAGATGATAGCTGCACGGTGAAAAGATGTGCAGTCTATCTGATTACCACTACAACCTATGAAAAGACCCATGGCTCAAAACGTCCTTCTTCTCCGAATTTAGAGGAGCTTTCAAGTGTGGAGCTTCTGGCACCACCATATAAGAGATGTCGTTTGAAGAGAGTTATTGAATCTGTTATCATGAGCTTGAGAAAAAGGAAGCGAGAACGTATCCCATACCAAGCCTTCAGTCAAGCCCAAAAAAGTCCAAAGGTAAAACTCACCCAAAAGCTAGCTTATGAGTGATGGTGCCTATGTGACTGACTTGTAAGACGTCGTTTCATCACCACATCCCACAAAAGCAATCTAGCTTTCTTTTTTGCTTTGCCATCGGTAACAAAGAATTTGAATGAAAGCGGTGGTGTTGCAAGCATCACTTCTATAGTTTTGTTTTTTAACCACATCATTTGGTGGTGAAGAATCAGTAAACTTAGCTAATATTTTAAATGTAATTTGAAAACTATCTGATTCATTGCAATGGAAAAAGATATATGCAAAAAAGCTAGATCATTTTCTACATATATTGAAAGTAAAATATTACTATACTACATAATTACGATATTAGTGATTCTCCAAAGTCCAAAAGAAAAGTAGAAATTAGATCCCACTAGTAAGTAGTAACAAACAGCACAAACATTAATCCTATATTGGAAAGATATTTATTTTCATCCCGAATCCGATCTCTAAATCCGAAAACCTGAAATACTTAAACAGCTTATTTATTTATTTATTTTGGACAAAAAGGTAAGCTTATTTTTATTTAATTTTAATAGATTAAATTTACTTTTCAATATTTTTCATAAAAAATCAAAAAATAATCAATATTAAAATTAAAAATTTAATTTGAAAATAACAAATCATATTTAAGTTATTTAATAATAAATTATTGTACAATTAATGGATATTTCATAGCACTATATATAATTACGATATTAGTGCGAAAAGCAGAAATCAGATCCCACTAAAAACAACAGCACAAACATTAATCCATTTTTTTTCTTATAGATGACGTGGATAGCTAATCAACCGTTGATTGAATCTTCGCGGTGAGAAACCCGGCACTGCTCTTACACCACCACCTCTCTCGAACCGGTCGAGTCTCGAACCCACCAGAGAGGGCTTTCCTCAGTCCTCCCACAACTCTCTTCCGTTGTTCTTCCTTCGCTTCTCTCCAGATCCACACTCTCACCATCACAGCTTCTACGATTTGGTTCGACCCACACTCTTCATATCCCCAAGGATCTCTCTGATTTTGAAAATTCAACTTTTCCCCAGATCAACTTGTGTTATTTTCTCAACAGTTTTGGTTCATGATTTTGATTTCGTGAAGAAAGGTCTTATGGATTCACACCCTTCCCTAATGGGAAGGTCCATTGGCAATTCGAGCCGATCGAGCTTAGATCTTGGCCATTCGTCGTCTTCGTCTTCTCCTTCATCGTTAACAAAATCTATCTCCGATGCAAGTAGTCAGAGTCTTTCTTCGATCCTTAACAATCCACATGGAGGTAAGTCTGGTGTTTATGGTTCCGATGCGTCTTGGGTTGGTTGGTGGTCTTCGTCTACATTTGTAGCTCCCTCTGAGTTCGCGCCTGTTGCTTCAACTAAGCTCCCTGGTTCTGAGCTTACCAGATCCGATTTCCATGGCTACGTTTCTACGATCTCTGAGTCTCATGGTAGGTTTGAGGATATTAGGAATCATACAAGGGAAGAGAGCTCTGGGTTTGATCAGGAGAGCCATGTATCGGGTTTAGCTGCGTGCTTGCGTGAGGTTCCTTCACTTTACTTTAAGGAGGATTTTGCTCTTGAGGAGGGAACTACATTTCGTTCTGCTTGCCCTTTCTCGAATCTGACTGAAAATCTAGCGCTTCAAGAGAAGCTGTCACAGTATCTTGATGTAGTGGAGCTGCATCTTGTAAAGGAGATCTCAGTGAGGTCTGATTCGTTCTTCGAGGCTCAGGGACAATTACAGGATTTGAATGTGAAGATTGTTGAGGGTTGTACTAGGATTCGTGAGTTGAAAGAGACTATTCGGCTCCTGGACAGGAATTTGGTAGATTCAGCTCGACAGATTCAAGAGCTGAGCTCAACTAGGATTAATATGTTGGAGCTGCAACGTAAATTAAGACTTATCTTGTATGTTAATCAAGCTCTCTCTGCACTCAAATTGGTAAATTTCTTACTGATTCGCTTAGAGTAGTGTCAAGCTAGCTACTTTTGTTTTTTTCCTCTTTTCCTTGATGGAAGCTTGATACTTTGTTGTTCAGCTTGTTGCGTCCGCAGATTGTGCTGGAGCTTTGGATATAACTGACGATCTTCAGAACTTGTTGGTAAGTTCAACTGTGATTGATGTTGGATACTTTTAAATGATTAGGGTGCTCTTTCTTAAGAAGCTAAAATGGTTTTCCTACTTTTTTAGGCTGGGGATGAGCTGACTGGTCTACACTGCTTCCGGCATCTTCGGGATCATGTTACTAGCTCTATAGATTCCATAAACAGGTGTGTTTCTTTTCTGGTCTGCATATAATACTCGTTTAGGATGGATTGATCGGGAACAACGATACTTAGTCGGATTTCAGGTGAACTGTGAAGTTCCTTACCAAAGAAACCAACTAATTCTGAATCTAATTTTGTAGAGAAGAGGTAAATATGTGATCTAGTGATTATGTATTGGGGTTTACTGCTAAACCTCTAGAAATCTCTTAGATAGTGGAGGTAGTCGAAATTTGAAATATGATTTCAGGGGTTTGCAATTCTTTTTCCTTCTATGACGTCCTTTTGGTGCTTGAGTCATTTGTTGAGATGTTAAGCGTTATAACAACTGTGGATACTTTTACCATCTATAAGTTCAATCCTAAGTTATGTACTCTAAATGCCTTGCTGGCGAGAATCCCCTTTAACGTGGGTCGTTGATCAAGCCAATGTACAATTATTATAATCAATCTTAGTTTGCAATTGAAATATACTTTGGTCTTCAATCTTCATTACCTGGATATTTCATCCATAGTTAGTTATCTTCAAAGGTGTAGGACATTGTACAACCTGTAGGTATTTTGTGTCAATTAAAATGCAGGATATTGTTTTTCTTTGGTAGTGCTGTTTCATGAAGATTTAGTAGTTCAGAATATTTTTTCATCTTCTAAATCTAACTGCCCTGTTTTCTCTACTAGGTATTTTCTTTTAATTGTTTAATTGGTCTATAGTGTCTAATAGCTTGTTGGTTCTTTTTCTTTGTAGTATTCTCACTGCAGAATTTATGCGAATCTCAATACATGATACTGGGGAAATAGATGTACTGATTTTAGCTGCAGCAAAAAGACGGGGATCTATTACATCAAACGGGAAGACCTTTGATGAAGTACGTCTCATCCGATGCACATATGCATATTTTTGTAATGAATATGGGCGCTTATTTTTGTACTATGTGGAGCTTGATTGTTGGTGTTAAAAATGAATAGAAGATCCTAAATTGTGAGAAGTAGTAAATTAATGAGAAAAACATGGCACAGAGTCCAGCATGACTCTGAATACTGGGCTTACATCTTTTCAGGTTAAGCTAGAAGAAGAAGATACCTCTACCTTATGTGATCGCCTTCTTCCTTTAGTTATTGGATTGCTAAGAACGGTGAGTGGCTGGTCCTGATTAATTTTCAACAGAGTGCTGATTAACTGTTCATTTTGAATTTGGTTTCTCATGTGCTATTCTTTGAACTGTTTTCCATAGGCTAAGTTCCCTTCAATTTTGAGGATGTATCGAGATGCACTCACATCTGAAATGAAAAATGCAATAAAAAACGCAGTTGCTGAGCTGCTTCCAGTTCTTGTTGCAAGATCCCTCGATTCTGACTTTTCACACGGGGACCGCTCAGTAGATGTTGATGGTGAGATTTTAATTAAACTAGTATGTATAACGATTGTCATACTACTTAGTTCGAGCATGAAACGTACTCGACGTAAGAGTTTAGTACTTAAAAAGTGTTGAAATTTCTCTTATGCACGTTCACATCAAGTTCAAACCCGTAGAAGCAACAATATTGGGTTATGGTTTTTGCAAAAGGGCTTTATCAAGATTACTGTAATTCTTATTTTCTTATTTTCTTTTTAACCTCCAATTTGATCTGAGACCTGACTAGAAGTAATTTACATGGAAATTAGTCAACTGATGAAGAAGGTTGGCTTAAACATACTTGACGGGTTAATAGTTTTTATATCCTTCTCTTAGGATAATGTATACTGCTTCCATGGTAGTTGCCTCTCTAGAAACCATACTTATTTCTAGTGTGTATACAGGTGGTGGCTTATCTCTTGCGAGCAAGTTGAGGAGTCTGTCATCTGAGGCATTTGCTAATCTCTTAACTGCTATATTTAGGATTGTTCAGGTAATATGTGCATCAGTTATGGAACTTTTAACTATTTAAGCAAGCATTATAGGAAGTTATACATATATGTCTACGATGTTAAACTTTTGGCAGCATTTTCTTTTGGTTATGATATAGAGGCTTGGAACCTTTTGATTAGATGTTTGATTAAGATGTAATATGATTTCATTTCATTTAGTGAATGCAGGCACATCTACTCCGGGCTTCGGAAGTGAAAAAGGCAATCGAATGGATCCTTTGCAATATTGATGGACATTATGCAGCTGATTCAGTTGCAGCTGCAATTGCTGTTGGTGCTGTAGCGGCCGAAACAGCCCAGGAAACAGGTTTTCAAAGCGGGTCCTTAGTGTCTTCTCCACTGGGTAAGGCAGCCACAAAGGCCCCTGCATTGCAGGGAAGATCGAGTGACACATCAAGTTTGATGAACATGTCAAGAAACTTCAGGTTTATTAAAAGTTATTGTATTTTGTTTGCATTCTTCCAAATTCTTGAAGTTTTCTGTAACACAAACCTTTGTTCTACGTTTGGAACTAATTTGGCTATTTTATTTATTTATATAGGGCTGATGTCTTGAGAGAAAACACAGAAGCTGTCTTTGCGGCTTGTGAGGTTACTCATGGTAGGTGGGCAAAGCTAATAGGAGTTCGCGCTCTTCTTCATCCAAAATTAAAATTGCAGGAGTTCATGAGCATTTATGATCTGACCCAAGAATTTATAACAGCTACGGAAAAGGTATTCATTCTAGTTTTTTTTCATAGAAGAGATACGAAATTGCATTGCTTATTCTTGTTTGTCATTTGTACTTTTAACAGATTGGTGGACGTTTGGGATCTAGTATTCGTGGGACGCTGCAATCACAAGCCAAAGCCTTTGTGGATTTCCAGCATGAAACTCGGGTTAGTCTCTGTACATATACGTTTATAAGTTTTACAGCAAGCATATCTACACTTTTGTTTAGTTTTAGGGCTTACAAACATAAAAGAAAACATGGTAAATGTGGCAGAAAAAAGTTTATCCGGAGAAACATGCCCAAGCCATATTTTGTGTAAAGAAAAGTTAAACTAACTTTTGATAACCAAATAGTGTTTAACTATATTGACTTCACCCCATAGAAGCACATTCTCTCCTTTACCATCTATCTTCTTTCATAATAAAGAGATCTGGTCGTTAATCTAATTTGTATTTTACTTTACTGTAGATGACAAAACTGAGAGCTGTGCTTGATCAAGAAACATGGGATGAGATAGATGTTCCCGAAGAATTTCAATCCATAATCAGTTCTCTTTTTGCATCCCAGGAGTTGATTTCTGGGAAAGTTGATAATGCTGATCTCAATACATACCATAATAATCCGCTCCCTCTCAATGGGTCTCTCACTTCTGGAAATGGGAATCAAAATTCTGAATTACGAAATGATAAATCTGAATCTAGTGAAGTTCCTGCAGTTAGCGATGTACAAATGAAATCCCCAGTCTCCCCTGAGTCTCTTGAAAGCAGCAAGGCTGGTGTATCTTCAGTTCCGAATAATCAAAGTAATCATAAGACGCACAGAAAATCTAACCTTTTCTATCAAGGAGTTGATTACCACATGGTAAACTGGTTAGTGTTCTTGTAGCAATTTAGTGTTGTTATAAATCTTCACTTCCATTCACCAGATAAGACTTTTGTTGTCTTGCATGCCTTAGATAGGCAGTATCTAAGGCATGCAAATATTTAGTTAAATATTTGTACAATTGTACAAATATTTAACTAAATATTTGTACAATTTGCTTGGTTTAGATTGCTTAATGTTTGGTTGCTATCCAGGCTGGAAATATTAAAGTATGCTGATGTGATTCCTTTTATATCCTGCAGTGGGTTAATAGTGCTCAAGATGTTGTCAGAATACATTGATATGAACAACTCTTTACCTGCTTTGTCCTCGGAAATTGTTCTTCGTGTTGTTGAAGTGTTGAGATTTTTCAACACTCGGACATGCCAACTTGTTCTCGGTGCTGGTGCTATGCAGGTATAAATGTGCTTTAGATGAAGACAATTGTAGTTTTCATTGCTGATTAGCTGATATTGACCTTTTTAGTGGCCATATTCATGCTATAGGTATCTGGTCTGAAGTCCATAAAGGCAAAACACCTGGCACTAGCAAGTCAAGTGATTGACTTCACTTACACTATTATTCCTGGTAGGTGATGTCTGTTTTTCTTCTTTCTAACTGTTGCTGTCATAATGTTTTCAGCTGGATTAATGTCTCGAGATCATTCTATTTCTTCTGTGTAGAAGTGTTTTACTTTGTGTTATTTAAGCATTCTTTACCCACATTTTTGTGCTAAACATGAGTTTGATGGTTGTAGGAGTTTTTTGAATCATCCCTAGCTTTTCGTTTTTAATAAAATCCCTAGCTTATTTTCCTTGTAAGCTGGGTTCCTGCATAACAGTTCGTTATTTTTTGTGGTCCAAGAAACCAGAAGAATTCTGTTTTCAAAAGTACCTGAGACGAGAAAGCCACTTTTGTCAGTAGAGGTTGATAAAGTCGCTCAGGTTTGTGTCTATCTTTGCCTTCTGGGTTTTGTCTCTTTACTCTTACAGGTCCTAAGGTATTGGAGATCGTTGCACATCTGATAGATAAATAATTGAAAAAATCTCACACCTGTTGATTATCTCTAGTTTTGTAGAATTTAAGTGTTAATTTCGGCCTTTTGACAATTTCAGGATTATAGGATTCATCGAGATGAAATATACACAAAATTGGTTCAGATAATGAGAGAGAGACTATTGGCTCATCTTCATATGTTGCCTAAAGTTGTTGAGGGCTGGAACAGACCTCCAGACACCAATAAACAAACTAAAGAGTTTGCGTGGCCACTCACAAGGGTGATTTATTCTCATTCCCTTATCTTAGAAAAATAATAGTAGGTGTCGTAATGTGCATTTAATTTTACAGGAAGTTGGTTACCTTCATCGTGTTTTGTCCGAGACATTGCATGAAGCAGATGTTCAAGCAATCTTCAGGTGAGCATATATGCAGCTTTCATAGGAAAGACAGTTAGGGGTTTACGAATTTGAAATTTGGAGTCAAATTGACTTATTGTGTAGGACAGATAGCAGCCAATCAGTTTGTGCTGCTTCGCTCTGTAGCTTTATGTTTTAGCGCATCAAATTACTGTTTCTTTCTTATAAATGTTGAAGGCAGGAAATGATTTTCAGATTCTGCTTTATATTTCCTAGTTTATATACATTCCATGATTCTTGTAGGCAGGTGATTATGATTATCCACACACAAACCTCTCAAACGCTTACTAACTTGGAGATAACCTCTCCAGAGGCAAAGAAAAGGTAACTCTATATCCTTTAGACAAATAAACCAACTTAGCTTCTGTAGTAAACATTCGACTTGTTTTAATCAGGCTGAAGCTTCACGTTGAGCTTATTCTCAAATGCATCCGGTCGTTACCATCTGACAATACCAATCAATCAGGCATCCCAAATTGGGGAGAACTAGATGAATTTTTTGGACAACACTTTAGAGAAGAAGGAGGAGGCGAGGCTGAGTAATGAAGTCTTCATTGTACAGCATTTTGTTTATCCTCACTTCTTTTATAAAGTTATAAAAATTCAGAGTTTGGCTTTGCGTATGGACTACTCGTCCTGTAGATTTAACCTACAGGTAACAAATTCCTTCTCTCTGGCTTCTTACCATTGAACCTCTCCGTAACTAAAGGCATTTACTGAATCAAATACAAAATATGATCTGTAATCTGTCTAAATGGCGTTTTGTTTGCGGAAAGCGACCATGTAGCATCTTGAAAAGCATAATAGCGTTTTGCTCAGACTGCGTTATAAGTTGATGAAAAAATTCTGATGGTTGGAACCCCAAATGCAGGCATACTACCGTTCTTGGCATGGACGAGACAAATATAGTGGTACTAAAAGTTTGGCAAGGGAAAGTATCTTCCAAGTATAAACTTAAATTCCCTCGTCTGGCTTCAATTTCACACCTCAATGTTGCTTTCTATTATCCTCTTTGTTTTGTGAATTTGTATGAGGAACGGAGTGACTTGGATAGAAGTTTTTAATAGAGGGCAAGCAGTAGATCTAGACGTGTGTATATTCTTACTGAATGCTTTCATTTCGACACACAGAGTTTGTTTTGAGGGCATCAAGTTTTAATCAAAAGTTAGAAGCGCGACTTAGCGATTACTTACTGACCATGCTAAAGAAGAAAAGGTCGGAAGAAACTTTATACTCTAGAATAAATAATAATGATTGAAAACCTTCGACAATGATTGGAACCGTAAACGATGTTTTCAATAATGAATTGTTTACTTATGTTATGTTGAGTGTTATGTTGAGGCGTTGAGCTGAGTCTATAACATATTAACATTTGTTAAAATTAAAATCTTTATTTTACTGTTCTTTTCTCTTGACACATCTATCATTTTTTTTTTATTTATACACATCTATCATTTGCATGACATACATCTCTTATTCTTCGGCTTTGACTTGGAAGATACTCAAGTCTACTCTTTAGCGAGGGACATCTCTAGACTCTTTTAGTTAAGCAGCTGCTAATTTAGGCTAATAAAGGTCTGAGCATATGAGACATAGTTTGACTTTGACTTTATGGATTTCTCTTTCTTCCCAATGTTCCTACTTCCGCCTAACGTGCAAATTTCCTCTTTGTTATTCCATTCCCTTTGCAATTTTGCATCTTATAATCTCAGACGTCTGTGGTTTCCTCTATGATAATCGAAAGCCTTAGATCAAATAGATGAATAGATTGACGAGCATACTTGGGTCCTTTGGGAGAAGGAGTTCGAGTAGAACAAAGACTTCCGGACCAAGCCCCTCCCAGGAACTGGATAAGGTCTCTCGATCGGAGTTCGTGAAGTTCCTGACTCGTTCAATATATGTTTTCTGTTTGTATTTTTGTAATATTTTCCCAGTCTTACTCTTCTTTACAACTAACTGATGTTTTGCAGGAAATTCATTTGAGTTTGGATCTACTTGATTTTAAGACATCAAATAAGGTCATCAGTAAAGTTTGTAAGATCCCAGGTATATATATTTTTCCTACATAATTTACCGGGAAAATAAGATATATATATATATATATATATTGGTCTCTTCACTGATTCTTTTGGGGTCTAGTCTAGTTCCTTTAATCAAAAAGATGTGTTACATTGAGTTGCTGTTTTTATTGTTCGTGACTTTTATTTGTGATTTGGATCCTGGAACGGTTTAGCTGATACAATATCCCATGAAATTCAAATATAGTTTCTAATTGGCCTTCTTCTATTGATTTCTTGTTTAGGTGTCTCTTCTGTCACTCATGATGGGGACCGCCAGATTACCGTCACTGGAACAGTGGATCCAGAAGCTTTACAGAACAAGCTGAGAAATTACCGGCCTATGATACAGAAGGTTGTGCTGAGGAAGAAGAACGATTCGGGTGAAGAAGGTGTTAAGCTGAGGACTAAGCAAGATTCAGATGAAGAAAGTGGCAGTGAGAAATCGAATAAAGGAAAAAACTTGGTTCTGGATGAGGAGTTTCCTAGGGGAGAAACGTACAGTGATTGGATGCCTTCACCAGTATGTAACTGGGAAGATTCAGACGACTTCGATTCAGGGGACGACATTACAATCGTTGCAGACAAATTCACATCTGTAGCTCCCAATAGGAGGCACTTGAACAATGACTGGTACTCTCTCTGCAACTTCCTCAGCAACCGTATGCCTCCGTTGACTCCCTCTGGCTGCAGCCCTGATGATGTCATTGATTTTCTTCGCACCCGGCAGTTTTCAGGTAGCATTGAGGCTCTTGTTGGCCGTCTCATTACTGCGAGTGAGGCACATGGCCTAATACCTGAGAACAATCCTTTTCGCAGCCTAGCTGTAACATCGTACCTGAAGGCTGCAAGTGGGGTGACCCATGAAACAGAATGCATACTAATCTTTTCATGCAATGACAACCTAGATGTGGATGAGACATATTTCATTGAATCCATCTCAAAAGAGTTACTCAAGCGAGAGGTCATCCCTTTGACGTATAATCTTTTGGGTAGAGAGAACCTGGATATGGAGATGATATATAGATCTAGTGTTGGTATTATGATACTTTCAGATAGTTATGCTTGTTCTAGACAGTCCCTGGATCATCTGGTGGCAATCATGGAACATTGGAAAGCAACAGACCTTATAATTATACCTATATATTTTAAGGTAACACTTTCAGACATTTGCGGGTTGAAAGGCAGGTTTGAAGCATCATTTCAGCTCCTTGAGAAATCTCTTAAGGAAGACAGAATTCAGAAATGGAGGGCCGCCGTGACTAAAATAGTGTCCATCGGTGGACTTGAATGGACTAAGGGGTATATTGACTTCTCTTAGTTGTCTCTTTACTATACGTACAATGTGGCAACAGTTCACCTTTCTAGGATATCTTGGAAGGACGTTTCCAAAGCTTTAGCTTATTGACGTTTTCAACTATTTGCAGGAGTGTTTCTTATTTTCCATTTTCTATGTCTTTTTTGCAGGACTCAGTTTATGCTTGCCGAAGAAGTTGTTAGAAATGCATCCTTAAGACTATATTTAAAAAATAGCAAGAGTCTGGTTGGAATCCTAGCATTGTTAAATCACTCCCAGTCTTCAGATGTGGAAATGGTCGAGATCCTTTCGACGACCTATGTTGTGTTGAAGGTAAGACATCCATTGTTAGAGAAATTTTTGAACTACTAACTCCACATTATGATCTGTGTTACTTCCTGCAAGACTTTCATCTAATGTGTCACATGAAAGGGCTCAGGCAATTGCGTGATGATTTCTTCTCTAACGTATTTGGGGAAGAAAAACTAAGTATAAGCGCTTGTGATACAAAATTGAGTTTCATGAGGGACCAGTTCCAAAATAAAACAATTCTTGTTGTTCTCGATGATGTCAGTAATGCCAGAGATGCAGAAGCTGTGGTTGGAGGGTTTGGCTGGTTTTCTCATGGACACACAATCATTTTAACATCTAGGAGAAAACAAGTTCTTGTACAGTGTAAAGTTAAAGACCTATACGAGATCCCCGAATTATGCGAGTCTGAATCTTTTCGTCTCTGCAAACAGTATTTTTTGCATGGAGAAAGTGCGGTCATCTCAGAGCTCATCAGCTGCAGTAGTGGTATTCCATTGGCTCTCAAAGTTTTAGGTTCTTCTGTATCAAAGCAGCATATAAAGAATATGAAGGAGCATCTCCACAACTTAAGGAAATATCCTCCTACTCAGATTCAAGAAGCATTACGGAGAAGCTTTGATGGACTAGATGAAAACGAGAAGAACATATTTTTGGACCTTGCATGTTTTTTCAGAGGGGAGAACAAAGATCATGTGGTGCAACTACTTGATGCTTGTGGGTTTTTTACATATTTGGGTATCTGTGATCTAATTGATGAGTCTCTCATTAGCCTTTTGGACAATAAGATAGAGATGCCTATTCCTTTTCAAGATGTTGGTCGATTTTTTGTTCATGAAGAAGATGAGGATCCATGTGAGCGTAGCAGATTGTGGGACTCCAGTGAGATTGCTGATGTATTGACTAACAATTCAGTAAGTTGAAGTGTAAAATTTGTGTTATTAACGATCCAGATACTTCATAATAATTATTTCGTTGGTTGTAAAAACTGATGTTTCCGTGGTTATGTGATTGTCTTTTTCAGGGAACAGAAGCTATTGAGGGCATTTTCCTGGACGTTTCTGACTTGACCTGTGAGTTGAGTCCTACTGTGTTTGACAATATGTATAAACTTAGATTGCTGAAGTTCTATTGTTCCACCTCTGGGAACCAGTGCAAGCTAGGGCTATCTCAAGGCCTCTGCACTTTACCTGCTGAGTTAAGGCTACTTCACTGGGAGAATTACCCTCTCAAAATTTTGCCAGAGAAATTTAATCCTGAGAATCTTGTAGAGATAAACATGCCTTATAGCAACATGGAGAGGTTGTGGGAAGGGAAGAAAGTAAGTGTTGTTTGTAATTTAAGCTACTTACATTTATTTTTTACCCTGATTTGATAACTCATCTTCATTATTCATGCTGTAAACAGAATCTCAAAAAGCTAAAGATATTGAAACTTAGCCACTCCAAAAATTTAACTGATATCGGGGTGTTATCAGAAGCCGTGAACCTCGAGCATATTGATCTCGAAGGATGTACGAGTTTAATTGACGTTAGCACATCTGTTCCTCATTGTCGGAAGCTTGTTTCCTTGAATATGAAAGACTGTTCTCAATTGCGAAGGTTGTCTGTCATGGCTGATTTAACATCTCTCAAGCTTCTTAATTTGTCTGGCTGCTCAGAACTTGAGAAGATTCAGGATTTTGCACCAAACTTGAAAGAGTTATATCTACCTTGGACTCCCGTAAGAGAACTTCCATCGCTAGTCAGTCGATAATCTCACTGGAATTGTAACACTAGATCTGGAGAACTGCAGAAGGCTTCAGAAACTGACATTGGGGAATAAACAAGTCGATATCTAGTCAATCTTCTATCAACTTTAACTGAGAAAATGAGGCCGGACATCATCTGAAAGTGCTCTGGATTCTTTAGTGTCAGTGTAATTAGAGACGGAAGGTGCTTGACCAACAATTGTGCTGAAGTAAAAGCTCACTATCTTTAGGTGCTGAAGTAAATACTCGCTCCATTTTTTATGGCAGTGGCTTCATATTGCGCAAGATGTCAGAATTGAAAGATTCAAACAGTTATTCCCGGTCAATGTGTGGAGAACTGCCATTGGGTTCTACAAACTTGAAGATATGCGTCTGCTTGTACATATAATTAGAGAAACCTATGCTATTGGATCCATATCATATCAACATGTGTTAACCAGGTATTCAACTACTGGTTAGTTGCACTGTAAGTGATATTGCGTTGGATCCATATTATCTCATTGATTAGGCATTTTGTCAACGTTACCAACTTCTTTTTTGCTATAGAGATATTGTTTTAGTATTGACCTTCATGGTTTTGAACTGGAAGTCCATGACATCTGAACACTTATCGGAGATCCTGATTATGCTCCGGGACTTAAGACCTGGTATTAACTGTATGATGTTAGAATATGCATCAAAACCTTTTGGGAATAGATAAAGAAGAGAGTTCACAAACCCATATCCCCAAAAACAGAGCACATAAAAGCTCTAATCCTCTTTACATGTGCTGGCTCACACATTTATCTGTAATGTTTAACCGTGAAGAATTGTTGTCCTTTGTTGTTCGTATATTTGACCTGTCCACAAGTCAATTTAAATTCTTATTTTGTAGTGTTTTACGCATGGATATCAGATCTTCAGAGGCAAAGATGTGATTATTCACATACTCATTGAGGAATATTTTCACAACTTTACACTGACTCTCTTTGTTTGCTGTCGAATGTCTATGCAAGTTTCTCGGCTTGTTTCTGGTTGAGAATTATCGAACATCATAAAAATGGTGAAGCTAGATGGATTCTTGTGAAACTAATGCAATCAAAGCAGTTTCCATTAGACGAAGTTTTTCATTGTGATTTGTGAAGCAACTGGTTTCTGAAGTGAAGCACGAGTCGCTCGCTACATGAATAGTTTAATGTATCTCTGCGTACATCTTACAAGATGAAAGAGAGACAAATACAGCAGATGGTTTCCAAATCGTAAGTTGCTTTAAAGTGAGAGAGTGGACAAATCAAGGCTATTGAAAAGTCAACAAAGGTGTGCTTCATACTAGACGAGTTTATTTGTTAAGTCTTCGCCTCTTCCATTTCGCTTCAATCCCTTTCCAAAACTCTGTATTATTGTGGCCATCCTTTAATGGCTCTTGTTTCTTCTTACTCGTCATCGGATCACTCCAAGCGACAGTTTGATGTGTTTGTGAGTTTTAGAGGCAAGGACACACGTAATTCCTTCACCTCTTACCTTGTTCAGTTCCTACACCGGAAAGGTGTCGATGCTTTCTTCGATGGGAGACTCCGGCGAGGCAAAGACATCTCAGTTCTCTTTGACAGGATTGAGCAATCAAAAATGTCGATTGTCGTATTTTCAGAGAACTACGCCAACTCCACATGGTGTTTGGAGGAACTCTGGAAGATAATGCAGTGCAGGGAGAAATTTGGTCATGGGGTCTTACCCATCTTCTACAAAGTCAAGAAATTTGATGTAGAGAATCAGAAAGGGAGTTTTGAAGCTCCCTTCCAGAGACCTAAGGAGAGTTTCAAGGGTGGTGGGCACAAGGTTGAGGCATGGAAAGAAGCTCTGAAGACTGCTTCCAATATCCTGGGCTATGTACTTCCTGAGGAAAGGTACTAACAAATCTAGCATTTACTTTCTTTGGATTTGTAGCTAACCCTGAAATTGTTTTTAAAGGTGCAGCTACAATACAATACAAAGCTGCAGTTCCTTAAATTTTAACTTTTGTGCAATTGGCAGGCCGGAGAGTGAATTTGTTGAAAAAATAGCCAAGGAAACTTTCAGGATGCTGAATGATTTGTCTCCATGTGAAATCAGTGGTTTCCCAGGGATTGAGTCACGTTCAAAAGAACTGGAGGAGTTACTGATGTTCGATGATACAAATTGTATCCGTACCGTTGGGGTTCTCGGGATGACTGGAATTGGCAAGACAGCGGTTGCTGATAGCGTTTATAAACGAAACTATCGTCAGTTTGATGGATACTGTTTCCTTGAGGACATTGAAAATGAGTCAAAGCGGCATGGGTTGCATCATTTGCACCAGAAACTCCTCTGTAAATTACTGGATGAAGAAAATGTGGATGTCAGAGCGCATGGAAGAATGGAAGACTTTCTAAGGAACAAGAAGCTGTTTATTGTGCTAGATAATGTAACTGATGTAAATCAAATAGAAGTTCTCATTGGAAAGCATGAACTGTACAGGAGAGGAAGCAGGATTGTTATAACAACTAGAGACAAGAAACTTCTGCAGAACAACGCTAATGCAACATATGTTGTTCCCAGATTAAATGACAAGGAAGCAATGGAGCTTTTCTGCCTTGATGCGTTCACTGACAACCTTTATCCAAGCGAAGAATATATGGATCTATCAAAAAATTTTGTATATTATGCGAAAGGACACCCCTTAGCTTTGAAGTTGTTAGGTTCAGGTCTACGTCAGAAGGAAATGACATACTGGGTGGAAAAATTGGAGAGATTGAAGGTAGAGCCAGACAAGGAGATTCAGAAAGTGCTAAAACTGAGTTATGAAGCACTGGATGATGAACAGAAGAGCATATTTCTAGACATAGCATGTTTCTTCAGATCAGAAAAAGCAGATTTGGTTTCGAGCATCTTGAAATCAGACCATGTTATGAGAGAACTTGAAGATAAGTGCTTGGTAACCATTTCTTATAATAGGCTTGAGATGCATGATCTAATGCATGCAATGGGTAAGAAAATCGGATATGAATCATCCATCAAAAGAGCAGGCAAACGTAGCAGGTTGTGGAACCACAAAGATATTCGCCATGTGCTGGAGCAGAGAACGGTGAGTCACTTGCTTCATTAGTTCTCCATTAAATTTCTGTAAGACATCAAATCTTCACTCGGTGTTGTTCTTTAGTATAGTGGTTTGTTAATTGTTCCTCAATTATTTGATCTTTCTACTAGGGAACTGAATGTGTTAGAGGCATTTTCTTGAACATGTCTACTGTTGAAAAGATCAAGCTATGTCCTGATGCTTTCATGAGGATGTCGAATCTCAAATTCCTGAAGTTCCACAAGTCTCATTGTTCCCAGTGGTGTGATAACGACAATAAATTTCAATTCTCTGAAGAGCTTGATCATTTTCCGGATGAGCTTGTCTACCTTCACTGGCAAGGGTACCCTTACGAGTACCTGCCATCAGAATTCAATCCGGAGGAACTTGTTGATCTTAATCTACGATATAGCTTCATCAAACAATTGTGGGAAAATGAGAAGGTGCATCCTCGGCCATATATATTTTCATTAAAATATTTATTCTTTAGTTTTGTCTCTTATTGGTTATATAACCATTGTCTAGGTGCCATATAATACAGAAAAATTAAGATGGGTCGATCTCAGTCAGTCAAAAGACTTGCGGAGTTTATCAGGTTTGTCCAGGGCTAAAAATCTTGAAAGATTGGACCTCGAAGGCTGTACGAGTTTGTTTCTGTTGGGCTCATCAATCAAACAGATGCAAGAACTTATTTACCTGAACCTCAGAGACTGCACAAGCCTTGAGAGCCTTCCAGAGGGGATCAAACTAAAATCCCTGAAGACTCTTATCCTCAGTGGCTGCTCAAACCTTCAAGAGTTTCAAATTATATCAGACAATATTGAATCTCTTTATTTGGAAGGCTCAGCAATTGAAAAAGTTGTTGATCACATCGAGAGTCTTCACAACCTTATTTTGCTGAATCTGAAGAATTGTCGCAGGTTGAAGTATCTTCCCAAAGATCTTTACAAGCTGAAATCTCTTCAAGAACTGATCCTCTCTGGCTGTTCAGTTTTGGAGAGTCTTCCACCAATCAAAGAGGATATGGAATGCTTAGAGATTTTGCTGATGGATGGAACATCCATCAAACAGACACCTGAAACGATTTGTTTGAGTAACCTCAAGCTGTTTTCCTTCTGTGGATCTATCATCGACGATTCCACAGGGTTGGTATTGCTGCCTTTCTCCGGCAGCTTTTACTTATCGGACCTCTATCTCACGAACTGCAATATCTACAAATTGCCAGATAACGTTAGCTCATTACACTCGTTGCGGTGTCTGTGCTTAAGCAGAAACAATATTGAGACCCTACCTGAAAGCATTAAGAAACTCCATTGCCTGTTGTTTCTTGACCTGAAACATTGCCGCAAGCTTAACTCTCTTCCAGTGCTTCCATCTAATCTACAGTACATAGATGCTCACGGGTGTGTTTCTCTGGAAAAAGTCGCTAAACCAGTGACACTTCCCCTAGTAACTGACAGGATGCATACTACTTTCATTTTCACGGGTTGCTTCAAGCTGAACCGAGCTGCGCAGGAAGCTATTGTAGCTCAGGCCCAACTCAAGAGTCAGCTACTGGCAAGGACATCTCTTCAACATAACCATAAGGTCCATCTCAATTTCCCTCTGTTGTTTTGGCGATACTTCGAGCGTAGATCATTGCGTAAATGGTTTTCTTTCTAACCCAATGCAGGGACTAGTTCTAGAGCCTCTGGTTGCTGTTTGTTTTCCAGGAAGTGAGATACCCTTAATGTTCAGCCATCAGAGAATGGGATCTTTGATAGAAACTGACCTGCTTCCACACTGGTGTAACAGTAAATTTATTGGAGCTTCCCTATCTGCTGTTGTCACCTTCAAGGACAAAGAAGGTCATCATGCCAGTCGTTTATCTGTAAGATGCAAGTGCAAATTCAAAAATCAAAACGGTCAGTCTATCAGCTTTAGTTTCTGTCTTGGAGGATGGAATGAGTCATGTGGATCATCTTGCCATGAACCACGGAAACTTGGATCTGACCATGTGTTTATCAGTTATAACAACTGCAATGTGCCAGTCTTTAAATGGATGGAAGAGACTACTGACGCCAATAGATGTCATCCCACTAGTGCCTCATTCGAATTCTACCTTACTGATGAAACTGAAAAGAAACTTGAATGCTCCAAGGTGATAAGGTGTGGTATGAGTTTGTTATATGCTCCAGATGAAAATGACCGTGGTCTCCAGGGAATAAGGGTTACAGAGACTGTTAATGGTACATCTAGTGAGGCTCTTATGACAATTCGAGGTCAGTCCCAATCACGAATTGAAGAAAGAAGAAATGGCAGAATAAGAGATGAAATCCTAGAGATGAGTGTTTCCTCCATGATAGGAGGTCCCGGGTCTTGAAAAGAAAACAAAAGGTAGAAGTACTTACTGGACTTTATTGTTCTTGAACTTCTCTTAGTAGCGTTCATTTTTTAAAACACAGTTTACATTGACGTAGGAACTTAACGATGTTGCATTGCTTTCCAGACCCTTTGGTGTATCATCGGGTACTTCTATCAACATACCTTGCTGATTGACTTTGAGCTTATTCTTGGATAATCGAATGTGAGACTTGTTCGTTGCTGATTGGTGAAGTCGTCATATCCAAAGACAAAACAGAGCATGGTCTTTACTCTCTGTTTCTCCCTTTACATCACATGTACGCTTAACTTCTCGATATTTTTTGAACAACTGGTACAAAAGGCTACATGGTTTCATAAAGTGCATGTTTCTCAAAATAATGCTCTTGGAACTGAAGGAAAACATGAAGAAATTTACTTGAGAGATCCAATATCTTGGGTGACTATTATTGACTAAGGAGTTATACATGGCTAGGTTTTTTTTGTTCAATTTTGGTATTTGGGGTAAAAGTTTTTGGTTTGAAGCAGAATGTCAAATACCAATCATAAAGTGAACGATAATTTCAATAAATGATACTTGATAACGAATGATTGAAAAAGGAAACTTTAACGATACAAATTGAAGTTATCATCAAAAAGTAAAGATTCAACCACATGCAGCACAACAACAGACGAGAAAAGAAAGACTGTTTCGGTCTATGGTCATTTTTAAATGATTCAACTGCTCATGAGATTTGGGAACATAATGACGGGTATGGCTGAGCTCCAGCATTGTAACCTTGGTTTGCTTGAGGTGTGGTCGGGTAAGCGGTTGGCATTGTCGACCCACCACCGAGTTTAGTTATCCCATGATGACGACCCATGTAGAAGCAACCTACACAACTACTGATGCATAGGAACACCAAGAATATGAACAATGGTAGCGAGAAATACACAACGATCATCGCTTAAAATCTCTGGCTTGTGAACCGAGACAAACTAGTACTAAGCGAAAGAGAAAATGGTTTACAAAGGGAATGTAGTAGATAGAAAGGTCGAGAGATTTATATGCAAATGTCGTTGCTGCAAAGTGCATGGTATTTTGACTTTTTTTGTTTTTTGTTTTAAGGGTATGCATGAAACATAAAATAGTAATGATGGGCATAATCATGCGTTCAAGGCAAGAGAATTTGTGTGTCAAAAGTCAGATGGTCACATGAATATGAACAGATTGAATTAAATTTAGTCGATAAATGCAGTATTATTATTGTGATTAGAACTAATCATTAGCATTCGTTAATACATGAATTTATGGAGTCTTAGATTATTACTTTCTTTATCAAACTGAGTTTGAGCTTATTGTAAGAGAGGTCGATATAAAAATATTAAATAAAATGGTCTTGCTTTTAAAATTAACATTCTATTAGGAATGTAAAATTAAAATAAATCTTGAAATGGTAGTCCAAAACTTAAAGAGTTTAGGTTTCAAAATATAATAAAAAAAAACTAAATAGTTTAATGGGAAAAATGTTATAAAAATCCCGAACTTTCAAATTTGGGACGATTTAATCCCAAACTTTAAAGAAGTCATTTTAATCACAAAGTTTTGTTGACTTTTCTGTAAAATAGCTAAGTTTTGTTGACATCACTTATTTAAACATGACATTTATTTTATTTTATAAACTTGAAGATGTGGTTAACTATCTGTGAACTGCTTCTGTTTAGCCTAAATGACCATGTTTCTTAGACGAAAAAACGACGTTGGAACTCGTTTTCTTCCTCCATGGATCCGCGCTATGGCAACAATTCAACAAGAAGTAAAGAAAATTGGTGGATTTTTCTAGGGTTAGGGAGTTAGATTTGTGAATTAGGAATCGATTTTGGGATTTAGTTTCTTCAGTTTGTTAAACGACGTCGTTTTGTGGTTTGAAACGGAAGCAACTCATAGATAGTTAACCCCGTCTTTGCAATTTAAGAGAAACTAAACATTGTGTTTAAATCGTCTAAGTAAAAAAAAACTTAGCTATTTTACGGAAAAGTCAACAAAACTTTGTGATTAAAATGACTTCTTTAAAGTTTGGGATTAAATCGTCCCAAATTTGAAAGTTCGGGATTTTTATAACATTTTTCCCATAGTTTAATTGTCTCACATCAAAAGAAGTCAAGTCCAAGCTTTCAAGTTTATTGAGTTAGGTACTGTTGTATTATTTATTGGACTAATGTATATTGTATAGTTGGTTCATATGTTTAGTTGGCAAAACAGTTTTAATAAATTCCTGTTGGGATTAATTTTTATCCAACTTTGTCTAGTTCACTTTCTCTCATCTACCAGGCTTCGTGCATGGTTCCGCATCCATCTTTGTATTTGATATTAGTAATGTAATCTACTAATCCCAAAAACTAGTTCAAGAGAGAATGATTGTCATATCCTATATATATTGCCCAAATATCTTAATCCCAAACAATGTGGGACTTTAGAACTCTAATAGCCCCTCTCGAGATGTGGGTGGAAAACGGTCCAACACGAAAACTGTCCGAACCCAACATCTCGGAAATACCACAACAAGACATGCCACTTATATAGGCCACATAGGTGGAAAACCATTTTTGTGAGAATTTTCTTGTTGGGCTTACCATAAACTCTGATACCATATGAGTAATGTGGACTAACTAATCCCAAAAGCTAACTCAAGGGAGAAGGATTGCCACATCCTATATATATTGCCCGAAGATCTTAATCTCAAGCAATGTGGGACTTTGGAACTCTAATATTTGACTTAAAATATTACACGTAAGAAAACCAATTCTACTTATTTGCAGAAACAAACATAATAACCAATGAAGCTGAATTGGGAAATGGCATCCACAAGAAATTCAATGCGTGGTTGGCAAAAGGACGGTGGTTGAAGTAGCTAGCTAGATTTGTCGAGGGGTGATTGATGGCCAAGAAGTCTCTTGAACCATAGTCCAGCCTTTGTTTGGTTTTAATTTAAAAAGGACTCAGCAAAAAAAAATAGAAGCATGAGAATACTTTCATCAAGGGTAAATTGATATTTTTTTTCCTAAGAGTGAACGCGAGCCCTTCAGACTACTCCTTTAATATATTAGATATATGGATACAATATTAGGATTTAAATTTAGTGACTAAGCCATCTAGAACCTTCTAAAACCTAGCCCTGAGCAAAATATTCGTTAGATTCGCTTCGCTTTGATATTCGTTTCGATTCGATTCGAAAAATTCAAATATCTATAAGATATTAAACCGAAGCAAATATGAAAATCTAGTATTCGTAAAAACCGAAGCAAATAATAAATATTGATTTTTTTAGTGCCGAATATCCGCTTCGCTTCGTATATTTATATATATGTATAAATATAAATTATTATATAATACATATAATATATATATAATAGGTGTATTTATAGATTTGGGTATATATCTGATAGACGTATTATTCAAATTATTATATTTTGGCTCTTTGGGTTTTTTTTTTGCTAAATGTTGTTTTTAAGCAAATAAAACTTTACTAGAAAAATCATTATTAAAAATATAATGTGAGAATTCTATGGACGGTGGTTACATTTCTTTCTTATTTTGAAAATATGTCAAATAAAAACCTCTAATATTTCATATTTTGCACTTTATATTTCTGTACTATATGTTTTTTGTTTTTAAAAAAAATTAGATGGGTCGAAGCGAAGCGAAGCAAGTAATTCGCAAATATTACGACAAATATTCGAATATTCGAAGTTCGAATACTCGAAAATTTACGAATCGAATCAAATAGCAAAATCAACTATTCGATCGAAGCGAAGCAAATAACAAATATTACAAATTTTCCGAATATTCGCTTCGTGCCCAGGGCTACTAAAACCTACTAATGGACCATATAATAGGCATTCAAATAAAACATATTCTTAATAAAATACACATAAATCAAAACGATCAAGATAAAGCTAACTACATATCTAATATCTAATTTGCTCAATGTCTGCTGTGGTTCATTCTCCGTTGCTGGAGTTGTCATGTCGACCTTCCTATATTGACGTATGTCTTTGGCTTGTGGTAGGGAGCTAGTGCATACCTTCAGCTCTGAGCAATAAGACAGATCAAGAACTTCGAGGGGGTTCAAGTTCACCATTCCCTCTGGCAGGTCTCGGAGCCTTTTGCAATTCTTTAAATCTAATATAGCAAGTTCAGAGAGATCCACGATCGACGATGGCAATTTTCTTATGACAGTGCCAGCAAGAAATATCTCCTTAAGATTTTCAGGAAAATCATCTATATCCTCCAGTTCCGAGCAACCAGATAGTTTAAGTGTGACTAGAGATTCTAAGTTACTCATTCCCATTGGCAAATGTTGAAGCCTTTTGCAATTCTCCAAACTTAATATAACGAGTTTCGAGAGGTTATCCCCTAATGATGATGGATATTCTCTTACCGCAGTGCTGGTCAGATATAACTCTTTGAGGTTTTCTGGTAGATCTTGAATCTTCTCAAGCATGGAGCAGCCAGAAAGTTTCAGCGTGGTAAGAGATGTCATGTCACTCATTCCCATTGGCAGGTCCATAAGCTGTTTGCAGTCCTCCACATCAAGTGTAACAAGTTGAGAGAGATGACACAGAGAAGATGATATTTCTTTTATGGAAGTCTTAGCCAGATATAACTCTTTCAGGTTTGGTGGGAAACCTTTAACCACCTCTAGTCCCAAGCAACCAGACAGGTTGAGAACTTCGAGAGACTCAAAAGTAACCATGATCTGGTTTGAAGAGCTAACATTTACCTGACTTGTTAATCCTTCAAGATGACTCTGGTCATCTGAAAGGCCCTTGCTTTCTGATGAATAATTCATAAAAGGTAGTTCTCTTATGTTAGTTCCCTGGAGATGCAACTTCTTAATAGATGATGGAACATTTGGAAAACCATTGATCTCTATGCAAGCTGAGAGATTCACAACTCGGAGATGTTGTGATTGACCCATGTCTGGAAAACGTTTTAACCTTGAACATCCTTGAAGATCAATTTCCTCGATATTTCGAGAAAATCGAAGTTCATCAACGTTTTCCAATTGTTTGGATTGTCTGAGCGTGACCCTCTTCAACATCTCAAGACTCTGAACAAACAAACAAATTTAAAAAAAAAATGAATAAAAGATAATTTCCTTATATGGTAAACTATGTGATAATCATGTAATAATAAAACTGCTACAAATTAATACTCGATTAATCAATATGTCAGTTCATCAAGTGTATACATATTTCTTAGTTTTAAACTTTTTTCGGGTAAGTATTTATTAATATACTAATTAATTAATAACTATATAAATCAATAAAACGTCATAATTCCAATATTATTACTCCCCCAGTTCCAATATATTAGATGTTTTAAGCTTATTTCTTGTTTCATTTTATTGTATTTTCTCACATATGTATACATAATTTATATTTAGTTAGTGTATTATGAGTTTATGACCATTTGTCTGAAGTCTTTTATCTTATTGGTTAAAAAAAATAAAATAATGTTAAACAAGATTATGTTATATAAAAATTAATAAGAAAACAGTTATTGTTTCCAAATATTTGTGCTCTTTTAGCTAAAAAAAACTTATAAAATGGAATAGAGGGAGTAGTTTATAGATGTATATTATAATGGTATATGATATATTATAGAGAATTTTTGAGAAATACCCTTTTTGGTGTACCCATTTTTAAAAATACACTTCTTTTCTATCAATTTTCAAAAATACCCTTTTTCAAATATGAAAAATTATAAACTTTTATATGGTTAATAAGGTACATCGAGGTCATCATTACTACTAGAAGACTAAATCCAAATATTTATAAGGTTTTAAAATGTTTTAAACAGCATTTATAATGTTTTTATAAGGTTTTTAAAAGGTTTACACAGTTTTTATAAGGTTTTTAAAATGTACTTATACGGTATTTATGAAATATATATATATATATAAATTTACACACATATAAAGATAATTTGTGTCTATAAATATAAGTTTACACATATGTTTTTGATAAATTTCAAATTTTATAGTGACTTTTTGATAAATCTAAAAAGAGTGGTATTTTTAAAAAGTGGTATTGGAAAATGGGTATTTTTGAAATTCCCCCTATATTATATGGCATATGCCAATTTTTATTTTTTGGACAAGCATTATACTTTATTAAGTTATAAACTATCACTTAATTACCTTGTTTCCTTCCCAAAGTTTCTTCAAGTTACTATATGGCATGTTGAGTTCAACAAGATGCTGAATATCATCAAAATCTAGTGGAAATGATCGAAAGGGGTAGTTTTCCCAATGGAGAAGTCTTAGCTCTAGGGGCATAGATTGAGGGCAGAAATCATGATTCTTTTCGGAACTGTGAATGATCTTCATATACCTAAGGTTATACATATGCTGGAACGCAACTTGATCTGTCGAAGCTAAATTTGATGCGTCCAATGTTATGGCTTTAATATCTTCAGTTTCCTGAAAGGACAAGAGAAAATAAAAGTTTAATCACAAGGCTTGGTTTACTAGATTAAATATTTTGTTTAGAATAATCAGGATGTTACAAACGAATAGTACCTGTTTAGGTGTATCTTTGGGCTCTTCATTCTCTTCTTGGATAGATTGAATGTTGGAAGCATCCAAGAATCTATAACCCATCTCGGTCTCTTCTCTTTGGTCACGGATGATTTTGAGGCCAACGTCATAGATCAGATCATGCATTTTCACTCTGTTATCAGAAAGAAAAACCAAACCTTTGTCCACAAGAGCATCAATTCCAACATGTGGGAAGAATCCACACCCTGAAAGCAATTGCATCACATATTCGACATTTTCCCCTCTAAGGAAACACACAATGAGCAGGAAAATCTCCTTCTCGCTGTCGCTTAATGCGTCATAGCTTTTCTTGAATGCATCGAAAATCTTATCGGAAAGATGCCCCTTGAGTTCCAGGACTGCACTGTCCAATTCCGGCGGCTTTTTGCCCTCCAATTCACTGCAATAGATACGGAGAGCTAAAGGGTTTCCATTAGCATATTCAACCAACTTCAGGAGATTCTTCTTATATTCAACCAACTTCGGGGAATTGATCTCATCTATTACACGTTGGGAAAACAGCTGCTGAGCCTCGAGCTCGTCTAAGCCTTGAACTTCATAAATATCTTTGACTCGACATTGGACAAGTAGTTGTTTATCTCGTGAGGTTATGATAATCAAGCTTCTTGGACCAAGCAAGTCAAACCAGCTAAGAAAAGTCGTTGCACCCACCGGCTTGTGCACATCATCGAGAACAACCATAATCCTTTTATGGCGTAGTTTTTCTCTTGTAACAGGATTTTTTAAGCCAAGCTTTTTCCCCAAGTGTTCTTCCAACAATCCGTAGGCTCCTCTCTCCTGAAAGGCTATGTCGAAGTCTTTGATGAAGCAAGCAGCTTCGTAGTCACCTGAGAGTTGTTTGAAAGCTTCTTCAGCAAGTGTCGACTTCCCTATACCTCCCATGCCCCAAATCCCTAAACTGTGGACGCTCCATGGTTGCTTGCAAAGCAAGTTTTCTATTTCCATCAATCTAGGGTAGATTCCAATCATACTCGTAAGATCAAGCTTTTGACGTACATCTGCGACAATCTCTTGTACAAGTTCAGAGTCGCTGCATTTTAACACAAATGTTTATTTAGTCAAGATTGAAATATGAAGTCATTTTGTCTCGTATTCTTGTTTTCAGTTGCAGTTTTCAAAATATCAACGTTCTCGGAGATATTAATAACATGCAAATTCACCAAAAATAAGGACTTCACGACTCTCCCAGCAAATTCATATAGCTCTCTATTTTTAATTAAGAAATACAAACACGGTTTTACAAAAACTGAAGATCTATTTTCTTGAATTCTACTACCCTTGATTTACATAATTCATTAATTAATTACTAAAGTTGAACCCTAATCAGATGTTAATGAACGAGAACAAAGTGGTTATAGTATTTACCTTCGTTCAAGAGATGATGCGTGCCCTGGTAAGTCAGCGATTTCCAATAGAGTGCGACGCCAGTCAGCTACCCGATCGTCAGGATACTTATTTTTCAGTTTCAAGCATTGTTTCCTCAATGCCGATTTCGTAAATCCGTAGAAAACTGGAACAACCACCAGGTCGTTATTAGCCCGGCACTCGGAGACGTTCAACAATTCATCTAGGCATTGCTTGGAGAAAGCGTATTCCTCAGATAGAATCACCAGAGAAACCTTAGACTTGGCTATTGCGGCATCACGCTCCTCGGGGACACGATCATGATCACTTACATGGTATTCGCAAGTGATTCGCCGTCGGTGAAACTCCGCAGAGATATGGCTGAGAAAGGAATGACGTATGGTGTCCTCGCACCTGTTGAAGCTGACGTACACGGCGTTTCCGTCCATCATTATTCAAGATTGACTTGTCTCTTAAACAGTTAGAGAATTTATTTTTTCAACTTTTAAGGGTAGTCTTTGTTAAATAATTTATGGGTAGAGCCGTAAAGAAAAGACAATATTTCTATGAGTATATGTAGGCAACATAAAAAGACAAATATTTATTTGAAACATCCATGAAAGAAAAATGAAGCTTCCATGAAAACTTCAATTCCTGGCAATTTCTTTTTAACTAAACCAATTGAATACATGTGGCAAGAAAAAAAGATTGATCCTTATTGCTATGCGTGGCCACAAAAGAAGAGAAGACTTTTTTGGTTATTTTTTGTCAACAAATATATACGAAATTATAGCTACGAAAAAGAAAAACAAAATCAAAGGCTCTTTCAACTGTCGCAATTTTTTAAACTATTTTTTTTTTAAAAACTCCCCTCGCAATTTCTAAAGTCTAATAACCATTTTTCTAACTTCAACATATAAGTCTCTAATTCTTTCTATATTTTTCCGAATTATTTCACATTCATTTCTTTGTTGTTTTTCTTGTTTTCAGTTCTACTATATTTCTAATAAAATAAGAGAAAAAGTATTTTTTTTTTTTTTGGGAGGAAATTTGGTGTGGTAATTAGTTGTAAGAGCCAAGTCGCCAAATATTAAATAGTTTGTGGGATATTACACCAAGAAATCAACTTGTGGGATACAATTTATCAGGGAACGTTTCAAAGGCTATTACACCAAGAAATCAGTTTTCTAGAAGATGCAAAATAACCAAATTTTCTGTCAAAATTAAGAAAACCCTTTACAGTTTAATCACTCACTAATTAATGACATAAGTAACAATCCTAATCTTTATAATTAATTCTATAAATTGTAAACCGTAAGATTACGAAGCTGATTTGTAACGGCGGTTACTTGTGGCTGTAGAGATTGTGACTGTAAAAATTTTGACCGCAGAAACTTTGGCGGTAGAGATTTTGGCTTTAGACACTTTAACTCTTAAAATATGATTATTACCACAAATAACTTTAAAAAATGAAATACTTTTTTCTATTATATATAATTTTTATAAATATATGATGATTAATATTAATCCATATGTAAGCTCATGCTCTGAAACTAACCCTAAACGCTAATATATAAATATATATCCTATATCTTATTTGGTGTTTTAATGTTTCAAATTAGCACTTTAAAAAAAAAAAATAGAACTTGCGAAAGAAAAGAACTAAAGTAGTTTCGTCATCAACCTCCGTTTCGACCAACATTAGAACTTGCTTAATAGAATATCACTCTGAATGTACAGAAACTTCAACATGAACGTGGATCTCGTTTTATGCCTATAATTAAGGATTTTTATCCATAATCCATGGGTCGAAATCTTCCTGTCACATTATACCAATTTCAACATATTCGTTTCCCAAGTTGCCACCTATAAATTTGCGTACGTTGAACTTAGGCAAGTGCATCGTGGTTCCTAGCTAGCTAGTAATCAACTGGTTTTGTGGATGAGATTTAATTAGGAGAATAAACGAACTTTCGAGGAAAGTCAACCATACACTAATGTACAAATATACTTGACTCTTAGAAAGCGGACTTGTGGATTAAGGTGGAGGTTTTCCAATCTGATATTTATATATATGCTGACAAAATATTGTTTTTCAACTAGAATGTCACATTATTGTTTCTTGGTTCTTAAAGCCTATTTATGTTCATGACCATCTCCTTGGGTAATATTTTTCGTTTTCTTTTTGTAACTAGAAAGTTTGGGCCTTAGACCGTAATTCTCTTAGGGACCGGGTCAAAGCCCCGGGCAACTAAATATATCTAATGATTTCGCGGTTGAGGGAAATCGATCACTGTTCTATACCAACATAATAACTCCTCACTCAAGTGAAAACCACTAGAGTAAGACCATTTGGTTGCATTTATTGATCGCAACGATTCTCTACCACGTTCAAGCTAACGCTAAAAAAAAAAAAAACAGACGAGGTCCTTGGGTAATTTATTAAACTAATTATGAAAAATACAATAGAAATTAAAGAGCCCAAAGCATCAAATAACATTAAAATAAGCAATACAAACCAGTTTCATTTTTCTATAATAACATCCAATATTAAGGATTTTTTATTCTTTTTTTATCTTACTTCATACAAATTTCCATCAGATTATATTTATTCAACACAAGGTAATATCACCTTTCAATCATCTAGTGTGTTATTATCTTTTCTATAACCAGAATCATATTCATTTTTCTCACGGTGGCTAAATGTTAATAAGTTAATATCTTAGCTAGGACCGATCAAACCAATACACGCCCCGACAATTTGGTTTAGAGCTACTGTAATTAAATTGGACTATTTTAGTTATTGGAGTTCGTCAATTTGTAAAACCTTTATAAAAGAGTCTTCTACGTTGTATCTCTAACCCCAACCTGCAATATCAAACAAAACTCATAACTATTTTTTCCACGCAAAATCAGTCTCCCATGGCTTCCTCCTCCGTGGTCAGCTGTGTACCTCACTACCAAGTGTTCCTCAATTTCCGTGGGGATGAACTACGTAATAGATTCATTAGCCATCTGGAGAGGGCCTTGAAAGCTAAAAATATCAATATCTTCATAGATAGAAATGCCCCAAAAGGCGAATCTCTAGATATTTTTTTTGAGGAGATCAAAAGGTCAAGAATCGCCCTGGCAGTCTTTTCCCAAGGGTACACAGGGTCAGATTGGTGCCTGAACGAGCTAGTTAAGATTGGAGAACGCATGGACGAAGGAAATTTCGTGGCTATTCCCATCTTTTACATGGTGGAGCCAAAGACGGTTAAACATCAAGAAGGACCGTTCGGTGATGTTTTGAGAAAGAAAAGAAGAATTGTTGGTGATGACCAGATGAAAAAATGGGAGGGGGCTTTTAAGTCTGTCTGTAACCGGATAGGCTTCACGTTCGACGGGACGAGGTACAATTGTCTTCCCTTTTCTTAAGATAGCGTTATGAACTTATGGTATATAAAATTTATAGAAATTATTACGTCCACGTTAGCATGAACTAAGCTCAAACTGTATAGCTAGTCTTAAAATGAGATCTTTTTGATGATTATTTATTTTAAGAAAGCATTATTGCATGAGTTAATGGTTACGGCTTTGAATTGGTAGACTGCGACTTGGCCAAGACACTCGTCTGACCAATATTCACAAATATTTTCCTACGGTTGTACGTAATGCAGACATAAAAAAAAAAAAGAAAAAAAAATGTGTGCTAACCATAGACATTGTTATTTACCTAATACTAAAATGTACATATATAATCCTGACACTAGTTATATATAAAATAACTAGTGATATATATTTACAAAGATTATATACACATGATATGCACTATATATGATATATCTTTTCAGATCTAACAACATTTTCTTATCTTTGTAATATGCTTCATTAAATCAATAATAACATAAGGTTGTTCCTTAAATACAAACCACTAAACCGAGTATCAATAGCAAATCAAGAGAGGGAAATAAACCAAAAGATTAAACTAATTTACATTATCTGATATATCTAGTGCTAGGAGATGCATACAGTCACACTGAATTACTGATACGTATCTAGTTAAGAGACGCAGAAACGTATGATGTATCTAATTTATATTAGTGTTTCTTATGTAACCCTAACAAACAAAGCAGCATAGATATGTATATATTATATTATAACTGATGGATGCCTGGTGACTTTCTCACCCTTCCCAGTTTCCAACAAGGGGTGATGGGATCAACTTTGGCCTACAGATTATAAATAATAGCGAGTTCCAGTAATGAAATTGAAAACAATGCTTTGTTGGAAATTTTGGAAACTGGCCAAAATATTATTTATAATCTGTAGAAAAATATTATTTATAATATGTAGGCCAAAATAAGTTGATCCCAAACTGGCCAAAATAAGTTGATCCCAAACTTTGGCCTACAGATTAACAACTTTGGCCTACATCGGAAATGCTTTGTTCTAGTAATGAAAACATCATATGTTTTTAATCATAAAGCAATGACAATATTAGATATCACGGTTGTAAAATTTATTTAATAATAGATATCTTTGTTGTAAAATTTATTTAATAATAGATATCTTTGCTGTAAAATTTATTTATTAATAGATATCTTTGTTGTAAAATTCATTTAATAATAGATATCTTTGTTGTAAAATTTATTTAATAATAGATATCTTTGTTGTAAAATTTATTTAATAATAGATATCATATAAATCTTTTTTAACATATATTCTATCATCTAATGTTATTGATTAGCTTGTTACCTGTACCGTACGTAATCTAGCTAGCGGCTTCTGTATACGGTTTTCAGTCACAAGATTTACAACAAACATATATTTAATAAGTATTTTGTGCTTATCATATTATTATCACGTACTTTTTTATGTTTTTTTTAATATCAAAAAGAGGGAGTATTATTAATGACTAAAAGAAAACAAGTGTGAGAAAAATATATAATAGTACGTTAATTATTTATGTTTATCTATATATTAAAATTGAAGTACACTTTCAATTATAATTTTTATTTATTATATTTGCATAATAAATCGTTGCCATTTGAATAAATAATAAAGCTTTAAATGAAAGATGTTACACCATCATTATTTTCATATTTGAAATATTATACATATTAATTTAATTAAGTTGATTAAATTACGATTATATATAAATAAATAAAAACAAAATGACATGGACTATTCTACGCGTTAAATCATATAATTAACCATCACAATACAATTGTGATACTAAACAAAATTAATAAACAAATACAACTTAAACAAAAATAGTTAGAAAATTATCCTGCGAGTTAAGTAATAAAATTAACAATCAAAATACATAACACAATTTTAAACATTGAACAAAACAAAATAAATTAATGAATATAACTTAGATATAATTTTTTTACTAAAAAAATTTCCCAAAACCTAGTTTTGTGTAAACTCTTAAGTCTTAATATGGTTTTCGCTATTCAATCATTCAACTGTTAAATTATTTCACTATTTATTTGACGTACCAATCAATTCCATAATATATATTCCGTGATGAAGCATGGCCATTTAGATGTATAATTTGTCCTTCTGACATTGTGATGCAGCAACGAGAGCAAGTTCATTGATGAAATAGTCCAAGAGGTTTTGAAAGAGCTAAACAGAATTCCATCAGACGGGAGCTTAACTAGATCATTGGATCATTCACAAAACGCTGAAGGTCCCTTTGGAAAAACAGAGCCAGAGATTTTTGGGCTTGAACAACGCCTTTTAGAGTTGCAAGAAATGGTAGACAGTAAGAGAGACGAGACGCGTATCATCGGAGTCGTTGGGATGCACGGCATTGGCAAAACTACTCTAGTGAATAAGTTCTTTGAGACTCGGAAAAGCCACTTCGTGAAACATTGCTTACTCCGGGATATAAGTGAACTTGTAAAGTTCAAGGGAAGACGCTCAGAATGCTTAACCGGGATGCTCCTGAAGGGTTTGCTCGCAGATGACAACATAGACGAGGAAACATACGAACCATACAAGAAGAAACTCTGTAAAAACAAAGTTTTCATTGTTCTCGATGGGATAAGTGAAAAGACACAGATAGAAGTTCTTCTTAAGGATCACCATGACTGGACTAAGAAAGGAAGCAAGATTGTGATTGCAACAAATGACAGATCTTTGCTAGAGGGTTTTGTTCAGGATGCTGATATTTACGAGGTACCGCAGTTGAACCACAGAGATGGGTTAAAGCACTTTCATCTATATGCCTTCTCCCATAATTCTGTGGCGCACAAGAACAACTACGAAAAGGAAACTTTCAAGAAGGTGTCATCAAAGTTAGTGAGTTACGTAAGAGGCCACCCACTAGCTCTCCAGCTATTGGGGGAAGAACTTTGTGAGAAACCCGTCGCTAAGTGGGAAGAGAAACTGAATACACTCAGCCCAAGTATTCGAAGTCGTGTCTTGCAAGTAAGTTATGATGAATTGAGTCCGAAGTTGAAGGATGCGTTTCTCGACATAGCTTGTTTCAGATCCCGTGATTTGGTTTACGTGACGAGCATACTGGATTCATCTGGTCCTGAAGCCAAGCTTATAATCGAAGCTCTCAAAGATAAGTTCTTGATCAATACTTCTGACAGCAGCCGCTTAGAGATGCATGATCTTTTGTATAATTTCGCTAAAGAGATTTGCTCTGAAAGTCAAGGAAAAAGGCGACATCAGCGCAACGCAAATAATGTTTTGCGGAAACAGGTGAGACTTCCAGTTCTTGATTCAAATTTAAAAGCTTTCTTCATTTCTTCTTATATTTGCTGGCTTTTTGTTTGTTGTTGGTTTACAGGGAGGTAACAACAATGTTAGAGTCATAGGTATTTTCCTCGACTTATCTCAGATAAAGGAAGAAATAACCTTAGGAGTTAAGCATTTTAAGAAGATGTGTGATCTCCGATACGTCAAGCTCTACAGCTCTCACTGTCCTCAACAATGTAAACCTAACCATAAGATACGTATTCCTGAGGGACTTGATTTCCCATTGGAAGAAATTCGATGTTTACATTGGCTGAACTACCCACTGGAGGAACTTCCACCAAATTTCAACCCCAAGAATCTCGTCGACCTTAAGCTACCTTACAGCGAAATTGAACAGATTTGGAAGAATAAGAAGGTGTGTCTCTTTACAAGTAGCTTCACTGCTTCCTTGCTTTTGGCCCAGCATTATTGGTTGCTAGATGTCTTAAACTAACATAAGTGGTTGGATCTTTACTCGTCACAGGATGCACCAAAACTCAAGTGGGTTGATCTCAATCACTCAAGTAAGTTGAACAGCTTATCAGGGCTATCAAAAGCTCAAAATCTACAGCGATTGAACCTTGAAGGCTGCACAGCCCTAAAAACATTGGATCCGGATATGCAAAATATGGAAAGTCTTGTTTTCCTGAATCTGAAAGGATGCACAGCCCTTGAGTCTTTTCCTGATATAACATTGGTATCACTGAAGACTCTCATCCTCAGCAACTGCTCAAACCTTGAGAGTTTTCTTGTCAATTCAGAAATTTTAGAAGTTTTGTACTTGGATGGCACTGCAATAACTGAAGTTCCTACAACCATGGTAAAGCTTGTGAAACTAAACATGCAAGACTGCAAGATGCTGAAAAGGCTTCCCGAAGAATTTGACAAGCTGAAAGTTCTGCAAGAACTAGTATGCTCTGGTTGTTCAAAGCTCAGTAGTCTCCCGGATGTGATGGAGAACATGAAATGCTTGCAGATTTTACTGCTCGATGGAACAGCAATAACAAAGATTCCTCACATATCCTCACTTGAGCGCTTATGCTTAAGCGGAAACGATCACATCAGCCTTTCGGATGACATGAGTCAACTTTCTCAACTGAAATGGTTGGACTTGAGGTACTGTAAGAATCTTTTATATATTCCAAAGCTTCCACCAAACCTTCAGTGCTTAGATGCACATGGGTGTGGTTCACTGAAAAGAGTTGCGAATCCTGTGGCTACTCATTTGCCAATGGAGCAGATTCATTCCTCATTCATTTTCACCAACTGCGACAAATTGGGACGAACTGCAAAGACGGAAATCACAACCTATGCTCAAAGGAAATGCATAATGCTATCGTATGCACTAAAATGCTGCGATGAGGTATCTCTCTATCTCTCTCTGCATATTCTCATTCATTTCGTGATCTCAAGTAACCTTGTGACTATAAATTTTGTATTACATTTGCAGGGTATTGGTTCAGAGGCTTTGTTCAGCACTTGCTTTCCTGGGTGTGAAGTACCTTCATGGTTTTGTCATGAAGAAGTTGGATCCACTTTAAAGCCCAAACTTCCCGCACATTGGAACGAAAATAAGTTTGTCGGGATAGCTTTATGTGCTGTTGTCTCCTCCCAAAACTGCGAAGAAGAAATCAACTCTTTCTCGGTTACATGTAAGTTTGACCTAGAGAATAAAGATAAGTTGCAGATCTCCTTCGATCGCCTGGTTGGACATTGGAACAAACATAGCAAGAAACCAGAGAAGATGGCATCAGACCATGTTTTTATTTGCTATACCAGATGCTCAAATAACATCAAATGCCTTGAAGACACGCACTCAGGTACATGTATTCCAATTACAGCTTCCCTTGAATTTGGTGTGACAGATGAGAAAGCTAAACTGGAGGTGCTCAAGTGCGGCTTAAGATTGGTTTATGCATCTGATGAACCCCAGAAGACAAACTCTGATGTAACAGAGGTTTACAACACTTCACAAACGGATGAGCAAATCGATCTTCAAAGTTTACCCCCAATAAGGAATGACAGTTTCAACAGTAATGGAAATGGAAGTGATTCCAGTGTCCCTTACGAAGAGAGCTGAATTGGGAGGTAACATCCATAACTGATCAAGTGTGGTTGCCTATCTTATCAATCTGTTCTGTTCCAAGAATCTGTTTCAGCAGAAAGCAATTTTCCATCAAGCCTAAAACGTTCCCTCTTTCATAGACCCTTTAGAGTCTCTCCAGTCTCTTTGTAACGTATATCTCTATTCTCCAATGTAAAAGCAAGAATTTTTAAGATAGCAAGAAAGTACCTACCTTAAAGCTGAGAACTTTACTTTACTCGCCGATCGAATTACAGAGCAGACGCTGTGAGGGTAATGAAATTTCGCCCATGTCCATTGCTTACTAGAAAAGCCACTTCTGTTTTTCAAACAGCTCTACGGTCGTCCTTCGCCGCCGAGCCTGGTAATCTTGAGATTTGCTCATCCCAGTCTTAACGAAGTAATGTTTCAAAAGAGTCAGCTATTTGTTCTCTTCCTCCTTTTTGTTGATTAGTTCAATTTTGCACTTTGTTCTGGGTTTTAGGGATTTAGCACAAATTTATTGCTTTCCTAAATTGCCCTCGTTACCTCTCTCTCTCACTATCTCTCTTCTCTATGGTCACCGCTGCGCTTCTTCGATCTCTCCGCCGCCGTGAACTTTACGGGGCTTCCGTCAATGCGTATAAATTCGTAAGACTTGAACCCTTAATCTCTTTCAGTTCATTGGTATCTTGTTAGCTTGAGATTGGGGCTTTATCTCGCCTTCTCCTATCGCAGAGTTCTGCTAGCGCCGGTGGGAGGACGACGGAGCTCCGGTTACACGGAGTCAGAGATATCATCGCCGTTGCGTCGGGTAAAGGCGGAGTTGGAAAATCTTCAACGGCTGGTACACATCCGAATCTTTGGGTGTTGAGATATTAGATTGTTGGCTTTTGTCAAAATGCTAACGTAAGAAATTTGTGAATTTGGTTGATGTTTAGTTAACTTAGCTGTTGCATTGGCCAACAAATGTGAACTGAAGATTGGATTGCTTGATGCGGATGTCTACGGACCATCTGTTCCAATCATGATGAAAATCAATCAAAAGCCTCAAGTGAACCAAGGTAGATATATGCTTCTAGCAACAGATTTAGCATTTTGTGTATTTATATACATCGTTTACACTTTACTGTACCCTGTATTTGAAGATATGAAGATGATTCCAGTTGAGAACTATGGAGTTAAATGCATGTCAATGGGTCTTCTTGTTGAAAAAGATGCACCACTTGTGTGGAGAGGTCCTATGGTGTGTTTCTTTTTACATCCTTTGTAGAGTTTACTTATGCACGCACACAAAAAGCTGTAGTTCCGTATTCAAGCTTTATGATATTGTTACAGGTAATGAGTGCTCTTGCTAAGATGACAAGAGGAGTTGATTGGGGAAATCTCGATATTCTTGTTGTTGATATGCCACCTGGAACCGGTGATGCTCAAATTACCATATCTCAAAACCTGAAACTCTCAGGTTTGTATATATACTGATCTCGTTGTAGCATATCCGAGGTGTGTTAGATTAGACAAGTTTTGTAGTTATCAAAGTGTGATTATGTTTCAGGTGCTGTTATTGTATCAACTCCACAAGATGTTGCACTTGCTGATGCTAATCGAGGAATCTCCATGTTCGACAAAGTTAGAGTACCTGTACGGCCATCTTCTTTGTGATCTTTGCCTGCTTGGATCATATATATTTTAGCTGATTGATCTTTCTGCATTTTTTTGCTAGATCTTGGGACTTGTGGAGAACATGAGTTGCTTTGTTTGTCCGCACTGTAACGAACCTTCTTTCATATTTGGGAAAGAAGGAGCACGCCGCACTGCTGCAAAGAGGGGTTTGAAACTTATCGGTGAGGTAAATAATCTAAGCCAGAACCGATTTGTTACTGCGATTTTTATTGCTTCTAAGACCCTTCTTCATTCTCTTTGTGGCCTTACATTAAATACTATTTGGTTGCATATATAGATTCCACTGGAAATGACGATCAGAGAAGGTTCTGATGAAGGTGTTCCTGTGGTCGTCTCTTCACCGGGTTCTATAGTATCAAAAGCTTATGAAGATCTAGCTCAAAACGTGGTGAAAGGGCTCAAGGAGATTAGAGATAATCCAGAGAATGAGATTCAGATGAAGCTAAATGTTCCACATCCCAGCGGCTCATCATAGAACAAGAGGCTAATATATAAAGTTTGTTTTGCTGCTTCACCATAAGTTTACCAAAGAGAAGAAACTATTGGCAGAGGACAAAGCGATAAAGCCACTCATTCTTTATGAACCATATGAATCAGCAAAACAATTTGTTGAAGCTTTCACTGCTTAGATAGGAAGACGATGAATCAAAATAAGACATGTAAAGATTTACTTTATAGTTATGTCAAGATTTTGAAGAAGAAACTATAGCATTCAATTTTATGAGTAATATATGTTGAGATCACTTCACTATGTAAGATGTGATCAGCAAATTACCCCTTCATTATCTTCTTCTACCTTGATTTTCATGGTCACCATTCTTCATCTTCTCTACATGAATTGTACCAAAGAGAATGATACAACGAGAAGAATGTATTTGCAGATGACAAAAGCAATAGAGCCAATCGCTGATTAATGTGGTGACTTTCATTTATTAGATAGGAAGATGATAAATCAAATAAAGAGATGTAAGGATCACTATAGACTTAAAAAAAAAACATATGCTCTGAGAAAAACACGAAGAGAAGACATGTTGAGATCACTTCACAACATAAGGAGATGAGATCACCAAATAACTCCATCATCTTCTTCTTCAACTTCATCCTCCACTTCATCTTCAAATCCAAGATCTTTATCGCCATAGCATTCTTCATCTCCTCTATACGCATCTTCATTACTGTATTCCTCACTATAGTCTGGTTCTTCTTCTTCAGAACCTTGAGGTTTCAAAAGGCTTTCTTCACTGCTTTGATTTGAATATTCCACTTGGTCACCAGCACTGGCTGCTTTCCCTAGCTTAGCCCTCTTTGGAGAGTTATCCTACAAAGATGTGAATGCACATAAGAGACTCGGCAGAGAAACAAGAGGCCTACTCTATCAACAAGAAGCTGATATCTCTTCAACTTTGAATTCTGTGTGAAATATAATTTACAAATTGAACGCGGCTCATTACTTGCTAGAGAAAGGGGTAAACTTACAGGATCAAATAGCTTATCCAAGACATCGTAATTGATTTCCAAACTCGGTCTCTGCATGAAATAAGACAAGAATCGAATTTATGTCAGATGATACATTTAAATACAGATGAACAACATGGAAGATATAAAGAAATCTGAAACAAAAAAGGTGAAATCTATATAGACATTGTTTCAGAGAGCGAGCTGAAGGAATGGTAGCACTGACCTTTTCATTTTCAGGTTCTGCATTGCTTTCGGTTCTTGTTGCAGAAGCTTTCTTACTAGGAGCAGTCTTATTAGCAGGATCCTTCTTTCTCACAGTGGTAACTTTCCTCCTCTTTCCCTGATAATCAATAAATAAATGATCATTAACAAGAAGTTCACTTAACAGAAATTAAGAAGACCGAAGACAGGTTAAGAAAGCAAAAACCTTTTGGTATTCAGGGTTCATCAATTCCCATGCTCTCTTCTTCAAAATGAATTCTTCTTTATTACTTAGATAACCAGCAACCTGATGATGTGCAGCAATAACCATCAAAATCAGAAAAGGGTACATAACTCGCTCTTTTCCGAAGCTAAACTGGAAAAAAAGGACAAGAAAAGGCAAAACACAAGAAAATAGTTTTGACTAGGTTATATGGTTGGAATTGAGTGAAACTAACACGTGATGGACTTACATGTTAACAAAATGCTGGTTCGCCACAATCCAGGAACAACAATTGTTGTGGTTTACAGAGACTAAAACCATAGATGGGAGGATTTGAATTAGATAAAACATCCACAAGAACAAATTATATCCTCCTTTAGAAAGTTTGAGAGATGTAATGCTAATTTCAATACATGTGTTGAAATTGGTGAGAGCTACAATAAGCATCAACTAAGCTTTAAGTAAGAAATTATTTTCTTTTACCTCAGTATCACGGATATCAGATAAATCCCCTGCAAGATCAGCTGCAGGTTTTCGCGAAGAAAAAACTCCTGAAAAATCAAATCACATCATCAGTATTAAGTATTCACCCGAAAATAAAAGATACCTTCTGCATAATCTTAAACATAAAACATCCATAGAAAGAGTATTTGCAATTTTTACCTTTGTTGCCGCACACGTTGAGCTTTCTAGCAACTAAATTAGATGTATTGTCTTTTGAAGATAATTTTACTGACTTCCCCACCTGAAATCGATATACAAACGAATTAAGAAAAGCATTCAAAACATGGTTTTTTTTCTGCAAAGATGCAGCAGATGTCTACCATCAATCAAACAAAGCTCCTCATAAGTAGGATTCTGTAGTTATATCATCGATGCAATATCAATATCAATATCAATAAAAGATCCATGCTTTGATCTATACTATCTGCTGATTTTTCCTATCTAGATTACAGCCACACACAATTCAATTAACAAAGCATATGTAATTCATGAATCCACTTAAAGATAGAAAAAAAGCCCTAATAAATCCAGAATCAGATCAAAACTAGAATAAGGAAGGGAAAAGTTACCATCTTCACGAACCCGATCGCCGGTGAGAATTTGGGTTTTGAATTATCGCCGGTGATAGATTTGTTTATATGAACGAGATCGACATCGAAGGAGAAGCTTATTTATAACTTTTCTTTTCACATTTTTCCAGTTTTTCAATTTCGATTTTGAATTAACACGTGTCCTAATCAAATTGGTGATATGTTTTGCCAAGTAAGCACAGGAACTTTTATTAATAAGCTATTTTTATTTAAACCCTTTTATTATAAAAATCCGTTATAATACATAACATAAATATATAATATTATTGTATATGTGTATATATATGTATAATTAGTATATATACTAAATTAATAAAAGAAAAAGAGAAATATATATAAATTTTAAAAACATATATGTCATTGTCTTTAAATCTCATATAATACATAAATTTTAACGAGATATGTTATTTAATTGTGAATTTGTGATAAAGCATAGCCTGCTTTATATCTAACGATCAATCTAGAAAATAGAAAGCTTTTTATTTGGTAAAATTAGGTAAAGCCTATGTATATATGTAGAACGATCAACGCGGAATGATATAACACTTTTTTACCGTATAGGAGGCCTACCCTACTATGTATAACGATTTTTTAATTTGATCATAAATGAAGCATGGCATCTATATATAATGACGAATCCAGATATAACAGTCTTATATTTGATCATATAATAGGCATAAACTATTATTAATATTGATCTTTCCAGAAAATACATAGTCTTTTGTTAGATCGTGAAGGAGGCAGAGCCTACCATATACAACAATCCACCTAAAATTATATAGCTTTATATATGACCCTGAAGGAGACAAAGCCTACCAAATATAACGATCGAGCTATCCTGAAAAACATAGCTTTATTTGGTCGTGATAGAAACATAGCACAATATTTATCTAATGATCAATATGGATATAATATATTTGATCGTAAAGGAGGCAACGCATATCGTTTATGGCGATCATTCCAGAAAAGGCATAATAATAAACTATGCTATAATATAAAGCTATTCCGGCAGCCTAACGGCTATATCAGCAGCATAACAGCTATACGAACAACACAACGGCTATATGATCGTCTAACGGTTATGTTGGTAGCATTACAGTTATACGAGCAACATAACAGCTATACCAACGACCATTATAACCTCAACCAACAGATCGAACCAAACAAATCAAGTAGAATGCAAAATCTAAACATATATGCTTGTCGATCATACGTTTAAATGTATAACAAGCTAACCAAGATTTATGCATGATTTATTCTAAGTGTAAAATTATAACCTCCTGAAAAAAATTAAAATAAATAAATTCCTAATCGTGTACTACTACACGGCCGGAGATTCACGATGTATATAACATTTATTTTCTATAAACATAGATTGAAATAAACATTTATGTTCTATAAACATAAATCCTATAATATAAATTTTATTTACCTCGTAAAAGCTATAACGATATGATAACGTGTTATGAAAACATATGGGCTTTGTTTATTGACTTTAGAGAGTCTGTTGTAAATATCTCAAACCATTCTAGCTTTTCTCTGTTTCCTTTGGTTTCAGAGGTGTGTCATATCTTCGAGTTATTACTAATTTCTATCTTCATGAGCCTTTGCTTGTTGAAGAAGAAGAGGTAGGGTGTCTCAATGTTACTTCTTATAGTGAGGCTGTATTGTTCAGCCTTGCTACGCTTTCATGGCTGAACCCTCTTCTATCACTTGCCGAGTAAAAGCAAACATGTTTTGAACAAAAAAAACTTTGTGATTGTCCATTGATGTGCTCTCTCTGATTTTGCAAGTGTTGGTGAAGCTGTGAGATTGATGGTTATAGTTTGATTGGGTTTTTCTCTCTGTTTTGGTTGTAGCTTGTATCAGTTTGTTGTTATAGGTCTAATTGGTTGTATCTCATTTTTTTATGCAGCTTGGTGAAACTTTGACATGTGAGATGCAAGTGTTGGTGAATGGTGAATCTGCATATGTTGGCGAAGTTGTGAGATGTAAGATGAGAGATGCTAGTGTTGAGAGTGTGTGTTTTTTGAGAGTCAAAACACTTGTACACAATATTTCAATATTTTAAATTTTAGTAATCTCATGAAAAGTTTTAATCATTGGAACATATTTTTTTTTCTAAAAAACTTTGATGAGTTTCAAAAGTTTGATTTTGTAGTATTTTTATTACAAATATGGTTTTTTTTTTGTCGTCATTACAAATATGGTTAGGAATTGGAATTTGTAGTATTTTTATTACAAATATGGTTAGGAATCTCATGGATTCTTAACCATTAGAGTCTAAGTAAATATAGATAAACATGATCTAAATCAATGGATAGCAATGAATAGTATAATCTATATGACATGGATGAGAGTAGGTGATTGGATAATCACCTACATAATGATCCATTTAGATAACTATCCATTTATATAATTATTCCATTTACATAATTCTCCATTTATAATCTTCAATTTTCCCCCACAAAAGAAAAAATTCATAGAAACGAGGAGGTGGTGACTGGTGAGTACTGGCTCGCGCTCTTCCTTCTTAGTTCTTTGGTTCCTCGCTGCTCAAGGCTTAGATTTTTTTTGGTTTACGCTCTTCTTTTTCTCGTTGAGTGCATTTGTTTTATGTAAAGTATCGATCTTTTTCCTACTTCTTAATCCGACTTTGAGGTTTTCTTAGTCGTTCTTCATCTCGAGTTCCGTGAATCTTGCTACGTAATTTTTGTGAAATTTTGTTTTCTTTTCTCATCATTTCATGATATCTTCACCATTCTTTCACTGAAAGTTGCAATCTTTATGCCCCATGGCCATAGTAGTTCTTTTGTCTCTGTTTCTTGTTGAAACCATTGACCCTTGTGAAGTTGTCTTGAGTCTGTTTTAAAGTTGATGTCTTTAATCTTCAATATCTTGTTAAGGTTTACAACAATCTAAAAGCATCACAATTTTACTCTGATTTCAGAAAGCAGTCGAAGATCATCTCTGTTTGCTTACCAATGGATGATGAAGAAGCATTGGCTGGGAATGCTTCTGGAAATGAGAGCGAGAGCGACGTTTCGTCAATGGCGAGTAATCTCCATGATGATGAGATCGTCTCTTGGTATTTCTCGAAAGAAGAGATCGAAACTAACTCACCGTCAAGGCGAGATGGTATTGATTTGACCGTGGAAACTCGCCTGCGCAACTCCTACTGTGCATTTTTGGCAAATCTCGGCAGAGTATTGAAAGTGTAAGTTTCATTTTCTCTTACTTCCATCTATTAGCCTGCTCTAGTTTCTCTTGTGCTGATATTTAGTAGATTCACCATCTTTAAGGACAAGTATCCTTATGACATATAGGCTTTGGTCTTTTATAAATTTTGTAATGCCATGTGCTGCAACGGGATTGATACTCTAAGCTAGTTCATTTTAGAATGGGATTTGTACAACCTTGTATTTGGTATGTTTATTAATATGAATCTTAAGAGCTAAAGGCCATTAATTGCGTCTTTATTTCCAAGTTGTCTTCACTGTGCATAGCTCCATCTAAAGGCCATTAAGAAGCTTATCATTTTTTTTGTTCTTCTGATGATTGTGGGCTGATATAAGTTTCTCATTGCAGTCCCCAGGTAACGATAGCCACTGCTATGGTATTCTGTCACCGATTCTTCATTCGTCAGTCGCATGTCAAGAATGACAGATGGGTGAGTTTAGTTTTCTGAACAATATGGTTACTAAGGCAATATATGTCTTTTTGTCTCTGTTGTTTTGAGTGAAACTGTGAGTCTATTAGCCTATTGGCTGTCTTGTGATTTAAAACATCCTGGCTTCTTGAGATACCTCTATAGATATCCATCTCTGTGTCATCATCTTTGCTACTTCTAGTCAAAGCATATTAGTTTATTGATCAGATGAGTCTACCTGATTTTATTCAAGATAAAACTGTCTTGGTCTCTCATAGAGATCAAGCTCTTTGTTTCTTCTGGTTTGGATAGATTTTGCATGGTTAATAAATTTTTGCATGTTTTGAGATGATGTATTCTTCTAGAGCAGTAAGAACAACTAAATTAGTACTTACGCCTTTACCTGTTACATTTGCTCTCCAGACGATTGCAACAGTCTGCATGCTCCTAGCTGGGAAGGTTGAAGAAACTCCATTGGATTTACAAGATGTCATTGTTGCCTTTTATGAAGTAATACACAAGAAGGATCTTGCTCGTTCTCAGAGAAAGGTTCTTTTTTTCATTCTATACTGATCCTACAACTCTCCTTGTCCATTTCTTCTTCGTTGTTCAGTTCAGTAGGTTTTTGAAAAGAACTATTCTTTCCTTTTGCATATAATTAAATGTCATTTCACTTTTGCAGCAAGTTTATGAGCAAAAGAAAGATCTCATATTAAGGGGAGAGGAGCTTGTTCTTTCTACATTAAACTTTGATATCCATATTGTGCACCCTTATAAACCTCTTGCAGAAGCAATGATGAGATATATGCTTCCAAAGGCTAATGCCCAACTTGCATGGAATTTTGTCAACGATAGGTATGCTTGCAAATGCTACATATTTTCAACTTCGAATGGTTCTTTATATATATACGCTAGCCTTGTGTTTTTCTTTCTTCATATAATCATGAGTCCCTTGCAGTCTGCGGACCTCTCTCTGCCTGCAGTATACGCCTCAGCACATAGCGGCTGGTGCTCTTTTCCTTGCTGCTGATGTCCAAAAAGTGAACTTAAAATTATATGCAGAGGTCTTATGTCAAGATTTTGGTATCACAACTTGTCAACTAAAGGGTATGTGTATTCTTTTTTTTTTTCTTAAGAAATTAATGACTTTGATGGCTCTCTAGACCTTTGTTGCTGCGGTTTATTTATCATTTGCGTTTTTCAGATATCCAAGGCCAAATGCATGATCTTTATGAGAGAAAGCATATTCCTACATCTCAAGAAAGCTTAGCTGAAAATACTGGTGGTGTAGCCGTAGTGCATCAACCAGTATCCGGAGATACGGCTTCCAAAGATAAGTGTCCAAGTTCTGATATTGAAGGAGGCTCAACCAAAGCCAATCCAAGCCAGAGCAATGATCATTCAGTGCACGATGGGTCTAGACCTGAAGGCATTGGCGAGGAGGACTCAAAAAGTGAAGCTGGAAAGAATCGAGATGACCATTCTGTTCGTACTATAATTGCTGAGACAAGTGATAATGTTGGGGTCAGCCCATTGGAGTAAGACTTGCAAGTGCATCAAGAGGAGGTGGAGGCTTAAACAAGAGAAATAGAAGATTTCATTTGACCACAGGATTTAGCAGTACTGTAGTGTGTTTTTTTTTCCCCCGTCGGATTTAGCGAAGTTAACCACAGGATTTTATTTTTGCATTAAATTAGCAATATATTTAGCCACCTCCTCAGCAATATAATTATAATTTGAATTTCCATACATGACGCCATTTTATTTCCATACATAATGCTTATTTTCCGAAAATTAAAAAGTAAAATGAAAAAAAAAAAAAGAGAGTAAAAAATCGTGTAGGGTACGCTTCTGGTCACTTTGAAGTCATTCTTAATTAGTCTTTTCATTTTCCCATTTCTTCCTCTCCGATTCTTGCTTTGTGTCGCTCTGTGTCCTTAACAAAGGTATGATGTATTTTGCATGAATCTACTACTATGTGTATTTGTTTGTAATCATGATAATCTTACGGTTCTGTCTTCTTTGAATTTCGATTATCGACTAAGGTTCTTTTTTCAGCAAATCCTAATTAGATTCCGTCTGTAAAAACGAAAACACTGTTTAATTTCTGGTTAAAACATTTTCCTAAACATTGTACTCGGTGCTTTGATGTTTTTCACCACCAAAAAAAAAAGAAGTCTTGTATATGGATTCCTGCAAAAATGTGATTTTTTTTTGTAACTCATGAAATATTCCTTTAAAGTCTTAACCTTTCTCCCCTGGTTATTACAAGTGAGCTATCCCAACATGGAATGTAACAAGGATGAAGCTAGAAGGGCAATGGATATCGCTGCGAGGAGAGTTTCAGAGAGTGATTACAACGGAGCCAAGAAATTTGTTAACAAAGCTCAGACTTTGTATCCTAACCTTGATGGTTTGAAACAAGTGTTGATGATGATTGATGTTTATATCTTTGCATCAGACAAGACCAACGGAGAAGCTGACTGGTACGGAGTTCTCGGTGTTGACCCTTTGGCTGATGATGATGCGGTGAAGAGACAGTACAAGAAGTTGGCTCTTTTGCTTCATCCTGATAAAAACAAGTTTAAAGGCGCAGAAGGTGCTTTTAAGCTTCTTTCACAAGCTTGGTGTTTGCTATCTGATAAGGTCAAGAGAAGTGCTTATGATCAAAAGAGGAAGTCCAAAGAAGCAAAGACCCCAATGCAGAAACCACCAAACCCATCAACACACAAGCCTGCTTCTCACAATGGGAATCAAAATGCTGGAGGAGGTGTGTACACGAGTGCTGGCCCTGCTGGGGCTTCAAGTGATAAGCCTGCTAATGGGATGCCAAAACCACCAAACCCAACACCCAAGCCTGCTTCTTATAATGTAAATCAAAATGCTAGAGGGGGTGTAAATACTAGTGCTGAGGCTTCAAGTGATAAGCCTGCTAGTGGGATGCCAAAACCACCAACGCCACACAAGCCAGCATCTTCTAATGGGCGTCACAATGCTAGAGGCGGGTATCCGAGTGCTGGGGTTACAAGTGATAAGCCTGCTTGTGGGATGCCAAAACCACCAAATCCACACAAGTCACCATATTCTTACGTGTATCAAAATGCTAGAGACCGTGTGGATCCGAGCCCTAAAGCTACGAGTTATACGCATGCCCCTTCTCCTACCCCTACCTTTGCCTCTGCTGATTCACCAAATATGCAGAAATATGGTATGTTGTGGACAATTTGCAATAGATGCAAGACACAATGTCTACATCTGGAGCATTATTTTGGTTGCAAGTCCATACCTTGTCAAAAATGTGGTCATCTTTTCACTCCAACCCAAGTTGTGAAACCAGTCAACTGCTCATCATCTTCTCAACAACAACAACAAAATAGTGCTCAAAAGAAAGCAACAAACAAGAACACCAATGGAGCTTCTTCTTCTCCATCTGCAGCTCAGAAAACTCCACAAGCAAGTGCCAAAAGCCAAGCAACAAACAAAAACACAAATGGAGCCTTTTCTTCAGGGAATGTTTATGCATCATCTGCTAGTGTAGCCGCGACAACTCCATTGGCAAGCGTTGTGAGGCCAGTCCACCCCTCTTCGTTTCCTACAAAACAACAACAATGGAGTGCCCAAAATATAGCAACAAACAAAAGCACCAACGAAGCTTCTTCTTCTAGGATAAACTGTTCGACATCAACTAGTGCAGCTCCAAAACCTCCACAAGCAAGTGCTAAAAGTCAAGCAACTAACAAAAACACAAATAAAGCCTCTTCTTCACAGATATTTTCTTCACCAGCTGTTAGTGCAACCGCGAAAACTCCACAGGGAAGCTTTATGAGGCCAGTCGTCAACCTCTCATCATCTCCTCAACTACAACAACAACAACAATGGAGCGCCCAAAGCACAAGTGATGGTACCTATTCGCAGACATTTTCTTCATCATCGGTTAGTTATACCTATAGTTTTCAGTGGAATTGTTCAGTGTCAGTAACGGGAAATTCTAGTAGCACAGATGTTGCAAATCAAGCGCAAGAAAGTTTGAAAAGAGTACAAGAGGAGTCACAGAAAGCGGTTGCTGTTGCAGAGAAGGTTCTTAAGAAGCCAAGGGCAAATGGGAGATATAAACAGTAAAAGACTTGTCACAAATGTCTTGAAGTTGCTGAGTTCTGGTTTCTGCCTTTCAGGAATGCTTTATGATATGATATGAAACTCTTTTTCATCTCTAGACTTAACTACAGTGGAACAAGATTTCATGATTTCATCCTGGTGTAGTTTAAAGATTTGTGGTAGATCCTTTTGATTCAAGAAAATTTGGTTACATGACTCTGAATTCTTGCTTTCCTCTGGTATTAGCTCTGTTTTTATTTTCACAACTGTTTTACTCCCAGTAACTTATGGAATTAGATTGAAACTTGGACAGCGACATATATAACATTGAATCTTTGACACCAAAATATAAGACAAATCCCCTGCCCGACCATAATCACGTAATCAGAATATTCTGATACTCATGTTAGCATCCATACCACAAATACACATATGTTCTTAAAACATGCTTAAATCTTAACAGGACAGCTCTGATTACTGTCTTTCTCTATTCACAGCCAAACAATTTTCAAGGAAACAAACGATTGTTGTAAACAATTTGTGTGTCCGTAAATCCGTAATGATACATACAGTATGTAATTGTTGGATTTATAAATAATGCTCCACAAAGAAACAGTTGTTAGATGGACTAAGAATTTTGTGTCCACTCGCCTTTTAAGTAAATCAACCTGTCTCCAGAGATGTTGGCTTCTACAGATAAGTGTTCAAATCTGATATCAAAGGAGGCTCATCGGAAGTCAATCTAAGCCAGAGCGATGATCACCACGATGAGTCTAAGCCTCAAGGAATTGGAAAAGGAGAACTCAGAAAGTGAAGCTGGATTGATTTAAGACGACCACTCTGTTTTTTTTTGGTAGGAGACGACCACTCTGTTGGTAATCTAATTGTTGATACAAGTGATAATTTATTAGACACTGAATTATAAAGTTTCCTTTTTTTCCATCAATAAGTGTTACGTGTAAGACACGCCTTGTGGTTTTTATATAAATCTAGATTTAATAGGAAAGCAAATCTTCTTTTTGTAAAAGCAATATCGCCCTAACCTTTATAACAATTACGTCTTTTGATTTCTTCCTCTTCTCTGGCGGCGTTTCTAGGGTTCTTCAGCTGCACGAGTTTTTTCACAAGTTTTTTTAATGGGTATTGTTATTTGCACTGAAGTGTTACAAATCTGTTTCTGATTTTGTGTTATAGATATATATTTTTCGTGGCTTCTTTTGAAACTCTGTTTTGGTTCTGTACACAATCCTCTGAACCTATTTCGTTTTGTCTTTTGCATCTCTGATTGTTTCTGTAGAGGAGGAAACTCAATCAACGACATGGAGTCTAATAAGGAAGAAGCTAGAAGAGCATTGGATATTGCTGATAGAAAACTTTCAAAGAATGATTACCATGGAGCGAAAAAAATCGCTATAAAGGCTCATGAGTTGTATCCAACGCTAGAGGGTTTGGAACAAGTGCTGATGATGATCGATGTTTACATCTCTGCATCAAACAAGATCAATGGAGACGCTGATTGGTATGGCATACTCGGTGTGGTCGATCCTTTAGCTGATGACGAAGCTGTGAAGAAACGTTACAAGAAGTTGGCTCTTTTGCTTCATCCAGACAAGAACAGGTTTAATGGTGCTGAAGGCGCGTTTAAGCTGGTTTCGGAAGCTTGGCATCTATTATCTGATAAAGCTAAGAGAATTGCTTATGATCGAAAGAAGAGATCAAACCAAACTGGACAGAAACCAGTAAAGCGACATGAGCCAACTTCTTATCCGTATAGGTCTGTTTTTAAGCCTTATAGGGATAGGCCTGAGCCTAAACATGAGCGTGAGAAGCCTAAGCATAAGCCTGAGCGTAAGAAGCCTGAGCCTGAGCCTGAGACTAAGACTAGGCCTGCGACTAAGACTGAGACTGACACTAAGCCTAAGCCTAAGCCAAAGCCTAAGGCTGAGCATGAGTCTTCATTGGAAAAAATGAATGACGGTACCTTTTGGACACTGTGCAGTAGCAAAAGATGCAAGACATATTGGGAACATAAGAGGGATTATCTTAACAAGACCTTAACTTGTCAAAACTGCATGAAGGATTTAATTGCGACCGAAATAATCTCAGAGGCACACATTGGGAGGCCAGTCATCATAATGAGTCCCTGTAATCAGCCCATGAGCAAAAGTACAAGTGACACTTTCTCTAATTCAGCATCCAACAGTGCAAACGCAAATGCTGCACCCATAAGAATGAAAAGATGGTTTGATCCTCTTGATTCTTCACCGAACAAAAGACTATCCAATATCTTTTGGACAGTGTGCAATCGATGTAAGACACTTTGTAAACTTTTGAGGGATGATTCTCTTAACAAGACTCTGGCTTGTCCATACTGCAGTGAGGATTTCCATGCGGCCGAGATCATTCCAAATATAGTCAATGGAAGGCCGTTCTTCTACTCTGGTCAGTCAAGCAGCAAAAACACAAGTAGTGATGCTTCTTCTACTACTACTTCAGCATCTGCTAGCGCAAAGCCAAAGACTGCATATCAAAGTGGAGGAATTGCAAACGTGCTGAAGAGAGTGTTCCCTGAGTCACGAGAAAAGATTGCTGCTGATTTTGCTGTTGCTGCAGCTGGAGGAAACGCAAACCTTGCAAAGAGGATTTACAAGAAGATGACAACAGGATTTAAAAACTCTGTTTTAGAAACAGAGACCCTTTTCGAGGAGCCGGTGACAACAGGAAATGAAAACTCTAATCTTGAAGCAGAGAGGCTTTTCAAGAAACCGATGACAACATAAGATGCCAACTCTAGTAACTCTTGCAGCAGAGAGGATTTCAAAGGAGCACATGACAGATGTGAAATAAAAAGTAAGATCGACATTTGAGTTTAGACGTTAATCAAATATATGTTTTTTGTTTCTTGGTATGCATCAGTAATAGTTTTTTTTATTTGATCATATGAAACTTGAATTTACAGTGCTGCGAGTTAACCTTTGATTCAATTCTATTTCCTTTTTTCCATTGAGTTCATTCATCTCAAGCTGTTGCTAAGTGCTAGCCACACTACAATTTTGTAAAGGTACACCTATGCTTCTCTGCCCTTTCTCCACTGATGCTCTTCCTTCTTATGTTCACTCTCATAATTCAAAAGCGTCAATAAATTGATCCGTTTGTGAAATAATACAGGAAACAGAACCAAACCAAACATGCACACGTTAAGATGCATCAACGTTAGCTCTAGCTCCTTGCAAGTCTGATGACTTTGGTACGTTTTTAACTTTTTATGGTCTACCATTTAGTGATAGACAGATGAATATTACTAAAATATATAAAATTTAAGAACACACAAGTTATATATTATGCTATTTTGTTTACAAATGCATAAACATCATTTGTGTATTAAAAAAAATAAAATATATATATAAATAGTTAATATTAGGAAAATAAGATTTTTTTTATCAATTTCCACGCGTTTGTTTTTTTTGCTTGTAGTGCAAGTTCTATATTCTCCTCTTCTTATTACAGATCATTACCTTTCGGACAATGTGCAACAGATGCAAGACACAATGTGAGTTTTTGAGGTCTAGTAACCTTAACCAGACTAGGACTTGTCCAAACTGCCGTCAGGAGTTTGTTGCGGCCGAGATTGTTCCAGCGATGGTAAATGGGATTCCAGTCTTCAGTTGTGCCAGTCAATCAACAAGCAAAAGCACAAGTGATGAAGCTTCTTCGTCGACAGCTTCAGCTTCTGATAAAGCAACTCAACCACAAGAAAGAGAATTGCAAGATGAGATTGTTCCTGCTACTGCTTCACCTGATGCAAGAGGAAATGCAAACTAAGCATAGAAGCTCTTCAAGAAACCTATGAAAGATGCGAAATAATAAGTAAGACATGAGGAAGTACAATTCCATATCTCTTTATATTTTTCTATTTTGTGCGTTTAGTAATAGTTTTTTATTTGATCTTATGCAACTTGGATTTACAGTACTGCAAATTAAAGAATTGAAATGGAGACAGGTCTCTTTGCTATAAAGGTTAGACATTAATACACCTTTCTCTCTTCTTTTTTGGATCAATCTGTTTTCAAACTGCCTAATATCATTGCAATTGGTAGTGACTTCAATTCAGTAAGGTAAATAGTTCTACACTGCAGAGTTTAAAGTAAAAGCATTGATGTTGGTTAAATTAAAGGTGTTGTCACTATGTGCTGAGTAATAATCCTGATTTTGAAGTTAAACTTAAGATGATTACAGATGCAAGTTTCCTTAGCCAGTCGTCAAACTATCATCATCTCCCTAATATAACAACAACAATGGAGTAGCCAAAACACATATGATGGTTCTTATTCAATGAGTTATTCTTCACATATCATCTGTCAGTTTAAGCTATAGGTTTCATTGATTTGTTCAATATCGGTAAGGGACAGTTCTAGTGACGAAAAAATGTGGCAATCAAGCGCAATAAATTTAAGTTCGAAAAAAGGACCCTAGGAGGAGTCACAGGAAATGTTTGCTGATGCAGAGGACATACTGTATATGTGAGATAAGAAGTAAGACTTACAGCTTTTTGCCTTTCACGAATTAAGAAGTATGAATCTTGTTTCATCTATAGACTAAAAAGTACAGTGGAACAAGAGGAAGCTAGAAGTGTAATGTCTCAACTTCTCTAAAACACTAATAATGTTTTGGATCAATCGATTATTAAATACTAATAATATTATTGCAATTGGTATTGAGTTCAATTTAGTTAAATATATTGGTTTAAGCCTTAAAGGTGTTGACAATGAACTCTTTGGCCGTTACTATTAGTTTAGTATCCTTCCATTATCTTTGACCAGAAAGAAAAAATTAAATATATTCTTGCATTCAAAGCAATATAATTTATAAAGCACCGTTATTTAAGCTTTCAATATCACTATTATAAATAGAGTGTTTGAAACACACAAAGGAGAAAATATAAATCACATTTGTATCGTCTTGAATTTTCAATATGACAGCAATGTTCATCAAACACAAAACTTTTATGTTTCCTTTGTCGTTGTTATTACTTTTGTTCTTTGCGTCGACAGATACAAATGCGATGCTCATCAAAGACATGTATGCATTTTGCAAGGAGACAGAAGACGTGAACTTCTGCTTGAAATACATTGGAACGGACGTACGTATTATAACCGCACGCGACTTCAATGACGTGCTTTTAATTGCGGTAGGTAACGTTAGATAACTAGTTTCTTATTCTTTTTATCATCATGTAGAGATTATATACTAATATTCAACTGTTGGAACAATAACATTCACAATATTTACTCTATGTCTTTATTCCTTCTCTAAAAAATAAAAATGTCTTGATTTCTTATTATCAGATTTCTCAATGCCAATATCAAGTGAACGATGCAGCCACACAAATCGACAAAGTCCGCCAAAAGTTTAGTGGTCCGATAGGAACTCATCGAATAGTTTATTGTCAGAACTATTACGAGTTAGCATATGCTTTGTTCCGAAAAGCTTATGAAGAAGCAGAAGGAGGAGAATTCGCATCCGTAGCTCAGATATCTGCAACGGATGGGTTAAACTATATGCGCAAGTGCGAAGACGAATGGAAAAAGAATGGACCGATACAAAAGTCTCCTGTCACTTTCTATCTCACAAATGTTGTCAAATTATTATCTATTATTCAAGTTATTATCGAAAAGATTAATGGCTAGTACTTTTACTGATTTTATTCCTCTGGTACTCTAATTATAGAGTTGATATTTTGGTAATACTTATTGGCTCAATGAATAAAGATTTCTTGAAAAAGCGAGGACATATGTGAGATAATTAAGAAGTAAGACTTACATCTTTCTACGTTTCATCAATTCATGGATGCTTTATGAAACTTTTTTCATTTATAGACTAAAGAGAATTACAGTGGAACAAGAGGAAGCTCTTCTTTCATATTTGTCAAAAGTGTAACGTCACAACTTCTCTAAAACAAATGTGTCTAATCTGTCTTTTGCATGAGTTTCTGTGTTACAAAAGTTAAAGAAAGAAGGTGTTATCAAAATGCAGAACGTTCTACATAAGATCGTAAGACTGGATTGTCCTGTTTTTAGAAGCCTGTTCTAAAATTCATCAAAAGGTGTCGGCATCTAATCCAAAATCTTGGAAGTGATTGATAAAATTTGTTAACAAGGCTGAGATGCTATATCTATCATATCTTGAGTTTACACGGTTGGGGTTGAATGATGTTTATATCTTGGCTGGTAAAAGGAAGTGCTTCAAAAGTGAAACTTGCTCCGTTTAACTTGGGATGTTATGTCTCAGAGAGTAGTAGTATCAAGTATGGTTTTGGTATAACAGTGTGAAACTATTGAAGATATCTTGGAGAGCAAGTTATGCATATTGGACCAACTATTATAGACCGTCAAAGTCTCTTATGTTATTGAATTGAACTCATGAAGTCCAAGACGTCCTAGTGTGATAAAGATTAAGAGATTTAGAATATTTACTTATGTTAATCTATTTATTATTCTAATTAGGTTAAACAGAAATTTAGCTTATGTATACTATTATTGTATCAATTTTCTTTAGATCAATAACACACATTATAAACAAATTTCCTCAAATTATTCTCTAACTTATCAGAAAATATTCATTTTTTTTTCCTGTCCATCAATTTATCAGAAAATAGAAAACACTTGTAAAAATATTTATCAGAAATAAGAAAATAATAATTTATCAGAAAATAAAAATAAACATTTTTTTTCTCTAACATCTAACAAAAAAGGAAAAACTCTTACCAAAAAAAAAAACAAAAAACAAAAAAGGAAAAACGTTGCGTGTATTTTAAGCTGGACTCGCCCTAATGTAAATCCCTTCTATACACCACGATCGCTCTGGCTTTTAAACAATTCTCTGCACCTTTTAATTTATTTTGCTTTTCTCCAAAACTCTGTCAAAGACATGGAGTGTAACAAAGATGAAGCTAGAAGAGCAATAGATATTGCCGAGAAGAAAGTTTCAGAGAATGATTACGACGGAGCTAGGAAATTCGTAAACAAGGCTCAACGTTTGAATCCGCAGCTTGAAGGTTTGGAACAAGTGTTGATGATGATCGATGTTTATATCTCTGCATCAAACAGAGAAGGAGGAGAAGCTGATTGGTATGGAGTTCTCGGTGTAGATCCTTTAGCTGATAACGAAGCTGTAAAGAAACGTTACAAGAAGTTAGCTCTTTTGCTTCATCCGGACAAGAACAGGTTTAATGTTGCTGAAGGCGCGTTTAAGCTGGTTTCACAAGCTTGGCATCTATTGTCTGATAAAGCTCAAAGAAGTGCGTATGATCAGAAGAGGAAATCGAAACATGGTCAACAGAAAACACCGAAGCCACACGAGCCTGATTCTTCGTGGATACAGAAGGATGCGCAAGAAAAATCTTACAGATGGTTTCATGAACAAAACAAAAAATTTGTTGCTGCTGCTAGAAGGAATGCAGCAAACTCTACTACTTCTGAAGCAGAGAGGCTTTTTAAGAACCTGAAAACAAACTCTACTACTTCTGAAGCAGAGAGGCTTTTTAAGAACCTGAGAACAAACTCTACTACTTCTGAAGCACAGTGGCTTTTTAAGAACCTGAGAACAAACTCTACTACTTCTGAAGCAGAGAGGGTTTTTAAGAACGTGAGAACAAACTCCACTACTTCTGAAGCAGAGAGGCTATCCAAGAACCAGAAGACAAACTCTACTACTTTTGAAGCAGAGAGGTTATCTAAGAATCGCAAGACAAACTATACTACTTTTGAAGCAGAGAGGCTTTCTAAAAAGCCAATGAAAAGTGGAGATGCAAACTCCACTCTTGAAGCGGAGAGGCTTTTCAAGAAGCCGATGAAAACAGGAGATGCAAATTCCACTTTTGAAGCAGATTGGCTTTTCAAGAATCCTATGAAAACAGGGGATGCAAATTCCACTTTTGAAGCAGAGAGGCTTTTCAAGAAGCCGATGACAACAGGAGACGCCAACTCTACATATGAAGCTCAAAGACTTTTCAGAAGCCGATGACAGATGTAGAACTAAGACAATCACATTCAGAAGTTGAAGATCCTATTTGATATAGAAAACCTTTTTCTGTAATCTAAATTAGTACTCAGATGAGGTAATTAATCAAAGTGGCTCTACACCTATCAACAATTGTGTCACGTTTCCATGTTGTAAAAAATAATGAAAAAGAATAAGAATAAGGATATTAACAAATATTGTTCATATTCCACGTCCAGCAAATCCTTAATCTCTAGATGATACTTCCTTTTTAACCTGGAGAGACAAAGCTCAGGTTGGTGGTCATTGGCTCACAAGATAACCATGATCCAAGATTTAGTTGAATAAGAGAAGATAAGAATGATATGTGTAAAAAATACAAATCATTTAGATGAAGGCAATGGTGAATAATTTTACAAAGTACAAACTAATAGTAGTTTAGTAAAGTGATGTAAGGAATTAAAATAAGAATCACATATCATATATCTATAACTATAAGCCTCTATCAAGCCAGATATATCAGTTACTTACTGCCCCGTTTCATCTTCCATACACTTATACAGTAACATTCGTTTAAAATGATTTTTGCAGTAGTTATTTATATCTTTTATAACAAGTGCTAACAATAAATTTTTAAAAAATGAGAGATTCAAATCGTTGTTTTAGCATTTTGCAACAGAAGGTTTTAGTACTATAGCATTGTTGATCCTTATCTTAATAAATCACCAAACTATACTAAATCGTTTTTGTAACTCTAAAGACTAAAGAGTGATGCTGAATTGAAAATTTTCATGGAAAGGCGAAAAAAAGAACTTGGAGAATGCGCGGGAAAGAGGGAGAGGGAAAAAACCAGGACGTAAATTAATAACTAATAGTTTCTTTTTCCGTCCTTACATTTTTAATCTATTTTACTTTTGCCCCATTTCTGTGAACCGGAAACTAATCCTTCCTTGGCTTCGGGTCTCATAAATTACTCTTCTTCTTCCCACACACACACACCGGTCTCTTCTTATTTTCAGTTTTCCGCTTCTCCACTGTTTTTGGGTATTGTGAATATACTGATAACGAATCGCGAATGTGGCTGGGTTCACAAGTGGGTCTCCTTCAAAATCTGGCTTTTACTTATTTGGTATGATGATTTTGGCTTTTGCACGATAATCCCAAAGATTCCTTCTTTTTTATGGGTTTTTTTGTTTGTTTGTGAATCTCCTAATAGTGTTATACCCCGCTTGATTTCTGACAATCTGTTTGTAATTTGTGTGATGTATTGTAGATTTTAGATGCAGTAACTTGAGAAATCTTTGTTCTTTTTCAATTGGTGATTTTGCATGTATGGTTTTGCCTAGTTGAAACTTACTAGTTTACACAAGATTCTTCATTGATTGGGTTTTTTGTATCCTTGTTTTGTGCTGCACACTTGTTTGTGATTGTATCTTGTGATTGTATCTTGTGATTGATGATGGCTAAGATTTGTTTCTTTTAACTTATTGCGGTTTTCTTTCTGTTTTACACTCTTCTGAATCCTTTTTTTTTTCTTTTGGCTCCTCCGATTGGTTTTCCCGTAGAGACAAGGTGCAAAATCTTTTGAAGGATATTGAAATGGAATGCAACAAGGAGGAAGCTATAAAGGCAATGGATATTGCCAAGAGGAAAGTGGCGGAAAACGATTACAACGGGGCGAAAAAACTAGCAAACAAGGCTCAGAATTTGTATCCAAAGCTTGATGGGTTAAAACAAGTTATGATGTTGATCGATGTTTATATCTCTGCAGCAAACAAAACCAGCGGAGGAGACTTTGATTGGTATGGAATTCTTGGTGTTGATCCATTGGCCGAGGAGGAAGCAGTGAAGAAACAATACAAGAGGCTAGCTCTTTTGCTTCATCCTGACAAGAACAAGTGTGAAGGCGCAGAGGGTGCGTTTAAACTTGTTTTAGCTGCTTGGTGTCTATTATCTGATAAGGTTAAGAGAATTGCTTATGATCAGAAAAGGAAGCTTAATGAAGTTAAACCGAGAAGGAGTCGGAAGCAGAAACAACCACCAAAGAAACCACCCAAACAGCCGAAACAGCCACCAAATCAGCCTACACAGTCACCAAAGCAGCAAAAACAGCCACCGAACCAGCAGAAGCAACCACCAAACCAGCCGAAGCAACCAACAAACCAGCAGAAGCAACCACCAAACCAGCCAAATCAACCACCAAACCAACCAAGTTCTAGTGGTAGATCTAGAAGCAATAAGCCCACTTCAAAAGTCAGTACCTTTTGGACAATGTGCGACAAATGCAGGACAGAATACGAGTATGTGAGAGTTTTTTTCCTTAACAAATCCGTGCTTTGTCGAAATTGCCGTGGGACTTTCAAGGCCACTGAGAAAGAGAAAACACCAACTGAGAAAGAGGAAGCACCAACTAAGAAAGAGGAAGCACCGCAAGCAACAAACAAGAACAAAAATGTTGCTTCTTCTTGTGGGAAAGGGTCTCCACTAACTGTTAGTGTTGGTCATGATTTTCGATGTGATTCTTCTTCATCAAGAATGGGTACTTTTAACAGCGGGAATGTGGCAAATCAAGCAGAAGAAAGAGTAAAAAGAGAGGTCAAGGAGTCGGAAGAAGCTACAAGAGGAATTTCAAACTCTGAAGAAGAAGAAAGGGTCTTTAAGAAGCTTAGGAGAGATGATTATGCAGAAGCAAGTAGTGGAATCAAGGTGTGAAGTAAGAACTATTGACACTTAGAAGTTTAACAATCAATGCTTTTCATGTTTAGAGTTTTATATATGAATATTTTGCATCTAGACTAGGAAAACGTACAGTGGAACAAGGTCAGTTTTTTCCTCCTGTCATCTTCAGTGTTGAATCTGTGAAATGACACAAGAGTTATGAGTGTACATGAACAGTTTCTTAAAGATTAAGTTTGGTTTATTTCGAATTCATTTACGGTTTACGGTCGAATTAGACCGGTATTGAATATTTTGGTTGACAACGTGAACCAATTTAATCAAAGTCACGTTTCCAAATCTGACTAAATATTTCCTTTTCTCGTCCCTTCATTCTCAAAAGTTTTCACTTTTTCCCCAAAATGTTTTAAAGATGAGATTTAAGTCTCCTACCTCTGGTCATATATCACTGGTAAATCGGGATATTCGTTAAAAATCCAATTTTTTTTTTTTTCCCTTTCTTCCTTTTTTTTTTGGGTTCTTTCCTTTCTCGCGTTTCTCTAGAGTTAGGGTTCGACGAACGCAGCTGGTGTACGCGTTTAGCTTCGATTCCGCCATCGAGGAAGCCATAGCCTGGTGCGTAGTTATCGATTTTGTTATTTGTTCCCGATTGGGTTTTTGTTTTCCGCTTGGTTTTCTCGATTTTTCCATCTTTTCTCTTGTAATTTTTTTCCGGGTTAGGTGATATTCACGAGCTTTTGCAATTTCCAGATCTATCATACGTTTTTTTGCTTGATTCCTCTGTGAAAAGAGTTGAAATTTCCATATAGGATTGCTTGATTATCTCTAATTTAGCTCTCTGGCGATTGAAAATTTCCGATTTCAGTGTTTTCTTCTAGATGCGTGGGCTTAGTTAGGTTAAGCTCGTTTACATGATTCTCAAGTGACACTATTTTCCTGGGAAAGAACGATTATGTTATTTTAATGATTATACCTCGTTTTGCTCTCAATTAGACTATGTGAATGTGTTTATTTTAATGCCATTGTCTTGTACTTCCATCAATTCCTGTTCATTTCAGATTCCTAAAGAGCTTACTTTTTATTTTTATTTTTAGTTTTGACGCTACAGATTAAGATCCTCTCGCTAGTATCATACTTCAGTTACTGGGAACACAACGTGACCAGGTATAATTTATAAATATCAGCTCATGGATTAGCAAAATTTGTTTTTTTTCTTACTTACATCTGTACCCTTCATTTGTTTGTACATTAATTTCTTTCATTGGTTCTGCTCTTAGTAGACTCGGTTTGAGAGATAGTAATGGCTGGAGTATTGGCTGGGGACTGTTCATACGGGGAGAGTGGCGTTTCATCTCACTCCAGGAATTCTAATGAAAAGCAGGACGAGGTTTCCCGCTGGTATTTTGGAAGAAAAGAAATAGAAGAAAATTCACCGTCGAGGTTGGATAGTATTGACTTAAAGAAGGAAACATACCTCCGCAAGTCATACTGTACATTTCTGCAGGACTTAGGCATGAGATTGAAAGTGTAAGTATAATATTCTAACCTATATATTTCAGCTTAATACGTTGCATTTTCCGTTTGATTACTTCTTGCGAGCTTGGTCTAGGACATGATAGTTTTCCAACCATGATAACTGCCTCTATTTTGCTTTTAGTATGATAGTGATCCCCTTTCATGTAGATTCCATATGATTGAATTCTGAAATTTATAGAACTTGTTGTCAAAGAAGTCATTTAGAGATTGAATAATATAGTCAAAGTTGTTGGCAACAAAGAGGTGAAACTGATGGGGTCATCTTGGGTAATATATCTGGATTTTGGTACTTTTTTTCGATTTGAATACTTCTTGCGAGCTTTGTCTAGGACATGATAGGTCCTCCAACCATTATCATTGCCTCTAATTTCTTACAGATTATAGTGATCACTTTACAAGTTGGATCAAAATTTCAAAACTATATAGAATTTGATGTGGTAGAAGTCAGTTAGGTTATGAATAATCTAGTCAGGTCTATTTGCAACAGAAAATTGAAACTGGTGAGTTCACTTGGGTTACATATCTCAGTAGTCCTTCAATGGCTTTGTAAAGTTTAATTCATAGTGTGAACACAATACTCGGTGTGAATTTTCTTCATATTGACATGGTTTCATCTGCATTGATAGCATTTTTGGCTCTCTCAATGAAAGCGGCTGATATATTTTTTCTAATACAGTCCTCAGGTCACAATAGCTACAGCAATAATATTCTGTCATCGATTCTTCATTCGCCAGTCACATGCTAGGAACGACAGAAGGGTGAGTATAATTTCTTTGCACATGATGTAGTACTCTTTGTTGTATGTACATGGGCCTACTCTTTGTTGTTCTAGCCAGTCTGCTGGTGTCTTGTTTGCATGAATTTGTAGCGCTGAATTAGTTCCTTGTCCTTGGCGTCTGTTTACACTCGTTGTCTCCATGTCTCTGCCAGTTTCCTTTTTATATATAGAAGGCAAACTAGCTGCTGTAGTAAATGACTTTACACTGACTTCTTGTGAAGGTTTTTGCCATGATATATATTAAGTGTTCTCTTAATCTATTTCGTATTAATCCATTTAGTTCTTCATATTTGTCCTTCTAGAGACTAGAGCAGAACAGTATTAAGATTATTACTGACTCCTTTTTCCATGTTTTCCTCCCTCAACATCAGACGATTGCTACAGTGTGCATGTTCCTTGCTGGAAAAGTCGAAGAAACTCCAAGGCCGTTAAAAGATGTTATTGTTGTCTCCTATGAGATAATACACAAGAAGGATCCTACTACTGCACAGAAGATCAAGCAAAAGGTTTGACTACTACTAAACCTTCTCTACTCTGTTGCTTCCTGTTTAGTTAGTATAAGTGACTTTGCACTTTTTTCTTGTATATTCTAATTCACTATGACATTAATTTTGTAAGAGACCCAAGGATTGTGCTTGTTTGTTAACAATCCTCATCTACTAATTGTCCTTTTTGTTGGATCTCTTCTTTGTACTGAACTTATTACACTATTGCAGGAAGTATATGAGCAACAAAAAGAGCTTATACTTAGTGGAGAAAAGGTTGTACTTTCTACGCTGGGGTTTGACTTCAATGTTCATCATCCTTACAAACCTCTTGTAGAAGCGATAAAGAAATTTAAGGTCGCACAGAATGCCCTGGCCCAAGTTGCATGGAATTTTGTTAACGATGGGTACGTTAAAAGTCTGTTTCCTTGAAAAGCTTCAGATAGATCTATCTGCCTTGTATTTTTGTCTTCATACAATAAAAAGATACTTGCAGTCTGCGGACGTCACTCTGCTTGCAATTTAAGCCTCACCACATTGCGGCGGGAGCCATCTTTCTTGCTGCAAAGTTCCTTAAAGTGAAACTTCCATCAGATGGAGAGAAGGTTTGGTGGCAAGAATTTGATGTCACACCTCGACAACTGGAGGGTGAGAGAACTACCTTTTATCACCTAATTAATTTTATGAGACTATTTTCACTATTTCTATTTGACTTGTATTCAATATTTTGGATCTGATGCTTACTACCTTTTGTGTACTGCAGACGTTAGCAACCAAATGCTTGAGCTATATGAGCAAAACCGTGGTCCTGCATCTCAAGGAAGCGAAGTAGAAAGTAGTGTAGGTGGAGGATCAGCACATCATGTTGGGTCTAGGCCAGTACCAGCACGTCCAACTCATGAACATTCAAATTCTGGTAATCACGGGGGTTTGTCAAAAACTACACAAAACCGGAGCAATGATAATGGGAGTGGTGAGGCAGGTAGTGTCATTACCGAGCAGAAGGGGGAAAGAGATATAGAAACGAAAGATAGCCTGCATACTGAAAATCATCCAACCCATAAGTCTAGATCAGGAGTTGAGGCACCTGGGAAGGAAAAAACAGAGAAAGCAGGTGCAGAGAAACCAGAAGATGAGAAATCTAGAGTTGTTGATACAGGTGATGTCCTCGTCAGCCAGTCCCCAAAAGACATAAAATTGCTTAGAGATACGGTGAAGGCTAAACTAGAGGCTAAGAAGTTCCAAGGTGAAAGGACGAGGAAAAAGGATTTGGTGGATGAGGATGATTTAATCGAGAGAGAGCTGGAAGATGTGGAATTAGCTGTTGAAGATGACAAATATATACAAAACAAGAGCTCCGAAATCAATCACGTTGGTAAAGAACATGGTGAGATTCTTGATGGAAAACACTTGGTGGGCAATACTGAGGAAGGTGAAATGGTAGATGATGTTTCTTCAACAATGCCTGGCCGGAAGAGAAAAATGGGAAGCCCTTGTGAAAAACAGTTAGGAGAAGGAAAGAGGCGACACAATAACAGTGAGAATGTTGAAGAAGGTCACAAGACAAACCGAGGAGGAAATAGTCATAGTCATGGTGACCAAGAGCCAAGAAGACACTCCCAAGAGAGGTAAATGATCTCTTTGTTTTTTCACTTTCGCATGGTCCACAAGAGACATTTGGCAACTTTGAAAGCCAACCATGGTGCGTAACAAGCTCATTGTATGTACGATGTTGGTTATATCTTCTTCTTTTGTTTCATGGCACCTGTATCCAACAGTTGAGAAACTAAATGAGGTTTCCATCCATCAGAGACCATCATCCCATAGGCTACATAGGAACTCTATTGTTTGCATTCCCTTTGTATATAGGGAAGACAAGAAGTTTTGACGAATTTTTATTTAGAGCCTAGTCAATTACTTGATTTCTTGTTTTTATAACAATAGGAAACATAGTGGCCAGCTGATTTGTCAATGTAGTGTTCTTGTAAGTTTTGTTATATATTGAAAGTCCACCTTGTTCCGACTTGCAATTTTGTCAATATTGCTTTTTGAATGTATCGGTTAGCTTCGTGACCAATCATCCGGTTAACCACTAAATCAGGCGGATTAGTTGTCAAATTAAGAGCAAGCCGATTAATCAAATCAAAAACAGACCTGTAAGAAAATAAAGTACAATTTGCTAGGTTTCGAAATCAAAGTTTATATACTGGTTAAGTTGCTCAAATTATAGATATGGTCCGGTTTACTCATTTTCATCTAAAGCCGACCTAAAGAGGGAACAACAAAAGACCTAAAACCCCTCTCTCGTGTTCTTTCTTCTTCTTCTTCTTCTTCGCGTTGCTCTCTCGTCGTCGGCGGCAGATTAAAATCGTTATCATATCGTTTCGACACTCTTGCAAACATTCCAATTAGAACAAAACAAAAAAAAAGGTCATCTTTTTCTTCTCTTAGAAACATTAGTTTCGAAGTCTCTTCAATTCTACAGTTGCAACAACGAGCTCTTTCAAAGGCAAACAATGTAAGTAGTATTGGGTTCCCAAATAAACTCTTCTTTCCTTAGGGTTTTAGCTCAGTTTTCTCAGAAAATTCGTCTTGGCCTTTGTGGAATTTCCAGGTCGAGGATATGCGTTAAAAATTTGCCCAAACATGTGAAAGAGGATCGACTTCGAGATGTATTTTCACAGAAAGGAGAAATCACTGACGCCAAATTGATGCGTTCCATGTATACTACTGCTACTTTATCCAAATTCCAGTGTTTGCACTACTAAGTTTGTGCTTTTTTATTGATTGCTTATGTTGAATCACTCTCTGTTTTCTTGCTTTCCAGTGATGGTAAGACTAGACAATTTGCCTTTATTGGATTTCGTAGTGCTGAAGAAGCTCAAGAAGCTATTAAGTATTTCAACAAGTCTTTTCTTGATACTTCTCAGATTTTTGTTGAGGTTTGTACTTCAAGACTTGATACTCTGTTTTCACTTGTTTACTGGTTTGAATTTTGATATTTAGATTCAAACTTTGTCTTACAGATTGCGCGTAAAGTCGGAGATGAGAACGCTCCTCGTCCATGGAGTCGTCTTTCGCGTAAGAAAGAAGAGAAAGTTAATGAGGATTCTGAAAAATTGTCTAGTGGACTGTTAAACAATGGTAAGGCTAAAGGAGGCAAAAAGAGTAAACCAGAGGTTGATGATCCTGAGTTCCAGGAATTTCTTGACGTTCATCAGAGGGGTAACTCGAAAATCTGGTCCAATGACATATCGATTCCTCATCCCCCTGAACAAACAGGAAAAGGAAAGGTCTTGATGAAGAAAGCGGATGAGCCAACGGTTTCCAATGATACTGAGCCTGACAAAGTTATAACATCATCTGGTACTGAAAAGACTAAGAAGAGCAAAGCTGTAGCTCCCACTGATGATGTTTCTGATATGGAATATTTCAAGAGTAGGATTAAGAAAAATATGTCGGATTCTGACAGTGATGATGAAACTGATAGTAGTGAAGATGAAGTTGGTGATGCTGATCTTGCGGGGAATGATAGTGGTAAAGCTGATGCAGACGGTCTTGATACTGCTATTCGTAATTTCCCTATTGATGGTGATGTCGAAGCTGGTGGAATCGATAAAGATATTGATGGCGATGCCATGGAAGTAGAAGCCGATGAAAAGGTGGCTCAAGAATCGAAAGCTGACAGTGATGATATTCTTGACACTGGTCGCCTTTTCGTTCGTAACCTGCCTTACACTGCAACGTAATGGATTTTCTTGTTCATCTTCTGCTCATTTTATATACCTGACTTATGTTTATCTATCTGTTATTCATCTTTGATTGTTGTCAATAATCTCATGCAATAGAGAAGAAGACCTTATGGAACATTTTAGCAAATTTGGTGATATATCAGAAGTCCATCTTGTTCTTGACAAGGAGACGAAAAGGTCCAAAGGAATTGCCTACATCCTTTACCCGATTCCGGAATGTGCAGCAAGGTATTATTCATGTCAGAAAGCAGCCTTTATGTTGATTTTTTTTGCAGTTGATTACTCCTAGAGGTCTAAGTAATTGCTTTTCAAGAAGTAGCCTTATGTTAATCTCTAGCTGTTAGTTCAGGTTTTAAAACATTTGATGGTGATGCAGGGCAATGGAGGAACTAGATAACTCAATTTTCCAGGGCCGGTTGTTGCATATTTTGCCAGCCAAGCACCGTGAAACGTCTGATAAACAAGTGTCAGTGGCCTACCCTTTCTAAGTTTTGGTCTTTCAACTTGTAATATTTTGTGAACCAGATTTTCCATTAGCTGTTTAACATGCCCCTTCTCAACAGGAATGAGACTTCTAACCTGCCAAAAACATTCAAGCAAAAGAGAGAGGAACAAAGAAAGGCATCTGAAACTGGTGGTAATACAAAGGCTTGGAATAGTTTATTCATGCGACCCGATACTGTATGTGTATCTTGTTTAAAGAATGCATCCATTAATGTATTTTATATCTGGCTTTTAGTTTGCTTCATTTATCTTTTTTTCTTTTCCTTTTTGTGTTGTAGGTTCTAGAAAACATAGTCAGGGTGTATGGTGTAAGCAAGAGTGAGTTACTTGACCGTGAAGCTGAAGATCCTGCTGTGCGCCTTGCTTTGGGAGAAACAAAAGTGATTGCGGAGACCAAAGAAGCCCTTGCGAAAGCTGGAGTAAATGTTTCCTCTTTGGAAGAATTTGCTGCAGGTAATGGTGATGAGAAGAACCGAAGCAAACATATCCTCTTAGTAAAGAATTTGCCATTTGCTTCCACTGAAAAGGAACTAGCTCAAATGTTTGGAAAATTTGGAAGTCTAGACAAAATTGTCCTCCCTCCGACGAAGACGTTGGCCTTGGTATTTTTCTTTCCATGTGTGCTACTTCAATATCTTTAACAGATAGTTAATTGCTCTCTAACCTGCCCTTACTCACATGATCTTCAGGTTGTTTTCCTTGAGCCTGCTGAGGCACGCGCAGCTATTAAGGGAATGGCATACAAGCGTTACAAGTAAGCTTTACAATTAACTTTATTGTTTATTAAACCAAGAGGGGAAGAACAACTTCTGTATAGCTGTCTATAATCCATTTTGCTTTCCCTAAAGTTCGCTTCGTGGAGATAAAGGATCATGCTAGTTTTCCAAACGGCTTCATCACATTTTTCCTATTATTACAGAGATGCTCCCTTGTATCTGGAGTGGGCTCCTGGAAATATTCTTGAGTCTGATAACAATGAAAAGAAGAGTGATGTTGTAGAAAATGATGTGAGAAGAGTCAACGTGGAGCACCAGGTTGAAATCGATCCAGATGTAACTGAGGTATGTCCAGTTATGATAGCTATGAACGTTATGAAATGATACGTTTTTTTTTTTTTGAGTGGATATGAGCTAGCCGAATGGTAAGGTAATTGAAAAAATCTTGATTAGCTTAGGAAACTAAATTTGATTTTACCTTGTGGCGCTATATACGGGTTTAGTACTATCTTGTTAGTTTCAGGTGAGGTACTATATAATTTATGTTAATTGGCTTTGTATATATTTATATTTCTTTTCTGATCGATTTTGTAGACAAAGAAAGATGCAAATGTATCTTTTATATTGGTCTGTTTGTAACATTTCCTTTAAATAATTCGTTATATTTCAGTCAAATGTCCTTCATGTTAAGAATCTGAGCTTCAAGACAACTGATGAGAGTTTGAAGAAGCATTTGACTGAACTGGTGAAGCAGGGAAAGATTCTGAGTGTCAAGGTAAGTTCCTGTTTGTTACTGACACATGATGTGTACTTAACTGTGAGTCTGTTTCAATAATCTTTTATTTTCCATTATAAGCAGATAATAAAGCATGTAAAGAATGGGAAGAATCTTTCAAGCGGTTATGGTTTTGTAGAATTCGACTCTGTAGAGACAGCCATCAGTGTCTACAGAGATCTACAGGTATGCAATAGTTAAGTCTCTTTGAAACTTTAAGTTGATTGGACTTGATGAAGTACAGTGCACTTTCTTCTTTGGCAGGGAACTGTTCTGGATGGGCATGCTTTGATCTTGAGATTCTGTGAAAACAAGCGGAGTGACAAGGTTGGAAAAGATTCAGCCAAGGACAAAACTTCGACAAAGTTACATGTGAAAAATGTAGCTTTTGAGGCAACCAAGAATGAATTAAAACAGCTATTCAGTCCATTTGGACAGGTACACATTCTTATCGCAGGATATAATGATGTTATGGGCACAGCTTATTAGTTCTATTTTACAAACCGTGAACACATACTGCCATTCTCTCGTACAAGTCTGTGCAACGGCTGAAGTTTTGGTATTATGCGTGTAAAAATTCTTTTAGTTATGGAAACTACAAGGGGATGAAACATTAGCTCTTTTGTATTGGAACAGTATAGAAATGAAGTTGGATTTGGATAATTAATTTCAGAAACATCTAACGAAATTCCTGTTTCTTGTTTATGCAGATCAAGAGTCTGAGGCTTCCAAAGAGGAATATTGGGCAATATGCGGGTTTTGCTTTTGTTGAATTCGTGACAAAGCAAGAAGCCTTGAACGCTAAAAAAGCATTATCAAGCACACATTTCTACGGACGCCATTTGGTAAGTCTTGTATTGTACTCTTGTCTCATATGAAGCCTGTTTGTTCATTTGTTATCCTTGGATGCATTCTCGACTCTCTTTATATGCCCGTCTTTTCAGGTGCTCGAGTGGGCGAATGATGACAATAGCATGGAAGCGATCCGGAAGCGTTCTGCTGCCAAGATGGACCAAGAAAACGATAATGCAAAGAAAAGGAAAAGCTTGAAAGTTGTTGATGAAAGCAGAATGAAGTTTGAGAGAATAGCTGAGTAGTAGAGTCGCCTTCTTCTATAGTTGGTATTGACACATGGTGTTATATATAAGTCGCTACTGTGGTTCTTCTCCATGGTTTAAAATTTTGATGTCTACTGGTTAATTTATATGTTATATACAGATGCTTCTTTCAACAAAGTTTATAGAAGAAATTATTTTCAATTATATTAAAACAAGCTTCCATGTTTGTATTACATAAATACCAAAACACGAAGTCAAACGAATCAGTTCACAAGCAACCCCACAAGATCATGCTTTTGTATAGTTTCTCTGTTTCGTAGTGGTCCACTCTATCCGATTGATATTCCCTGGATTAGGCCTGGGCATTTGGGTATTCGGGTCGGGTTCGGGTCGGGTTTTTCGGTTCGGGTATTTCGGGGTTAGTAATATAGGAACCTAATAGGTATTTATAAAATTTCGGGTCGGGTTCGGTTCGGTTCCTTTTCGGGTACAGGTACTTCGGGTAATGATTTAAGAGATCCAAAAATTACCCAAAATATATTTGGGTATGAGTAGTACCTATCAAAATCCGACCCGAAATTACCCAAAGTACCCATAAATCCGAAACTATTTGTTAAAACTAATAAATTTTTGAAAGAATATATTACTAGTAAACAAATTTAACCAAGTTTTGAAGATTCCAAAAATTAAAATCAAACAAGTCACTGACAAAATAAGAAACCAAACTAACAAAAGCATAACTTGAAGTCTTAAACTAATGAAAGTGATAATGAAAATATTTGAGTTGATAAATGGAAGAAACTAAGAAAGAAGAATCATCCCAAGAGGGCAACATTTAACCAAGATTATCCATACATCATGAAATGTTACATAAAACCAAACCTTTTAAAAACTAAAAACAATTTTAAACAATTTTAAAAAACAATGACAGAGATGAAGTTGCCTCAGCTACTTAAACTCATCAATGAACTTCTTTACATGTAAGGAAACCTAATATTACATACATGTGTTCGAGTACTTAAAAGTACCCACGGGTATGCGAGTTCGGTTCGGATAATACCCGATACCTATTGGGTATTGAGAATAAAAACCGATCGGGTATTTCTTAAGAACCGAAGTAAAACGGGTTCGGGTATTACAGGTCGGGTTCGGTTCGGGTATTCGGGTTCGGGTATTTTGTTCAGGCCTACCCAGGATGCATGAAAAAGACACACATCTCTCATGACTCATGATTTGTTTATAAAATTAAAAACAAAAAAATGACTAATTAGGTTTTAAACAAACATAATACCTATTAAGTTTTAATCGTAGGAGATAAAATAACATTATTTGCATGTTTTACAACAAAGATAAATCTAGGAAAAAACAACATTTAGGGGTTTTATTGGTTTATTATTTGTACATACATATACATATGTACTAGACTATAATTTGAGAGAAAGATAGCTGAATATGCATGCATTGTGTGCCGTCGCTTTCGTGATTCTCCATAGTAGAAATTTTGTTCTGTACTGACCCCATCTACTAATTATATGTAATAACATATGTGTGTTAAAGTGGTGTGTATCTTATACTAGTATACCCTACCTGAAGTCCAACAATATTTGAAGGTTTTAATTTGTTAGGTTTTTTAATAAGCAAATTGAAGTATCCCATGAAGGTGAACCAAGCGAACTGAAGATTCCAAAGATGCATATGATCCAAGACACATTTAACATAATATAATACTGTAGCAAGGAGGTTAACACCTACGTAAATCTAGGAGAAGAGTAGCATTTAGGTTCACTAAAACGAACATTACAAACATAAATCTAGGTTAACTATTGAAACAAACATAACAAACCTTTTTTTGGTAAGACCAAACATTTCTTTTGACTCATTTATTACCAGTCTCATCACTTTGACTCATTCATCATCACTGGAATCCTCACTCGTATTACCCTCACTCTCGTCTCTGCAGTCATATCCATCAATCATAACACGATCAATCAGCTCATCACAACCGCTCACATCATCTCTAATGATGTTGAGAACACGAAGAGCATCATCAGTTAGAGTAGTAGGCGGCGGATCTAAGGTAGTGAGATAAAGTTCCAAAGTGTGGCTCTTCAAATGCTCCAAAAGATCAAGTGCATATTTCCTGGTGTATTCCTCGGAAACATTGGCCACGGGTGGAGGCACTGTATCATCTGCCTCGAATCCTTCTTGCACCAGAGAAAGGTTGAAACTTTCTGCGCATCTCCTAAGGCATCGTATCATAGCTTTGATTTGGTCTTTAGTGGTGGTCTGAAAAACACGATATTTTATATTAAAACCCCTCGATTTATACATTATATACACACCCTAACACATACATTATATGAAAATGAAAACTTCATAAATTAAACGTACAGTTCTCTGGATGTAACTTTTAACGGGCCGAAGAAGCTTAATGGCAAAGGCTTCGGTTTCTTCTGTCATAATAGTCTTCAAGCTTTCAACTTGAGGATCAACCCTAACTTTGAGGTTGCATCACTTTCACTCACTTGACTGCTTGAAGAGTGAGACATGATAGCAAAATTAAAAATCTACAAATGTAAACAACCCCTACTAAATATTAGTTTCTTTATATACTAAAAGTAACTGACCTATGTTTTTGGGTTTATGGGACTATTTTAACTTTTTGGGCTTACAGAGAGTTTGAGTTTCCTTTGATATTGACACAAAGATGATAAATGATACTCCTTCCGGTTTTTTAAGTGATATTTAATATTGTTACACAGATTAGGAAAACATATAACTTTTTTTTTCCATACAAATTCCATTAAATACAATGAATTCAACCAATAAGAAAATATGATGCATAATATGATTGGTAAAAAATTATTAAATACATTTAGTATTTACATAGAAAGTTGAAAATATCACTAAGACCATCTCCACCAATGGTACTTATCGAGGTACTAATTGCATTTCATGTATTTTAGAAAATCAAAAACAAAATAAAAGAAGAGAGACACATGAAAAGTACTTAGAGCATCCTTAGAGTACCATTAAAGGTAAGATATTAAGTGAAGTGGTATTAACAAAAGTATCTTAGAGGTAAAAATTATATCTTACATAAGATGCTCTCCTACGTAATTCTTACTTCTAAAATACCCTTGTTAAGGATGGCTTTAAACAAGTATCTTTATAGGACACATGTCAATTACTCATTGATCAAATTTTTATTTAAAACTTAAATTTAAATATATAGCTAAATTTATGAAAAATATTAGTATAATATTATATATATATATATATATATATATATAGGTATCTCTACCACTAGAGATGCTCTTAAAATGAAACAATTTTCTAATGCTAAAACATCACTTCAAAAGAATTGGAGGGAGTAATGCTTGTTTCTTCTAATCTGGAATTCAACAAACTAATCTTTGACGAACCGTAACAGAAGACTTGATATTCAAGCCTTAACATTACCAAGTAACACCTCGAGACTTAACCAAGTATACAAAACCAAATCAAAATAAGTAAAAAGCAATAAAACAAATGTTTGCAACCATCTTTATATCTCTATAAAGCAACAAGAATGGAAAATACATGGCTTCCCTAGTATAGAAATACATCACATCAAACAGATCATGAGAGAATACAAGAAACAAGAAACAAAAACGAACTAGATAACTCTGTAAATTCAATCAACTTTACGATCATTAGGTCTCGAAATTCAGATAATTAAACAAATGACATGCCATTTACGCTTAAGTTTCTTAGCTAGAAAACATAAAATCACTTTGCGTTTTGGCTCAGAGAGGTAGAAGTAAGTAACAACATCCGTAAGGCAAGAATGTAGCTAATTACCTAAGCAAACCAAGTAGAGAACATACTCGGACAAAAAAAACTAAACTGCTAATTACCCAAGCAAATGCATAAACTCGTTCGGATATCTGGAAGCCACTGATCCAGACCCGGATACATCATCTGTTCCACCCCTACCTGCATCACATTGGAACAAGCACATGGCGAAAACACAATCAAAGGAAGACAGAAATGTCACTACCTAATGTAGTCTACTCTGATGCAGCAAGCCCCATGAACAACACACATAGATGTGAGTGTAAAGAACCCCGAAACATGAAGGGACAATAGTAGTTTCTGGGCCACCGATTCAGTGAGGATTCCATAAAAGAAGGTTTCTGGAACAAATTGCCCCAAAAAGTTTACATGATAGCTAAATCTTGAGACAATGAAGATACCATTGTACCTCCACACACTTGATCTTGGGCATGAGACCTCACCTAACTCTGAGAAGATACTCGAATGGGAACAAATTACACTAAGGAATTGCAGGAATCCAAACAAGTGAGAAGCAAAAGCTATTTCAAAAAGAAGACAACGTCCTTACATGAACTTAATTCTCCTGAAACTAACAAATCAAAAACATTGCCATATAGGTACAGCTGTAAGAATATTTTCTTATTCGAATTATGGAGGATCGCCGTCAGAAGTCTTATTGAGATCATTATATTTAGTTAACATCTGATGAGTTCTCAAGGGGTCTTCCTCATAAAACGAATACAATCTTTACACCGGAAGCAGTTTGCAGACAGTACTTAGTTCTTTGACATTCATAAGATTTTTTGATTGAACATTCGTTAAAATTCTTAAAGAGATAAGCTTTCGATCAATAAGTAGTGACAAGTTCCAAACCATAGGTTGATATATAACATAATAGAAGAGGAGGTTGCAGACCCCCCAAATTTCATCAAAGCCAGCCACTACTAAAACTATTATACTACAAAAGAAAGTAACTCATGGAAAAAGATTATTATTATTCACTAATGCCTAGAAGCACGACAGGATGATTCTGATCAAATCTGTAAGCGTTGCAGTTCCTCTGCTGCCTTTCTAGCTTTAAATTTGGCCTTGTTCTTCCTCCAAGCTTTGATCATCATCGTCTTCAAACGCTCAGGTTGCCCTCTCACAAAATCTTCATTCCCATATTCCAGTTCCCCTGACCCCTTCTTGATTCTTTTAAACCCCTACCAAGTAACCAACACATAGCAATATTCAAAACCTGAGAGCCAGAGACAATTTCTTAAACGCAACAATTAGAGGAGAACACTTACATAATACCTAAGCTCAGAGCGAAACTCTGAGAATCTGCTGCAATCGAAATCGCCAACAATGTCTCTGCGAGTAAACTCTTCGAGATTCCAAATGACGAAACTGTTGTTGTCTTTGCCCCATGAGATTACTGAATCCGACGAAGGATCTTCCACAACCTTGTAGATTCTCATATGGAACACAGACACTCCCTTCGGGAAATTGAGAGCCATTCTTCCTTAACACACTTGAACAAGATTACAGATCCGACGCTCTATGAACCCTAACCCCCGAGAATCAACCAATCAACTCCCAAACTCTCTGAAAGATGAGAATTAAATGGGAAAGAAGAATCAACCTTTGAAAGTTTTTAATATACGAAAGACCTAATTTCTTGTGCGGGGCCTTTTATGGGCTTGGGCTTAGCCATCATTGCTACAGCGAATTTACTTCATTGAGCGACAAATTGGCATGATTTAATAGTACCGAAAGTGAAATAAACACCTTAATCAAGTAATCATAATTTTTTCGGATATAAAAAAATTAACATCAATGGAGGGTTTTAACTTTTAACGATGGAGTAGATAATTTCACTTTAGAAAAAAAAATATAAATTAAGCAAATTTTTCGTTAATTAATTAGCAGTTATTAATTTATCAACTCTATAATTTTAATACCTAAATTACGATCGAAATCAAAATTATTAAAAAGAAAAGGGGAAAATTCCCCAAGAAAACATGAATTATTTAATATTTGCCAAAAAATACATGAACTTTTTTCGTTGTCAGAAAAATACGTAAACTAATTTATAAATGATAAAAAAATACGTGAACTATTTCGATTTTCCAGTTTCCCACATGTAATGATCACAATTTTCAACGAAACTAACACAATCATAAACATCGTTTCCCTATTTTTCATTTTTCCTAAATTTCTAATCATAACAAAAACTTAACTATAAGAAAACAAAGATGGAAGATAAAGCTAAAATATAAAGAAAGAGAGATATTGGTATGATTATGACTACGATAAGAACAAAACTTCTTCACGAGATTGTAATAGTAACAATGTTTAATGTTGTCTTAGTTTTGTCGAAAATCGTGACCATAATATGTGGGAAACTGGAAAATCGAAATAGTTCACGTATTTTTTATCATCTATAAATTAGTTTGCGTATTTTTCTCGCAACGAAAAATGTTTATGTATTTTTCTGGCAAATATTAAATAGGTCAGGTATTTTTTGGGAATTTTCCCAAAAGAAAAAAGAAGTGAACTTACTATATAAAAGTTACTCCGTTGACCAAAAAAAAAAAAATTACTACTTATTACGAAGATGTTAAAAATAAGCGTCAATGGAGAGATTTTGTGAAGTTTACTCTTGTTGTGAGTTTCTTTATATTTTTTGATATCTTGTTCCACGATCGAAATCAAAAGTGAAACAAGATGAACTAACTGCCCTATCCATAGTCCAAGAAGAATAAAGAAAGAGATTAGATAACAAAATTAATACTAGAGGTTACAATCGATTCCCAAATTCCATCATCACAACAAAGCCAAGCCCACTAAAGTATTGTTGTTAATTATATAATACAACTAAGAGAAAGCAACTTAACTAAACAACAACAACCCCCATGAAAAGAGTGTTTATTGATTTATAAAAAGGAGGAGCAGGGCGAGTAGGATGATGGTTCAGATCAGATTTGCAAACGTTGAAGTTGCAGGCGATCCATTTGCCTCTTTAAGGTGCAAATGCAAAATGCTCAAAAATGTTTGCATGGCAAAAGGTTATTCATAAAATGTGTGTGCAAGGAAGCACGAGGGGATGATTCTGATCAAATCTGTAAGCGTTGCATTTCCTCTGCTGCCTTTCTAGCTTTAAATTTGGCCTTGTTCTTCCTCCAAGCTTTGATCATCATCGTCTTCAAACGCTCAGGTTGCCCTCTCACAAAATCTTCATTCCCATATTCCAGTTCCCCTGACCCCTTCTTGATTCCTTTAAAGCCCTAACAAGTAACCAACACATAGCAATATTCAAAACCTGGACCAAGAGATAGAGAGCCAGAGACAATTTCTTATAGTTTAAACGCAACAAGGAGATATATATATAAAGAAAACTTACATAATACCTAAGCTCAGAGCGAAACTCTGAGAATCTACTGCAGTTGAAATTTCCAACAATGTTTTTGCGAGTAAACTCTTCGAGATTCCAAATGACGAAACTGTTGTTGTCTTTGCCCCATGAGATTATTGGATCCGATGAAGGATCTTCCACAACCTTGTAGATTCTCATATGGAACACTGACACTCCCTTTGGAAAATTGAGAGCCATCCTTTACTTAACACTTTCAAATTGGACAAACGGAAAAAACAGATGACTCTAGCTAAGAAGAATCCAGATGTGACTCTCTTTGTGAGCCCTAACCCTAAACTTTGATAGAAGAAAAGGGGAAAAAAGAATCAACCATAAACTTATATACAAAATATCTGATTTACTTTGCAGGGCATTTATGGGCTTGGGCTGTCATATTATTTGAAGTTTAAAATTTTGGTTACTCTATTTAACATAAGATTTTGATTCTCATGTGTTTTTTTTTTCTTTATAAGTTTCCTTATTGAGTTGAGCGTAAATTCAACATCTTCTCTGATAAAACTTTATACAAGTACGTATTTATGTTGTTGTACTTCAAAGCTAAACCATTTCATCAATAATAATCTAAAGAACTCTGATACTTGTTATAGAAGACCCTCGTTTAACGAGTGTGATAAAGCTTGCTCTCCTTTTTCTTTTCTTTTTTTCTGAAACTTGTGTTATGTGTTATGACAATGGAATCCATATCCCCTCACGCACTAAATTACTGGACTTTTAGATTTTATTTACAGAAGAGTATAGTATAGAGATCAAATCCCAATACGCAAAATAAAGCAAAGAGACGCAAACACAGAAAGTCAATAGCTTCAAAAGTGACTGACCAAAACATCTCTTTTACAAGAGAAATGTGTGCCATTACATACAACTACGCACAACAAGATGAACTCACTGCCCTATCCATGGCCCTGTCTGGGAGAACCATTCCTGTTGGGTTTTCTGTTGGCTGTACTCGCGGTAGCCTTCTTGCTGTGGTCAAAATATAAAAAAAAAAGTATGTTAGGGGTTACTTAATAGTTAATACAAGAAACTAAAATTGTTTGAACTAATTCTCAGAGTGAAGGAAAGCTCACCGATTTCATAGAATATTTCCTTGACGTTAGCCGCGGTTTTTGCAGAAGTTTCCATGAAGAAAAGACCATTTTCCTGAGCATATATTTGTGCCTCCTGCAAAGGACCAAGAGTGTGTGACATCATGAACTAGGCTAAGCAATAAGATTCAGAAGTGTTGGAAACATATGCCCAGTGTGGTTGAAAATTTTAATTTGAGAAGCGAGATAATCTTCCCTCATTTGTCTATGTATAGACATGATTAAATCTGACAAACAAAAGATCAGATGTTTGGTGATGTGGAAACTAGCGAGTGTTTTTTCATTCTGACTGCCCTTGCAAGTGGCATAAAACTTTGACGCACAATGTAAATAATTTTTAACACACTTCAAAAGGATCAGCCTTACGAAATGAGACTATCTAGAGTTTAGGATTACGCATAACAGAGTAAAATATGAACAAAAAACATTGGATACTGGGATAAGTAAAGATCATGTGAAAACATCAAAATCATTCTCCAAAACTGGTTATGAAAGTCTGCTTGATACCAACTAAGTCACATCTTTTTTAAAACAACCAAATCTGTTTCCAAAGCTGTTAGAGGAAAGTGCTCTCTACTACTTGATGTAAAGCTCCTAACTATCTATACAAAATTCATATACTATGATTTGTTGAGTTAATGGAGTATTTTTAGGTGGCTTGTTTTGTCAGGTTAGTGTCATTAAGGTACAATGTAATTTTACAACAGAGAGATATCACCTAATGGTTTGGTCTCTGTTAAACATTAAGCATGATGGATCAGCTATTAGACTATAACATATTGCTTAACTTTGAAACATTAAGCATGATGGATCAGCTATTAGACTATAACATATTGCTTAACTTGCTTACCTCTGCAGTCACCTTCCTTGCATCTAATAAATCAGATTTGTTTCCAGCAAGGGCCATGACCATATTAGGGTTACCTAGTCACACAAAAATAGTTATAAAGTCAGAAAGTAAAGCTTGACAGAGCCTGCAACTAACAAAAAAATTATCAAAAACCGGAACTTAGCTAGACAATACCTTGTGCCTGCAGTTCCTGAACCCATTTCTTTGCCCTCTCAAACGAGGCCTGAGAAGATATATAGCAAAAACTATAATCAAACACAATTTAGTAGAAAGCCACTGAACTGCATCTACTGACCAATTTTATAACTCTTTACCTGATTCGTAACGTCAAAGACAATGATTGCAGCAGCAGCACCCCTGTAGTACATTGGAGCCAAACTATGATATCGTTCTTGACCCGCTGTATCCCAAATCTCAAACTTGACAGTAGCATCGTTAACAGCTAATGTTTGTGAGAAGAAAGCAGCACCAATGGTTGATTCCTATAAACATTAAAAAAATATATATATCAAAGTCAAGAAGCACATACACAGAGAACATATGAAACAACAACAGGAGGATGAGCATCAATAGGAAGAGCCACTAAACCTGGAATTCAACAAACTGATCCTTGACAAACCGTAACACAAGACTTGATTTCCCAGCACCAACATCTCCAAGTAACACCTGAAGAACTTAACCAAAGTACACAGAAACAACAATCAAATTAAGTAAAAAAAAAACATCTCCAATACAAAAATGTTTGCAACCATCTTCATAATCTATAACAATCCTGGTTCGAGCTAAATCACTAAAACCCTGTCACGACAACACCTAAAAAATCAGAATCATCCAACATAAACCTTAACAACAAAATCCGATCAAAATTCTCCAAATCAGAAACAGAATCACATCCGGAAACCGCTCAAAAGTTTCTGTAAATTCAATTATACGATCGTCATCGGAGCAAAATTGAAAAGAGAGCACAAGAGAATCAAGGTAATAAGAAGAAGGAAGAAGAAAAGACAGACCAATTTGGCGTTAATGCTCTTGTTTCCAGCTGCAGCAGCCATGATGATGCTCGATCTGAATAATGAGAAACGAATACGATAAAATCCTCAGCTCAAAAAAACTCAGATTGAAGATTCAAAAGACGGAGAGACCCCAAAAACAAAGTGGAAACGCGTCGTTAACAACAACCAATCTCCTCCTCTACCTCCTCCTGTATTAATAAAAATGATAGTATATTATATATAACTTTACAAGGAAACAAATATTACACGGCAAGTAAATCTCACACGAAAACTACGAATATTTCACATTTTGGAAGAGAATTAAAATAACAACTTAATCCTCCCTTTAAGCATCCTTTTAATTAGTAATTATATCTTTTTGTAAATGCCAAAAAATAAATTCTTCCAACCATTTTCCAATGAACTTTTTCTTTTTAATACAATACTTTTGTCATGACTTATGAGTTTTTCCTTCTTATTCTTAGTTTTTCCTATATATATGACAGTTTCGAAAACAAGTCCAATGTCTTTTGTTTCACATTTTTTACTAAATTATTTAGCTTGTAGAGATTTCTTTCCTGCATTTACTCATAATATTTTCAAGTAACAACAAAATCTTGTTGAGTTTTTCATTTTTTTGGTAGTACTAATCTTGTTAAGTCTTTCAAGTGATATACATTGAGATTTTCTAGAGATTACAACTTGTTGTTTGGAAATTTTTTTTCTTAATAAACAATCCTTTATCCGGTTTGCATGACTGAAACAAAAAACAAAATGTTGCTAGACCGGCCGAAGAATTCGAATATGGGACTACAATTAGTGTTAATAAAATTCAGAAGTAATTTCTGAGATATTATTTGTGTTTAAGCATGTATAAAAGTTATTAGTAAAAAAACCACTATTTTGTTGCCTTTGAGCCTGTAAAAATTCATCATCATAAGAGCTTTTATATTTACATTAACAAAGTAAGAATATAAAGACTATTTTTTGTTTCTTCACTGTCTTTTCTCAAGTGTTTTCTTCAATCCCTTCACTATCTTACCAAACCAAATCAAGTTCATGACACTCAATGCTATCGGTACAACGAAAACCAGTAGATAACCGAACGTATGCATCTGTATCACCTGCCACACACACACACAAGAAAAAACTATAGATCATTAGTTCGTTATCTCTACAACTAAACCACTACAACAACAACACAATAAAACAGAGTAATTCCTATTGTTTCCCTAAAGACTATACAGTTTGGTTTGCAAACTGGTTCAGGGTTGGAATGAACTAAACCGAACTCTTGGTTACCTGATCATAGTGTACGTAGACATGGTAAAACATGTAGACGAACAGAAGAATTCTTGCTGTCTGCAAACAAAACATGAATCCAATCAAGTTTTTAAGACCTTTTTACGAACTTACACAGTGAACACAAGGTTTTTGTAGAAAACTCACCAACCAAGCAAAGAAAATAGCAACTCCATTAATAAGATAAGCATTAGATCGCTTCAAACCAGCAATGTCAAGGTACCATCTAAGATTAATCTCTGGTGTAGTCAATTCAGAGATTAAAACCATGTATGTGTAAAGCTGAGCCTCTCCAGAGAAGAGAGAATACGCTACTGCTGTTCCAGATAAGCAGTGATGGAAAATCTGAAAAGAAAAATAAAAAAATCAAGATTGAAACCAATGGAGGAACACAGAAGCTTTCTTTGTTGTCTAACTTACATATTCTGATCCTCCTAAAGAAGGGTACAACCAAAAGATCATTCCAAGATCCGCAAGAAAGTAACCAACTGATACCTATGTATTAAAATACACATCACGACAAACTAGGTTGATCAATATTCACGAGTAGGGCTTATGATTAGAGAAATGACAAAAAAAATATATCAAGACTTACTCCTAAACCGAAGTTGGAGAGAGGCGAGCTACGAAAAACCATAAGGACTTGAAGATTTGTTTGGTCAGAAAAGAAATCAGAGAAAAACACAAAGTATAGTGCCATGAATGAGATAAAGATCGCATGGACTGTAGATATCCCCCTGTCATGTTTACATTACAAGCCAAAGTGATGATAAAGAGACAAAGCATAACATACAAAACAAGGCTAAAACAAGGAACCTGCATATACGTATTAATGTATACTCACCTGTTGTTCCATTCAATTCTCTTTATTTTTCTGAGAGCTGAGTATGATTTGATATGAATTGAGCTGAATAATTCCGTAAGATCATATACCTATTATCAAAAAGAGCCATAAGCTAAAATGTTTAAAACAGAATAAAAACAAAAGAGAAGTGAAGCACAAATTTTTTTACCAATTTGCTGAGACAGATTCCAGCAACAACAGAAGTGTATGGAAGAAATGGATCTGCTAATAAATAGTGTTCAACAAACTGCTCTGCTTGAGTTTGGTATGACTTGATCTCCATGGCTGTTATCTCTCTAGTTCTCAATTTCTTCTTTGTTAAATTGTTTTATTTCTTCTTCTTCTTCTTCTTTCTTCTTCAATTCAGACTAATAACTTGTCTCAAGCTTCATCATCATCATCGTTTACTGGAAAAAAACATAGAGAATGAGACTTCATTTATGTCTTTATCTAAAGTCATGCTCACAAACACATTAAATACGAAATAAGAGCCAAAACTAATCTTAACCTTTCTTAGGAGTTAGGCTTATATGAAGAAAGGAAAACAAAATAAAACTTGATCGAATCTTCGTTATACCCAAAGAAGAAGAAAACTGAAAGACTCTGTTTTTTTTTTATCAAAGAAAAAAACAATTTTGCAAGAGAAAGGTTTAAAGTTTAAAACGGACAAAAAGATGAGACAGAAGCAATCAAAACACGTGAACCGCAAAAGGATGAAGAAGAAACGCAAAGAGGATGAAGAAGGAGGACGTTACAGAGACGATTGCGATTGCGAGAGAACCAAACAAAGAAAAAAGGGTTCGTTCTTCAGAAACTTCGAGAAATTATCCAAGTGGAGTAAGATTTGTTTTTACCAAGTTACTTGAACCGCAAGAGGATGCAGTAATTGAAAAAAAAAAAAAACACAAGCTGTTATCTTAAGAATAATCGAGATATTTAACTAATTAAAATATATATATAATTAAACTGAGGTTTGCTAAAAGGATGTTTAATAAACATGTAACTAGCTAAGCTAGGGAGGAAACAAAGGAGCAAGAACATGATTCGAACCTTGTTAGACGATTTAAATTGTGTGTGCAAGAAAACCATAGGGATAAATTAGTTAATCAAAGGAGTAATTTTAACTTTTAGTATAAAATGGATTACCAAAAAAAAAAACTTTTAGTATAAAATAAACAAGAGATTAAATATTTGTTTTGGTTGTGTGACTTCTGTCTTATGAAAAAGGTAAGTTAGGTGGATTTTAGGAGGAGGCTAAGGATAATTTCTTTATATTTGCTGAGATTTTGGTTATTTATTGGCTTATATAATTTTGTTTTAAGTATTGAATACCATAAAAAGTTAAATAATGATTATTTTATTATTTAGAGAATAAGATTAAGCCAAATGTTGTATTCTAATATCTCTAATAGATATGTATATTAAAATAAATGTATATAAAATTGTAATGAAAGTTTAATTCAAGAAGCAAGCTGAAGATATTTTAAAATAATTATATACCATAAATATTTTCTTATTAATATATATTTATATTAAAAAAACATTGTTGCCAGAAAAGGTTTTGAAAATACATATATATATGCATGATTAAATTGATCAGAGTAAGCCACGAGTTTTACACAAAAGCGGGTTTTCAAAGCAAAAACATACTTCTCAAACATAGCATAGGCAAACTATGCAAGTTTAACAGGATTGAAGTTATCTACTATTTTCTATCATGCTGAATTAAATACACTTATCGAAAAATATTTTGAGATTAACAAGTATGATTGAAAATGAATGTTTGGTAGGTGTTTTAGCTTGAAGGATAACCTAACATGAATTGAATCATGGACCACGTGAAATTGACCTAAGAATAAAAGTTACATATTATTTTTTTTTTGGGTTAAATGGTTACATATTTAAGAATTAAAAATAAAGAAGACGAACAGAACATTTATGTTTTTTGAAGAACTCACCTGTTTCTTGCTTGCCTTTATCTTGTAGTAAGCACATAAACAAAACAAAAGAAATCACCATTTGTATTGGTTTGAAGTCGTTTTTATAGTTCCATTGATGCATAGTATTGTTTAAGAATTTGTAACGTTCATCGTATTAAACAACACGATTTCGTGCGATATGTTTATCACTTTTGACACGTCTAAATTTGACAAGTCTTTTAATTCGGTATTATGAAGGGAATAATATCTCACTTTAGGTGGTTTTTAAGGCCAAGTGTTGATGATACACCAGATTGATACGTACATACGTCTATGATCCAAACATTTTAGAAATGTCCAGAATATTAAAGGTCTTATTCCACAAATTCACCATTTTAAAGTAATAAAAACAAAATTAAGGTTATTTCTGTTATTTTAGAAACTTTAAGGTGCTTTCCTGTATTTTCACAAAGATTTTAATCCAGAACAAGGTTTTAGCAAAGTAACTTGCCTATGATGAACCCTAAGAATCTTGGGGAAATGATTGATTCAAGCACACAATAAGCCTTAATTTCGGGTAAAGTTTCTTGCTTGGAAATAGTACGCATTACTTGTTTGATAGATGTCTTGAGACTTCTTCATTGTTCTGTATTTTAATGGTGGTTTTATCTATTTCTCTTTGTTGTTAGGTTGCGATGTTATTGTGCAGAGTTCAGAAAAAAGTTTATAAACTGTTGAGCATGATTTCACATTTCAACAATTACATAGCTTTCTCCACCATTCCTCGTCCAAATCAAGGTCAAAGGTTCGACCTTTCTCGAGTTTCGTTCACGATGCGGAGTTTTCAGATTGAGAGCTGTGTGCGTAAGGATAAATCTGAGTTACAGAAGCACTCGTCTCAGCTACCCACTAGGTTTTTCGTTAATCCGGTTCCAAGGGCTATTAGGAATCAAGCTCAAGAAGCTCTTTTTGATTACTTGCATTATACTAGAAGCCTTACTTTTACTGATGCAGAGCATATAAGCAAGAATTCTCCGTGTTTTATGTCGACTTTGTTGTCCAAGCTTGATGATAACCACAAGGATATATCCAAAGGATTGACTAAATTCCTTAGGTACAATCCCATAAACGAGTTTGAGCCGTTTTTCGAGAGTTTGGGTTTGTGTCCCCATGAGTTTGAGCCGTTTCTTCCACAGAAGCTAATGTTTTTGAGTGATGATGGCATCATGTTTGAGAATTTCCATGCTCTTTGCAACTATGGGATCCCTCGTGGTAAGATTGGTCGTATGTATAAAGAAGCGAGAGAGATTTTTAGATACGAATCTGGGTTGTTGGCTTCGAAACTCAGGGATTACGAAAATCTGGGTCTTAGCAAGGGTACAGTTATTAAGTTAGTTACTAGTTGCCCTTTGCTGCTGGTTGGTGGGATTGATGCTGAGTTTTCTTCTGTGGTTGATAAGTTGAAAGGGTTACAAGTAGGATGTGATTGGCTTGGGCGGTACCTGTCTGACCGGAAAACATATAGCTGGCGCAGAATTCTGGAGACAATAGAGTTTCTTGATAAAGTTGGATGTAAAGATGAGAAGTTGAGTAGCCTTTTGAAAAAGTATCCTGCTTTAGTGATCGAAGGCTCTGGTAAGAAATTCTATGTTCTGTTTGGTAGGTTGTTTAAAGCGGGGCTTCAAGTGGATGAGATTTATAGCTTATTTATAGACAACCCAGAGATGTTGTCAGACAAATGTGTAAATAATATTCAGAAGACGCTGGATTTCTTGATTGCTATTAAAATGGAAACACAGTTTATCACAAAGATTTTGCTGGGTCACATGGAGCTTATTGGTTCATGCTCTCTGCAAGCACCTAGAACTGCTTGTCTTAGTTTGAACGTTAGACAAGACGAGCTCTGTCAGATCTTAAAGAAAGAGCCTTTGAGATTGTTCAGTTTTGTTTCTACAACAAATAAGAGAAAAAGCAAACCTCTTTCGGAAGACTCGAGGAAACACTCAGAGAAGACAGCGTTTTTGTTGAGGCTAGGGTATTTGGAAAACTCGGATGAGATGGTGAAGGCCCTAAAACAGTTTCGAGGGAGGGGAGATCAGCTGCAGGAGAGATTTGATTGCCTTGTCAAAGCCGGTTTAAATCATAATGTGGTTACTGAAATCATCAGGCATGCTCCGATGATACTTAACTTGTCTAAAGATGTCATAGAGAAGAAGATACATTCCTTAACTGAACTTCTTGGCTACCCAATTGAATCCCTGGTAAGATTCCCGGCATATCTGTGTTATGATATGGAGAGAATACATCACAGATTCTCAATGTATTTATGGTTGAGGGAAAGAGATGCAGCAAAGCCAATGCTGTCACCAAGTACTATTCTCACTTGTGGTGATGCCCGGTTTGTGAAGTATTTTGTCAATGTCCACCCGGAAGGTCCAGCCATTTGGGAAAGTATAAACCAATCATCTACCTGAAGTAATGTTTATTGGCAATATTTCTTGAATTTAGTACAACTGTGACAGTGAAGGATGTGCTGATGCAGCGCTACGGATGTGAATGATTTTTATGCCAACTAATGAAACAAATGGAAGGGCTTGGAGATGGCAGGAAGAGCTGAGATTCAGTAGTGTTGGCCTCTGCTTGTGAAAGAGCAAAAGTATCTGCGGAGTTACAGATTTGATACATATCTAAAATGCTAGTTCAAAGCTACCGCTGCTGTGTTGCACAGTACTGCTTGAATTGATTGAATGTGATTTGTATACAGCATTGGAGAACAACTGCAAATTGTTTGTTGGGAATTTTCCCCCTAAACCGTCTCTGCAATAGCTTTCCTGTAAACGGATAAACACACCTAACGTTTTTGAAGCAAACAGTACTGATGGTAATGTGTTAAGGTGGTTTGTGACACATCTCTTATCTAAGGAGCTATGTCACATGTGACTCAGATGCGCTTTAACAACAACAATATCATATATCTGTAACTTGTGTAATTGACTGCTTCAGTTCAGATCTTAATGAAAGCAAATTGTTTAACGTTTGAAGATATGTTGGTTTGTGATCAAATTCCTACAAGGTTTGAACTAAGAGACCTAAATCCTCAAGGACAGAAGTCATTGTTGTAATGCAACTATCTCCACCAAGAATCAGAAATTAAGAACACGACCAATCCAGCATATGGTAATTTACTCACGCTACTTCAAGATCTATGACAATAGTTATACATGCTTATTGATCTAAAAGACATATACAGTAATTTGTAAGCTTAGCTATAAAAATGCACATGTACTCAATATTACTCTTTCTATCAATACCTCAGTTTCATTTATCCATTCTTAATTGGAACTAATTTCTCTGTTCTTAGAATCATGGAGATAAGAGAATATTCTTTTTATCTACAAAATTGTTAAGATTAGATAGATACAATACAAAATTTTGAAGAACACAAAAAAATTGACCTGACTTGGTTCATCTTCGTTCTCGGCACGAACACTTATGCGTTTAAGCTTACGCAGATACTTTCCTTCTAGGCTTAAGCTTCTGGATACCAATATTGACTTGAGGGCAGTGGGTGGTCTCAGAGCTATTATTGGATGTTTCTGCAACACTAATGCGTTTTCCTCTTTGTTTCTTCTCCATTACATTGTCTTCATTCTCATTTTCTTGTCTACACACATCTCTTGAGCATATCTCTGATACTTTTCTCCGTCTCTTTGGCTGCCTCTCTGTATGAGCACAAACTGCTTCACTCTCACATTCTGCATCTGCCCTCTTCTTCTGTCTGCATCGACAAAAAGATCAATTTAGACCCACAAAAGCATTGTGAGTGTATGCAGCAATCAGTATCTGAGGAATATCTCATTAACTTACCTTGCTCTGCGTTTCTTCTTCAGGGTGGGTTCTGGCTCAAGAGATTCCTCGGCTAGTGCCAAAAAATCACCTACGACAAGATCAGGACGCTCTGATTCCCGGTCAACAAAATTTCCGATAGTAGTTTCTCTTTGTAACCTTCTAGCTTCTTGTCTAAGATGTGCTAGGTGAGGATATAAGCTCTTCCATCTCTTGGCGCACTGACTGTCGGTGCGACCAGACATATATGAAGCAACTTTGGACCAACAATGTCCATATTCTTTCATTGCTTCTCTCAATTTTGCATCTTCTTCCTTGGTCCACTTCCCAAATTTAAGTTTGGGATCTAGAGAATTTCCCCATCTCTCTAGACACTGAGTACCCGTCCGTCCAGGAACAAACTGAGCAATTTTAGACCAATTTTTAGTTCCAAAGAGTGTCACAGCTACTTTCAAACGTTTGTCTTCCTCTGAGCTCCACTTTTGTTTCTTTGTTCTGCTAGGGTGAAGGGACTTTTTCCATCTGAAAGTAAAGAGAAGAAGGGAATAAGATAACACCATTCCATTATGTATCTGAACTGAGGCAGAAAAAAACATCATAAAATTACAGAAAATAATCCTTGTATGATATACTATGGAATTTGATATCTAATTAATTTATCAAGAAGATACTGACCTATTAGAGCACTGAGGTCCAGTTCTTCCATGTAATACATTTGCAACCGACTGCCAATCTGTCTCGCCAAACAAGTCTACGGCGGCACGGAGTTGGTCATCTTCTTCTGCAGTCCATTCTTTTCTCAATACATATGGATTCAAGCTCCTCTGATATCGAGCCAAACAATGAAATGGGGTCCTATTTGTTCCTAGCGATACTGCAATGTCAAGCCAGTCTGTAAAACCTTTGTTTTGAGTAATTAATCGTAAGTAATTATCCTCTGCTACAGTCCATGGACCATTGTTAATCAATGGATCTTCCGAGCTCATCCACCTACAATGAGGCCACACAACTTAAGAAAACCCATAGTTGATGTTTATCTTAGTAACCAGAAGTTCAACTAGAGGAGGGACTTACTGGGCTTCACATTCTGCCCCAGATCGGTTCTTGATATCCAACTGATCCCAATTAACTTTGGGAAGATACTGCCTAATCATTTCTGGTGTGATCTCAAGATTTTTTATCCCTTCAAGAATGGTGTTTACATCATCTGCAGATCCTTCCAAGTCACTGTTAAGTTAAAAGAATATATTTTAAACAGCAAATATAAAGAGTACTAGGCACCAGAATGTGATAGTACTTTAAAAGAAGAAGAGCAAGACGCAGCACCTGGACCGTTCAAAAGCTTCATGAATGAGTGCGTTTTGAACTTGTTGTTTTAGACCTTTTGCAAGACTCTCCTTCTCCTTAGAAGTCCAACTTCTGCGGTCCACTGAAACTGGATATTTCTCTAGTGCCATCCTATAATTTGCAACACAAGCGTTTTCCAGTGGACCTAACATCAAAGGAGATGTCTTTTTATCATTATCCTACAACATAATTAAAGTAAAGAAACATTTTATGCGTCAGGGTCAACAGAAAACAGCAGGAGCAGAGTATATTTTTAGTGACTAGAAAACAGAGAAGAGGCAAGAAAACTTAGATCACAGTGTGTTCATTACCTCGGTGCTATCAGAAGCAGGCTCAGACTTTCGTGCCGAGATCAATTCGACACGAGGATCTTTCATCTGAGAAAGGGCCTGTTTAGTAATTCTCTTGCAGGAAGCTTCAAAATCTTTAACTATCTTAACATTTTTCTTGTGTTTCTCGTTCTGCTCAATCGTGGCTTCGATTTCACTCAATTTTCTTCGAAGAAGGCTCTGATATGACCTGTTCTTCTGTATTGCATTAACAAAGGCTTTTGCAGCTTCAGGGAAACTTGAACTTTCAGATTGACATGTTTCCAAATGGTCACCGGAAGTATCTGAATCTGACACTGTGACGACGGATTTCCCGTGATCTGGAAAGCTTTCACAAGTATTAGATCTACTCAATATTTCGGTTGAAGGTTCATTGTCCAAGGCATGTACCTGCTTTTTATTCTTCCTGATTGAATCATTCATGAAAGTTCCTTCTGGATCTGCAAACAATAGTAAGCAATTACCAATCTTTTTCAAAGATAAGAGCCATACAATCCAACTATGCATACACTCGATTAAAGACAAGCAAAAGTAAACTCTTGCATCATGAACTGTACAGTCTAATGCAAAACAATGTCTTTCAAGTCATAATGAACAATCAAACATAAGCTAGATAAGAAGACTACGAGACCTTCTACATTATTCCATCAGAGAGAGTACATGTATATGCATAAATTCGAAACCTTTCACACTGAGTGTAGCTTCTCTTTAGAGCTTAAACTAGCTTTCATAGTTGTGAAATGGAAGAGAACCAAATTAATCTTTCTCAGCCGCAAAACTATCTTTAATCAATTGAAAGCAGAGTCTTTTGCTGATTATAGAACCAACATTTCGAATTAGGTAACACACAGAAACAAAATATCCAAACTTAACAGAAGCTAACCCATAAGATAAAACAAGAGTATAGATTGAGCTCACCGGACTTTGCATAAGCAGAGAATCGCTTAAGAAAAACGCGAAGGGTTTCAGATGCACCATCTTCGTCCATAGACAATGCCAAATCTCTCTCAATGCTCCGAATCATCTCGAAGTCTTCGTCTTCACTCTCCAAATCCTCCGAGGGCACTGATAAACCCGTGGGAGCTAATTGGCTCGTTATGCTCCGAATCATCTCCAAATCCTCGTTCTCCGAATCCGACGGCAATCCTTTGTCATCGGAGACGATACAAGCGCGACTTAACTCTTCGAGATCTTCACTGATATCTTCATCATCATCATTATCATCGTCATCAGCCTCGTATAGGCCTTCACGACGACTCATCATGTTACAGAAAGCAAAATACAAGATCAACGCAAGAGAAAGGTTTATGGCACCATGTGTGCCTTGTGGGAGAAGATGAAAATGTTTGTTTTTTACGTTCTTTCTTGCCCTAACAAATTTAATTAGGGTTTGACCATTTGAACATGATGGTGGCATGGCATCACCAAAACACGGGTCGAATTGAATCGTTCCGGGCCGGGTCGGGTCGGATAAAATTGTTATTGGGTCAGATCAATGGCTACAACCCCAATTTTTGTTCATCCCTCATATAATCTGTAACTGGTAAATACAGTGTCACATTTTTTAGCTTGTGTTGTGTACTGTAGACTGTAGTAATGGCTTCTTCACTACAGTTTTAAAGGAAAGCAAATATATTTGACTAAAGTAAGCAAAACGGTTCTTAAGTGGTTGGAAGGTTTTGGGTTAAGACTGAGCATCCTAGTTTTGCTTTATACATTTCAAAAATCCAAACCCTCAAATACAAATCAAACCTAAAGGCATGTGTGCAGATAAACCTGTATACCAAAATGGGGTTCTCCAATCTTTTCTAAATCAACCTATAAAATAGCTAACTTCTTCTTCCCAAGGAAGGAACTATCTCTAGTAGCATTAGTTATATGGGACATACAGATTATGTTGGGTTCTCTAAGGCCTCCCTAAGAGAAGAATCTGCTGATGAATCAGATAGACAAGACCGCGCAATCTTGGCCTCTTTGTCTTTGTTATACGCTTTTTTAACATCGTTCTTCAGTTCGTTATATCTCATCCTCTTCTGTCTTCTCTCTTTCACAGAGCCTTTCTCGGGATGCGACATATCTGGGATGTCTTCGTCCATATACTGTTCCATGTACTCATCCAGAACCTCAGAACAAGATGGGAAATACCTCCGACCTGTCTCAACTGCAATGTTGAACGGTTTCCAATCAGTCAATCTGGTGGTCAGAGAATATGAGTTGAAGGGAGGTTGAAAGTAAAGTTCCTTAAAGCTTTTACCTGTTTTCATGAGGGCTTCCATACGTGTAAGCATTCTTTTCGTTTGCACATAAGGCGTTTCATTTAAATCGACTTGACCCAAGTTTCCAGTTGTACCATTTGATGGAGGTGGAATAACAAGACCTGTGCACTCGCTTGTCCCTTCAACATTAGCAATTTGCATAGCCACATCAGCTTCTGCTGGGAAGAACAACTGAGCAAGTCCCACTGCAATAACACATACAATAAAATCCAGGATTTCGATAAGAGCCATCAACTTTAAGATATGAGATATACATATCAAGTGGGACAATACCTCGCTTTTCTAAGTATAACAACCTCATCTGGAGATCCTCGGGCATCGAATGCGAACAAGTGGGTGTATCTCCACTAACCAACGGATTCCTTCTAATTTCCCTTTCCAAAAGATCGATGCATAAGCGGTCTTTACTAGGTTCTTTCTTTGAGTTTTTGGTATAGTAATCTTTTGGCTTAGTGAGTCTCCTACATATATTAACAGCACTGCGCCCATCAAACGTGAAATCTGAAGGATTCGCTCCTTTTTGAATAAGTGATATAATTATTTTTGGCTCTCTACGCATAGCAGCAATATGAAGAACCGTATACCCCCGGGAATTTCTGAAATTCACATCAGCCATATTAAGATCAAGTACCTGGATCACAACATTTGGATCACTGTATGCCACTGCATAATGCAGACCATTGGCTTGGTCTAGAGTTATATCTGACTCAGACAAAAGAAGCTTCATGAGTTCCAAATCATCTGAATCCAATGCCTTAAGTACTTTCCCGGCTCTCTCTAGCGATTTATCCACCACCTCAGGGACGTTCACCGACTTAACTCGAAGCTGTTTGATCTTTTCTGATACTTCGGAAGGAAGCTCCTTTTCGATACAGAATCTACCTAAATCTGATCTTGCCACTCTCTCTATGCATTGATCAAGAAGTTGAGTCAAATCACAATGAAAGGCAACTAAGAGGATCGGAATAACATTCTCGACTAGTGACTTCTCAACATAGTTGCAAAGCCTCCGCTGCATAGAGATAGACACAAAACATCAAAATCATAATGAATCAATAACAGATATATATTCAAGAAATGAATAAAAAATCATGATCTCAGACCTGAAACGATGACACCAGCTCTGGCATTTGAAACACATGCGAAGCATACATCAACTCAACAGCAAAATCAATGGCGGGTTTACAAGAATCATGAGCACAAACCGAATCAACACAAGTCGAAACCTCGATAGGAAAAGACTTGAACCTTCCAGTATAGATATAGTTCAAGAAATGCAGAAACGCCTCGCGTCCCACATTTCCATAAGGCAACAAATCTTTCATCTGATACTTTGGTTTCTTCTCACTCTTACCACTACTTTCTTTATCTTTCTTAAACAAATCAAGAAAAAACTTGCTCCTAGCAGCTAAAACGCATCTATGAACACTCACAGGTTGAGCCTCATCTACGATAATGATCTCTGCGTCAGTGTAGTCACAATCTGGGTTAGTGAGAAGCTGCTCCAAGTTAGAGCTGAGCTTGATCAAACTCTCAGCTTCAAGATTAGCAGGTGAATGATGATTAGTAACAACTGGAGAAGGATTGGATAAGTGAGAAGATGTGAAACTTATAGATGATGATGGCTCCATTGCAGTTGCAGCCATTTTTTCGCCCTCCAACGTAATATCACTCTCAAAGTCTCTATTTTTAATCTTCAAATCCACAGAGATACAAAACCCCTAAATCTAATTCCAATGACAAGTATCAATTGAACAGTAATTTGATCAAAACGTTTCTAAGGTTTTTTGAGGTATGAACAATACAGACAAGATCATAGATACGAAATTAAGCATGCCCTGAAGAAAATATCAGAACTTTACGGAAGAACATACAAATTTCCGATGAACCAATGTGAAGAACAGAGTCAAGCTGAGAAAAAAGACCACCTTTGAGAAATGCTTCAAAAAGTCAACGAAAATGGCGGATGAGAAGAAACCTAGATGAAACTTGAAAACTGAACCAAAATGGCTAGTCAGTTCAAAACCATTCCACAAATGAATACGATCGGAGACGAATTATAAAGATGAATATAAGAATCTGAGAACAGATAGAAGAAAAAATAAAATCAGAGGTTATCTAAATCTAAAGGTGAGAAATAAGAAGAAGACTGACTGGTCTCTGTGTTAAAGTCCTATAAAGAACAAAACAAAACAAAACAAAAACCTCAATAATTTTAGGATAGTTAATCAAGTTTATTGATTATAAATTTATTCTAATTACGAGTCAAATTGCTAATTTAAATATATTGATTGGAAAATAATGAAAAGTAGCCTAAAGAAAGACCAAATAGTAAAAGTCTTTGGATAACAATCTCATAAAGAGACAAATCATCCATCTCTCTAAATTTCATGACGATGCAAAAGTCGTAAGCAATGTCGTCACACGTTGAGGATGACTTGAGTTGGGGTGCAGTGGGTCGATGACGACTTAAATAACGTCAGCTTTTGAAAACTATACACAAAATGAAAAAGTCTATGTGAAGTTTGATGTATGCTATTAATTGAATATATCAAACTGTTTCTTTTTTTTTTTGGGTAGAAATATCAAACTGTTTCTTTGATTACTTGGTAAATAACTAAATATGATGATATCCAAATTCATTTTATGATTAGTTTTTTGCAATTGTAAGTGCTGCTAGTAGAAGAAAAACTAAAGAGAAGATGATTTGGTGTGCTGAGATCGTTCTTGAAAGAGACAATGAGAAAGAGATTTGTGGTAAGGTTATGTGGTGTGACGGTGTGCTTACAGGCCCCAAGTCATGTCGACTCCGAAATCTTCTTGTCGCTACTATTTGATGAGTCTAACATGTGAGCCATTGTTTTGAGTCTTTGACATGGTAAAATATCATTTTGTATATTCACTTTCAAGTTTTTAAGAAACTGCACTCTGTCTTCTCTGCTTTCTAGTTGATGCTTTGATCAATGCTTCACTCTGAACTCACTCACATGTGAAAGTGTTCAGAAACCTACTGATTTTGTAGGCAAACTCACACTCCATCCCATCCTTAAGAATATAGCCTTTACGTTAAACGACATAACACCAAAAATAAGTACATATAAGTCCTTTCTTGCAGCATTTCTAGGATGAAAAATGATCAAACTCATCTTTTTTATAATTGCAAATAGATTCATCACAATTTGTTTTTTGAGTTCATCAAGAATCTAAAAAAACCCCTCCAACAATTTCTTTCGAGAGCGAGATACTCTCGTTTGGCCTTTCCAAAACCAAACCAAACCGAATCCTTAAAGCTATTAAATTACCATTCTACTTCTTTCACTGGCTATTATACTCTTCATAGTAATCATCACTTATAACAGACACAAACCTCTCAAGCCAAGGAAGCTGATGAAGATCTTTCATTGCTGCGTCAACATATGATGACTCTGTACATGGAGGTGGGGACTGATATGAAGTCTGGTGATCACTAAGACTAAACCCTCCACCAGCTAAGAACCTTTGGATCAAAGCTAGCTGAGATCTTTCTTGCTCTGAATAAGCGTCCATTACAGTTGGAATTGTGCTAAATGTGTCCCAAGGCCATTGCTCAACTTCTTGGATTGTGTTTTCCTCTACTGAGTTCTCTTGATCTTCTTCGTCATCGTCCCAAAAAGCGCAAGTGCAACTCTGTTGCCCTTCTCTGTACTCCGCTCCACACGAGTAGCAAAACTCGTGCCCGCACCTGTGAAAACCACAATTTTTGACAATTCATGAGTTAGAATCATAAAACAAAGCAACATTTTCACATCAATACTAGATTTAAACATAGGCAGCAAAAGCAACCCTTAGAATCATATGGTTATAACCATACCAGGATTCTGCGGTTGAAGGGTCACTAACTCACTACAAAGAATGAAATGGTAGTACAAAAAAAAAGCATTCAAGACTAACAATATTTTATTGGATGTCAAAAACCTAAATTTGGTGGTTCATATATGTATAGATACGGAAAACAATGTGTAGCTACAGATCTAAGCGTGTCTTACCGGCATGTCATGTGGTTACAGCCTTGAGCAAGCTCAATCATTATACGGCATTGCTGACACCGTCGCCACCTCTTATACCTTGCCAAGCGGTACAATGTAATATCATCTGGATATCTTTCATCAACCGGAAGAATCTGAAACTCTTCACAACTCATAGAAGCATGCCAAGGAACACCGCAGTCCACACACACAAACCTCTCACAGACCGGACACTCCACACAGCAGCTATTCTCTGACTGAGTAGACGAGCTTGAGCTTGCCCTTCCTGAGGATAGACATTCCTGCGGGTCTAACAGAAAGGAGCAATTGGGATATGGGCAGTAAATCTTGCCATTGTTCTTGCTACGCATATTTGCTTCTTCAAATAATTTGAAAGTAGTGACGGGAAGAAACGATTTGCATTCCGTGGCTAAGAGATAATGCTTGCATTGCACTTGCGGACACCTGATGGGAACTTCTGAAGACTGTACTTTCCCTTCGACGTATGTTTTCATGCAGTGGGAACAGAATTCGTGGCTGCACTTCAATGTTAGCATCATCTCAGACTGACGGTCTTCACAGCAGATCGAGCAGTTCTCAGTTGGTTTTTCCTCATCGAGGTTAGAAGAAACGATTCCTACAGCTACTTGAGCCAAGCTTAGAGATTCATCAAAATCACAGGAAGGACCAAGCTTTAGAACAAATCCATCAAGGTTACTTGTTTTCTCCAACACTCTTTCTCTCAGAGCTATTAAAAGAGGGATTTCGAGCTGCTCCTCACGAGTTATCTGCAAAGCCAATTCATTTAAAAACATGAGCTCAACCCTATAAAAAGATACGAAACCATTTGAAAGAAGTCTCTTCAACAAGCTAAAGAAGAGAGAGGCTTTACCTGATTATAAAGCAATTCGGAGTCGGTTACAGCAACCACAGAGCGGAGATTATTCTGTAAAGCTACCTCAAGACCATCCATTAAAGCTAAATAGGTAGCTACAGACTCTTCAACATAAAATTCCAACTTCTTCTGAACCTGAATGGACTCAAAATCTCCTCTTCCCTCCAACACAACACCAATCCCCGAAAAACCAGAACCGGAATCTCCTCTTTTGGATATCGAAACTCCTTTAAAGAACATCTTAACAGAGAACTCATCATCAAGTTCATCATTTTTCTCCTCCTCTGCAACTTTACCTGAATCATCACTCTCCTTTAACCAAACTTCTTCATCACCACAACAGCTTCTAAACTCCTCCTCCTCTCCTATTTGATTCAATTGAAGCTCCTCACATTCACAAGAAACTTCTTGATTTTCCATGTCTGGATTCAACCCAACTAAACTACAAAAAGATACAAACTTTCTTAACTTAGCAACAAACTAACGAAACCCAACCCGGATCTACAAACTTCATGAAAAAAAAATGTTATAAATCGAACCCATGTATACACATCATCTAATCTCAATTCTACCATATACAGAGAAAGGAAATGGAAAAAAAAAAAAAAAATGAGCTTTGCAATACAGATCACTTACACAGCTAATCTTCACTAAGTTACATTAACAGATCAGCATAAACCCGAGAAAAATTCATTCAAAATACACAGAAAATAACAAAAGAAACAGCTCAATTTGTTGTTGACCCACTAAACACCAACCAAACCCTCTCAATTATTACATAAAAATTTAAGAGAGAACAAAACAAAAGCTAATTCAATTTCAAGTAGCAAAAAAACACCACAGATTTACTAAGAAAGCAAGATCGGCTGAAATTAAAGTATCATTGACCAAGAACAAAAAAAAAAAAAAAAAAACCCCAGAAGGTTTCTCACCAGTGAGAGGGAGATTTACACTTCCGAAAACACTAAGCTAACATCTTCAAAAAGACTCAGTTTTTTTCTCGATGAAAAACAGAAAAAAGCAAAATTTACTTTCTTTGCCTTAGTTTTGGATTGTTCAACTGAGTTTTGTGGAGAGAAAGAGAAGAAGAAGACGAATCATCGGTTTTTTTTTTGCAGAGTTTTTGTTCTCTCTTCGAATGGCGTAAGAGAAAAGTTTTGCTTTTTTTGTTTGTTTCTTTATTCTCTTTTTTCTTTTTAATTAATTAATTTACTAGATTCGGATCCGCGCTACAACGCAGGGGAAAATTACCGGATTTTTAATCCTTTGTACGTTGCGAGATAATTTATTTGTGTTTGCTTTACTTTATTTTGATTATTAATTAAATTCTATCATTTTTAGATTGTATTTTTTGTGTTGGTTTCAAATATGTTCAAAATTATTTAAATTGTATGATTTTAGTTGGATTGTTAATTTTAGAACAATATGTGACATATATATATGTATAAATATTATACTATGAATCATTTTTAAAGTTTAGGGATTGACCCGCGGTACACCGCATAATCATAAATACATGATTTTAACTTGGACCTTTCATGCAGTTTTGTAAAATTGCAAATCTCTAGAATAAACAAATAAAGAGCCAATGATTTCTTATTTCTTATCGTGTTAAAATGTAAAATCTGTGTTTATGTTACAATTTTCTGGTAGCAGAAACTTATTTATATAGATAATATTTTCTTAGAGTTAGGTTAGCGTTGAAAAAAAGATTAGCTTTATCATCAAGCCAGAAATTCGAAACTATTGCCAAATAAATATATTAAAGATGGTTAAAAATGAATTATCCCGTAATTGTTGTGAAGATCATAGTTAATATAGGAGAAAACTATACATCTAAATATTAATATAAGATATTTAAGGAACATTTTGTTTTGAAATATTATGGATAATTTGATAAATATTTTATATTTAATTCATATTTCTGATTTTTAGGTTAATTTGTTAAACCAATATACAAAATCATACATTAATGTATTTTTTCTTAAACAAATTAAGATTAATGTACTTTCCAAAACCGATATTGATGGTTTAATTTGTTAGATTTCGAAATAATATATATGGAAACTGGTATTTAATATCTTTAAATTTTTAGTAAGATACAATTGAAAAATTTCGGGTTAATTTTTTAAAAAAACCCGACCCAAAAAACTTTTGTACTTCTCTTTTACTATAGTAGGGATTGATTTTTCTCTGGGTTTTTTGGCTTCACTTTGCTGTCATTCTCGTACTGTGTTGTAAGTTTTACATTTTTCCACAATGAAATAATTTACTTTCACATTATTAAATCAACAAGTCTTTTAATTTTAAAATATATAGTAAGGAATTTGCATATGAAATATGATTGAACCTGAAATTGAATTGGATTAGACTCTGACCATGAAGAATTATAGCTTAAGAAATCAAAGTTAGCACATGGACCTTGTCTCCTCTTCTCTCTATAGAGAAAACAAAAAAGCTGTAACAACTTATAAAAAAAAATTCTTTTTCTGACTTTCAACATCCAATAGTTATATTCCTTTGAATAAAGATAAGCAAAAAAAAAAAAAGGAAGTACAAAAAAAATGAGAAATTTTAAAATAATTATATTTTGCTGCAATAGAAGACACTCAAGGACAGTTGTGGCAGCAACAAGTTTGAAAATGGAGACAGCAATCATTAGCTTAATTATTTTAAAACTTAATTCAAATGGGAAACAACATGGTGGTGGACTAATTAAGCTTTATCAGCACAGTTTGTGGTGGTGGCCTCTGAAGAAACACTATTTAACAGAGGACATAAACACAACTTATGTGGATTATGATAATTAGACTACTCTCTAATTTAGTAATATCATTTTCTGCTTTTCTTTTGGCAGTATATGGGCCTACTAAGACAAACCAATGCGGCCCAATATCAATTAGATGGGGTACACAGATAGATATTCTCTGACTCGGCGGCTTATATTATTGATTTCATCTAATTTGCTAATTACAAAAACCATAAACAAATTTTGTTGTATGAAATAGCGACAAGTTAACAACTGAATCACTAACTATTAGTATAAAGTTTTTAAACGGTTTGTAACATATTTTAACTAAGTGGTGTCGGTAGTTCAATTTTATTTCAAATTAATTTGGCAATACATTATTTACGAAAGGTCATGTATGGTTTGGCTTGATCCACACCTTCCAGGCTTCTACCAGATGATTAAACAAAGATAGGATAATACAATTTGAAATATTCTATCTGATAATGTACATACATTACATACACAATCAATAAAATCAGGATTCCGATTCTCTCTAATGTAATCTTTTTTCTCTATTGATTTTAAGTCCATTAGTTTATGAATTGACTTCCCAAATCAGCACCGAAAGAGAACAAGCCGGCAAATCTTCTATATAAACCAAATCAAAGACAAAAACATTTATCTCATCAAACATCATACTGTATATTATAAGATATAGTTTTCTATTATACTAATTTATGGCTACTACCAAACTAGCCATGAAGCTCGTTTACATTCTCCTAATCCTATTCACCTTCACCGTATCTCCAGCGATCTCAACGGCCCCGGAAGGTTGTGGAAGCGGCTCGGACAATCCGTGCGTCGATAAGGCTAAGGCATTTCCACTCAAAATCGTTGCCATTGTAGCCATCCTTACGACCAGCTTGATAGGTGTAACGTCTCCTCTTTTCAGCAATTCCATTTCGTTCCTCCGTCCTGATGGAAATGGTTTCATGATCGTGAAATGTTTTTCTTCGGGAATCATCCTTGGAACCGGTTTCATGCATGTCTTGCCTGACTCTTTCGAGATGTTGTCATCGGAATGTCTTAGCCATAATCCGTGGCATAGGTTTCCTTTCGCGGGATTTGTCGCTATGTTGTCCGGTCTAGTCACTCTAGCCATTGACTCCATTACCACTAGCCTTTATACCAGTAAGAGCTCAGTCGGACCAGCGCCTGAGGTGTACACCTATGACATTGATCAAGAGAAGGGGACTCACAATGTAGGTCACAATCACAGTCACGGTCATGGTGTAATGCTAGCCACTAAAGATGATGGACAGCTTTTGCGGTACCGTGTCATTGCCATGGTTAGTACATTTCAAAATAATATGAAACGGTCTTGAATACAACGAAGCATTTTATTACAAAGCATATACTGATTTATATAATTTTATATTTAAACTATTTTTGAATTATCATGATCGTAGGTATTGGAGCTTGGGATTTTATTTCATTCCGTAGTCATTGGGCTATCTCTAGGAGCAACAAATGATGCATGTACCATTAAAGGGCTCATCATAGCTCTGTGCTTTCATCACTTGTTCGAAGGCATTGGTCTCGGTGGCTGCATTCTCCAGGTACTAATTAGATATAAATTCATAATACATAGTTTCTATCTATCTTATATATATATCACTTGGAAATTCTATGTAAAACAGGCAGATTTTGCAAATGTGAAGAAGATCTTGATGGCATTATTTTTTGCCGGAACAACACCTTGTGGTATCATTCTCGGAATTGCGTTGTCAAGTATCTATAGTGGTAACAGTCCAACCGCGTTGATTACGATTGGACTGTTAAATGCTTGCTCGGCCGGAATGCTCATCTACATGGCCCTCGTCGACCTTCTAGCTACGGAGTTCATGGGATCAATGCTCCAAGGCAGCGTCAAACTTCAGATCAAGTGCTTCATGGCGGCTTTGCTCGGCTGCGCCGTAATGTCGATCGTTGCCTTGTGGGCTTAAACACTCTTTCAACACAATTAATGATATTTTAATTTGTTATTCAAGGCGACAAATTCTTTCGTCTTTGTACATTTGAAAAGTTTTTTTTATTTATGGCTGATTCATTTTTTAATTTGTATATTGAGATGTTCACATGGCAATATGATGTTGTAACATTATTAATAAGAATGTGATGTTTACTTTCTTCTTTGGAATGACAGTTATTTAATTATTGGAAATGTTCGTTATAAAAGAGAATAATTAAGTCTGAGACTATACTCTGACACGGATATGTCAATTTTTCAAATTACACTAATCTTGTTCTTCTTGTATAGAAAAATTACTCTATCTTACAATGGTTAGATTTAGAATTCAAGATATTGTATGACAGCTACCAATATTTAACGATGAGAACAGAACCAACAATGAAGATATTTTCATTTTTGAAACAATGAATATATAGTGTGGACACATCAAAGAATGAGGACATATTAAAGAATTTTGAATAGTCCTCAAGTTTACTAATGAGGTTTATTAATATAGATTTAGCATACCCGCTGTCGAAACATACACACTTCTTCTATCCTCAGGTTTTGAATGTTTCTATTTAGAATAATGTTTTACCATTTTCTTTGTCTGTTTTTGTTTACTTGCGCAATTTTTTTTTTTTTAACGAAGTTTAGAAGCGAGCCAAATTAAATAGAGATGTTTCCCTAATATGGGAAAATCTTCCCAAGTTGGTTTTATTTTATGTATTGAAAAGGTTAGAAATCGACATATAAGCATTTTGTCACGTCGGTGGAGTAAGAGTTTGGCACGTTTTGCTTCGTGCTCGTCCAAACCATATGAAAACGTGTGAACTAAACCACACAAATTAGTAATATTGTGAATTCCAATTTGATGCATATTAATTCTTAATTCATTCTTTAAAAATATAAAATTAAAAGTGGAAAATTGTAACCGAAGTTGACTAGCTATGAGGCATGCCACGGAATATTGGGTACATACTCGGCATGGACAGTATCGAATATACCGGATAATATAAATAATTGTCTATTTCTATGTTTTCTATGTCAAAATATTATTTCTTTGATTCTGATGATTACTTTCATGACAATAATCTACCTGATTATGTATTTATACCTTCTATATAACAATGCAAATAATATTCTTTCGAAAAAAAAAGAATCTTATATTACATGAAAATATGTATACACTATATACGAGTTAACATTGAATTAACTTTATCCATGTACTAAAAGGATAACTAAATTACTAATAACCATAAAACCCTAAGTCAATAGTCCCATATATAATCTTATTATTTTATGTGTGTAGTATTTTGAAAACTATGTAATTAAAGTTACGAGAGAAAATCAAGTATTATAACTCAATTGATAAAATAATTTAGCAAAAGCTTATAGTTCGTCGCTTCGAATAGGTTTTTAAGACAAGATACGTGGTGTGTGTTGGGTGACTGGATTGCAAAAACCATACACTGAGCACGAGCTCGTCACGTGTGATGTTGTGCTCGGCTGCTCATAGCAATGCTATTAAGTATTAACCTAACTAAACTTAAAAAGTTAAAATAGTACTTAGCAAGATTTAAAGTAAACGTTTGTGAGAGTTGACTAAATACAGAACTATTGAAGACGCATGGGGTTGACTTCGACCGCTCCACAAACAGCATGAACAATGCATTTAAACGATAGTATTCATCTTTTAATGTTGGGGGACAAATATAAACTATATGTAACAAACAAACAAAAAACCCCGAATAATTGAGAATATGGTTACATCAGCGCAGTAGACAATTCCATGCACGTGTACTCATCCGCTAAAGCCAAAACTCCCAAATTCCATCCAACGTAATATGAAAAATTGAAAATACTTAAAACAAACTACCAGGGCCGGTCCTAGCCGATATGTGACTTAAAGCATATTAAAAAAATGAGGCCTTTCTATATAAACATTAAAGATAAAAAGATCAGTATTAAACACTCAAAATATGACTAAAAATTATTAAATATAGTCGATGAAAAAAATCACTAAAAATTGTTACAAAATAAAACGATCTAGTTTACTTTGCTAAACAAAATTCAACCTTTCTAACTTTCTTTTCAGCAAATTCATTGATCAGCTTCTCATAGTTGAGATTTTCAACCATATTCCTCTCGATTGACATCATTGCTAATCCATTCAATCTGTCAACGATGGTACTCTCTATTTGTCGAAGAGATTAGTTTACCTTTCTTCCTTTTTTCCTCTAAATTATTGTTATAGTTAGATTTGTGTTAGTTTAATACTTAGCAAATAAAATCTTTATGTTAAAGTAAATGAAATTGCCGTGTAAAAAAAAGGTATGGAGATAATTTAGAAATGGATAGCTATGAAAAGATATTAACTTGAAAAGAAAAAATAAATTATATGTCTTTGATGAGATTTGAACACTAGACTTGCAAAACTAGCTCACCACTCAAAGTTTCAAACCACTAGACCAACATCATGTTTTTATAAGTGTGACCTTAATTTTTTTATATAAAATGTGGCCTAAAACAACTGCTTTAGTTGCCTTACCAAAGGGCCGGCCCTGCAAACTACCATTGCAACAAAAAAAAAAAAAAACTATATAAATATATTTATATACCTTATCAAATTTCGCTCATATAAAATCTCTAAATTTAGATGTTAAAAAAGAAAAAGAAAAAAAAATCTCTAAATTCCATGAAATTAGGTGAATTAATATAATTTAGGTGATTTTCATAATTCTCCAATTTATTTTTCTCGTTTCACACCTGAAGCAAACGAGTAATCAATTGCTTATCTTCCATCATCGAGAATAAATGGCATGGAAACAACCGGCACACATTACTATATAAACCGACTCATCTAGTAACTCCAAAGTCACACAAACAATATTTAACAATCTAACCATACAAAACTCCAAAAGAACAAAAAGAGAAAACAAAAATGGCTTCAACTTCAACACTTCTCATGAAAACAATCTTCCTCGTACTCATCTTTGTCTCTTTCGCAATCTCTCCAGCAACTTCAACTGCCCCGGAAGAATGTGGAAGCGAGTCAGCGAACCCGTGCGTCAACAAAGCTAAGGCTTTGCCTCTCAAAATCATAGCAATCGTAACTATCCTCATTGCAAGCATGATTGGTGTTGGAGCTCCTCTCTTTAGCCGTAACGTTTCGTTCCTCCAACCAGACGGCAATATCTTCACTATCATTAAGTGTTTCGCCTCAGGGATTATCCTCGGAACCGGTTTTATGCACGTTCTTCCTGATTCTTTCGAAATGTTGTCATCTATATGTCTTGAAGAGAACCCGTGGCATAAGTTTCCTTTCTCCGGATTTCTCGCTATGTTGTCGGGTTTAATCACTCTAGCCATCGACTCCATGGCCACGAGCCTCTACACAAGCAAGAACGCCGTTGGGATCGTTCCCCATGGCCATGGCCACGGTCCCGCAAATGATATCACCCTACCAGTTAAAGAAGATGATACCGCAAATGCACAACTCTTGCGATACCGAGTCATTGCCATGGTTAGTACATACATACATGGAAATTAATTGACCATATATCAGTTTAAATGACATATCATTGTATTTAATATTTATGGATATATAGGTGTTGGAACTTGGGATCATAGTTCACTCGGTGGTCATAGGACTATCTCTAGGAGCAACTAGTGACACTTGCACCATAAAAGGACTCATCGCAGCTCTTTGCTTCCATCAAATGTTTGAAGGCATGGGTCTTGGCGGTTGCATCCTCCAGGTTAATAGAAATATCTATGAAAAATTTTACTTTTCGTCAAATGTTAATATATATACAAACATCTAATGTTAAAGATCATTTTCAGGCTGAGTACACGAATATGAAAAAGTTTGTTATGGCATTCTTTTTCGCGGTGACAACACCATTCGGAATAGCGTTAGGGATCGCTCTATCAACAGTTTACCAAGATAATAGTCCAAAAGCTTTGATCACTGTTGGACTTCTCAACGCATGCTCCGCTGGATTGCTCATTTACATGGCGCTTGTTGATCTTTTAGCTGCTGAGTTCATGGGACCTAAGCTTCAAGGTAGCATCAAAATGCAGTTCAAGTGTTTAGTTGCGGCTCTTCTCGGGTGCGGTGGAATGTCTATTATCGCCAAATGGGCTTAGATAATTGAAATCATGTGGATGTCATTGTCGAACCAAAAACCGTTTTAGGTTTATGTCTCGATTCTCTATCGGTTTTTTTTTATTTTTCCCCCCTTACAAAGACTTGTGTCATTGCGTGGATCTATCACACTTTAAAGAACATGTCTTTTGGTAGATATGTAAATGTGATAGGTCATGCGTATCATAGTTTTCTTACCTTCCTTTTCTTTTGTCAAGGTGATTATAGTTCATATCGTGTAATGTTTTCGTATCACATATATAAAAATAAATAACACTTTTTGTTGTTTTCAAGCTAAGTATTTAAAAAAAAAAAAAAATTTACTATGTAATCTACATATCTGGTAAAGCTACATGCCAATAATTGGAACATTAGTCATAATCACATATAGTATATGCCAGTATTGGTCCATATTGTCAATCACTTGCATTGCGCACCATACTGCTTAAATTCTCAATTTTATTTATGTGTATTATTATTACTAAGGTGTGGTTGATTCTGCAAGTTGATTTTAGTATTTAACTTTAAGAAAATGTGTTCGAAGTTCGAACCGTGCTCTGTCGATAATTCAATATTTCTAACCAGTTTAGCCAAATTCCAATTATTATATATGTATGCTCCTCATTGGAAATCAAGTCAAAAGTTTAAACAAACAAAGGACATATATATACGCCTATCGGCCCATTTATGAAGTCGGCCCATTGTTGATCAACTAGCTCCCTCTTGAACTAATTTCTGTAATAACCCTACCAGAGTTATCATGTAGGCACTCTCGTTACTTAATTATCCAAATCCAAGTAAAAACATATATTTGTAAAAAACCAAACTATAAATTTCATTTGTTTCTATTCGAAATTTTTCATTGGAAAAAGAAAAAAAAAAAAAAAAAAAAGATATTAGATAGAGACATGGTATGGTATGGTTTCTTGGACGCGTGCATCATCGTAACACGTGAATCCACCACATCGTCGTCGTCTATATTCATAGTTTTGCGTACTTAAGAAAATATTTGGATATAGCATCCAAACTTTATGAAGTTTTTTTCCTTTTGTCTATACATGCAACGCACATGATATGTATCAGTATGACTGTATGACCCAAATCTGAGATACTTATTGCACGACAACTATAATGACCATGCAATATAACTTAGTCGAGTGGAGAAATATGATTTCTTTTTTGTTCATACATACATGGTTGTGGGCGGTTGGAAAACACACGTAAGGTACTTCTGTTTTCAAAGCTCTCACGAGAGTTCGAATGTCATGTAATAATAATTATATATAACATACTTCCAAATTAACGTACAACCAAAGAAAAAAGACAATACTGCCAACTTATCTGTAAAAAGTAGGACTCTCCTTTCATTACATATCTATTTATTCGTTCAAAAATAGTGGAGCGTGAGGAATGGCCAAGAAATAAGAAAACCAACGATTTTGGAAGAATATATTACCCTTCACTTTACATGTCTTGTCTTCAGATTCTCTTATCTAACTCTTCAGTTATTCTGTCTTTTAAACAAGTTTGGGTCTTTGATTCTCATATTTGAAATTCGAAATCGCCATGAATATATATATATATATATATATATATATATATATATATATATATATTAACCAACAGTTTTGGGTCTTGGAATTTTGTCGCTTTAAAGATTTGTTTGTTGTTGTAGTCACAAGTTAATTTAATATAAGTTTGGTTGCAAAAAAAAATAAAATAAAATAAACTAGAACTTCTGTACAAACATACTAACAATTTACAAACTGTTATCAACATATCTTAGATAGATTAGGCAAACTTATGCCAACTGTTAACAGTAATACACAATATGTGAAAAAATATCAGAATCAGCTCATTCAAAAAGTTGGCCGGACGTAGATAGGCTCGTGGTCATGGAATCAGTGGATAGAGTGCTAGACCCGATAACATAGCCATAAATTCCCTAAAGAAAAACTTGTGCCACCACTAATTTTCGTTTTGATCTTCTTGGAAATAAACGGTAGATTAACAAATTTTAGTTCAACTGATCCATAACAATGCTACGGGTCTAGTCACTCTAGCCATTAGCTCCATGGCTACGAAAAGTAAGTTGACAACTTTCCGAGTACGAATACGATCATATTGGATACTCGTTTTACCTGATTCTTTTGATGTGCTGTTGTCATGTGATTTGTAATATGGATCCTCTATAACTAATATCGATGTCGTAAAATAAAATATAAACCTTATTAGGTTAAAGTCATGATTTTCTATCGATTCACAAAAAGACTTGCGTGCTTATCATGGTTGGATGGATGATTGCTTCCTCTTGTCTTTCTAGTTTTTATCTTATCACATTATGGTGGGATTTTTTTCTTCCATATCTCAAAACTTTAGTACTAACAATTAAGAAATATAAAGCCTAATATAGATGGGGTGTATATATAGAAGAAGTTTTCGAACAGCCCATTTGAGAAGTCGGCCTTTTTACAGTTTCACTACTTCTAGTAAATTTTGTTGTGTGTTATTATTCGGATGATCGGATCTTCTGATTTATGCTAAGCTTGGAATTGGTACTATCGATTTGAGATATAAAGAGTCTCATTAAGAAGTAGAGTCAATCCTTGCTCAAAATCTCTGCAAATGTAGAATCATGCTAAATATTTAGTGATAATTTTGAATATAGAGAAATTGTATAAAATATGATATTAATGTTTAATATCTAATTTTTAAATATCACAATCACTTTATTTTATTTTCAATATATGCTAAGAAAGTGGTGTTTTACCCAAAACAAAACGTGTGATGTTCAAAGGTCCTTGTGTTGTATGTTTGATATTATTCTAAAACAAACGATAATTATCCTTTAGAATACAAGATATTTCATTTAAGATCTATAAATTATAAAACTCTGAAAAAACTATATAGTTGATTTTAATAGTCCCCTCAAATAATGTCACCATGTTTTTTTTCTGATTCACCTTAAATAATTAGAGATTTATTCACCTTTTAACATAAAAGCAAAAAAAAACAAACTGACAATCCAAATACATAAATGATTTGTAAAACTAAATTTATTTGACGAATCTCTAGTTAGTTAACAATATTTTTGTAACAATCTCTTAACTATTATTTTCTTATAAAATCTAAAATGTCAAATTTTTTCCAACTTGTCCAAACTAGTATAAACAAATAAAAAAGATAGGGTTAGGTGAATATGACATAGAATTTTGAGGTGAGGGTAATAATAAGTAACTATGTAGTATGTACATGTAGGGGCATGGCCAAAATCAAGAAAGCAAGTATGGGAAAGAAACGAAGAAGACATGGAAAATTGTGTTTTCAACTCTCTCTTTAAAATAATTACTACTCTACTGTACGAATCAATCTCAGAGTCGTACCATATTCATTTTGGGCACTATTTTTGTACTCTACGTGCTATTATAATCCCAAAAATTTTAATTGATGATTCCTAAATTCGAAGAGAGAAATTAATAGACTAAATTATTGGATAGAGACATGGTAACGTTTCTTGGACGCAATCATCGTAACTCGTGAATTCATTCACACATCGTATTCATCGTTTTCTAATTTTAGTGGGGGGTATTGTATTTTTTTTTTTTTTCTAGACATGCACTGCACATGATATGATCCGAATTTGAAATATTTATTACACGACAACTATAATGACTATGAACTGAAAATGTCGTTGAGGCAATCGAATTCAGACTCTTTCTTTAATTTTTTCTTTTGCTTATTTTTTTAAGTTTCGATAGCGAAGTATTATTATGATTCTTCTGGTTTTTATTTTTATTTGCGGTGTTGGAAAGATAAAAAGGAGGATACTGCCAAATTACAATAGTATAATATCTATAGATCAATATATATCGGACACATTCTAAAAAGTCTATAGCTAAAAAAAGGAGTTGGATAATTCAAAAACTCATGTGATCAACTTTGAGAATAAGCAACTAAACAACGGTGCAACTTCAAAAGAACTTTCGAATAATTTACTTTTCAAAACAATTTTCGAATCTTGAAAAATTCATTCATAAACCTTTTTTTCTTTCTTTCTTCTTTTCCCATATATAACGAGAGGACGAGCGTTTAAATTCTCTTCGACTAAAACTATTTCGTGTGTTTTTCGCAATTTCCAGTTTCGGATTCCATTGAAGTCGTACGAAAAATTAAGAATAAACCACTTAATTACGAAAAAGAAAAGAATTAATTTGCTATTTCTTTGCGACTTTAAAAATCCTAGGAAAATATAACTACAATATAAATTAAATTGTAACGAACGGGAAAAAGAAATAAAGAAGATGGTCAAGAAGACGACATGTTTACATGCACACTAGCGTTCATGACCGAATCACAAACCGGACAAGTTCGTAACAAAGCCGAACCACCACAAACCGTACACAAACACAAATGACGACAAGGTAACACCAACACACTCGCTTCTCTCTCACCGCACCGTTTACAACCTCCACTAACCGCCGTAACCGCTTCACCACCACCAACACCAACACAACCGCCGCCACCATCACCGCAACTTCCACAACTCGACTCCGCGTCGTCTTCTACAGTGGGTGAAGCGGTTGGAAACGTTTCGAGTTGAGCAAGAACATGGTCTAGGTTTGTCCGAAGATTATTAGCGTTTGCTTCGTTGGTCTGAGCGATATCACGCCAAATCTGGTTTTCAACGTAGAGACTCTTGACACGCTCTTGTAAAACCCAATTGAGGTTCCTAATCCTCACGATTTCGTCGTCTTTCTCTTTCAGTTTCTTGGCTATAGCGTTTTGAACCGCAGACGCAAACATCCGCGTTTGCGTTTGTTGCCTAGCTTCAATCTCTATTCTTAGCTTCTCCGTTTGCTGAGCTACGAACCTATCGATCTCCGTTTGTTGTTGGTTTTGGATCTGAGATACGAACTCAGCGTTTATCAACGACGGTGGAGACGAGTCAAACGCTGCTACGGACCTCCGTTTAACCGCAGGCGCGAACTGAGCGTTTGAGTCGTGATATTGAAACTCTCGCGGCCGTTTTGTAGACGTTGGAGGGACAGTAGTGAAGTTGTAAGAAGTGAGAGGAGTTTCTGATTTGATGATGAAGTTAGGTTTTGCAGCGGTGAGACAGTCTCCGGTCATTACCGGAACTTCTCCGCCGGCGAGATTAAACTCGCCGTGATGATTCATGTTTTGTTGGAATTTAACACAATCTCTGCAAATAACACCGAAGAAAAGAATGATTACCAAAGAAAAAGGTTACAGAAAAATTTGTTTTCGAGGAAGATAAAGATTTTGATTTACCTGTTTGGTGATATTAACTGAGAGAAAATGTTGGAGTGATGAGCGTCAACAGCCATTGTTGTTGTTCAAAGAGCTCCGAGAGATTCTGAAAACAAAGAGAGGGAGAGAGAGAGAGAGAGAGGAAGAAGAGGGAGGAGGAGTTGTGGCGACTGGTGAAGAAATCTATGGGATTGGCTTTTATTTAAGGGGAGAGAAAAAGTCAATATTTTCAATTTTATTTTTTTCTATAAATACACATTTATTGTTTTTTGCTTTGAATAATTATCAAGTCAAATATAATAGTGATTTTTATGGTTATGATTACCATATTTGCTTAGAAATTTTAAAGTCTTAATAAACTAAATGTTAATAAATTTAATTTTTATGGGAAAAAGACAATATTATGAGCTTGAATAGAATTAAAAATATATAGAAATAAAGCTAAAATACATTTGATTTTTGATTTATTTTTTCTACCATATACTATGTACTATCTTTCTTGAATTTCGCAATATTGGGCATGTAAAAAGTAACTTTTGAAAAAATATTTATTTCTATTTAATTGATGCACCCCCTCATGTATGTTTCCTTAGCAACAGCCACATAAACGTATGTAACAGTGAGCTTGACTAGTCAAAGCACCATTATAAAATTAAATAATAGTATATATTTATAATATTTTCCAATATTTATATAATATATATATATATGATATATACAATCTAGTAGGAGTACATTTTTATCAACAACAAATCCATGAGGTTGGTTTGAATTTGGGTAATAAATGCCACAATATTTTGTATTTATTTTAAGAAATCAAAAATTGAAAATAATAAAGCTGTATTTCCTATATAAAAAAAATTACATTTGTAAAAGCTGTTTTTCATTTAGTACAGTGTATTGTGCTTGCATAAATTCCAAATTAAACTCTCTTTTTAGTCAAACCATATCTAATCTTATTAATTTTGCTTTTTATTGTAATAACTGTAATAAATATCAAAGGATATCAAACATGCATATTCTTTTATCTTTCAGTTATTTTCATATTTATTTCAAAATTTTAAAACCATCCCCATGAAATAACTTTTAATTACTTTTACCATGAATTCATGATCAAGTTAAAGTTACATGTGGCAAAACCTCCTGTTTTATGTTTGCCATGTCATGTTCCACCGTGGCACATTAGAGACCACTACTATATTACTTTTACTTCTTTTTTTTACATCATTTAGCGGTGATTAAATACTTAATGATAAGGGCACGAAACAATTTACAAATTAATATCTTTTTTTTGTGTGTGTGTGTGTGGTAAGAATAGTAAAAAAGAAAAAAGAAAAAAGAGGATGTGTAAAGTTGCACGTGCGAAACGTGTGGGGCCATGATGTGAAGATTGAGGCCACGTACAAGTGGGACCAAGAGAACCTTTTTGTTTTTTTTTTTTTTAATTGTAATAACAAAAAGAAAAAAGATTTATTATAAATAGTAATAATTTGTTGTTTCGGTACCACCAATTTTGTTTGCTTCTTGACTTGTCGTCTCGTCGCTTTTAAAATTATTAGTTTCTTTCTTCCCTTATTATTATTTAATTAAAGAAATAATAAAAAATGGGGGAATGATTCGATAATGTTTATATAGTACGGACAAGTAGGTCTTGTCATAAAACTAGTGAGAGTGATTTCTTCGGTTGTAGGACAGGTCGACCACACGCTTTATTAACCCCAAAATAAAAAAATAAAAAATAAAAGTATTTTCCTTATTTTCATCTGTTTTATTTTTAAGTCGTTAATGTTCTTCTTTTTTTAATATCCACTAAACGTTATCTTGATGCGAATCTGATGTTTTTTTTTCATACCTTCTTTTCATGCATCATCAATATTCATGTTTTGTCGATAAGTTATTTGTCGAAATATATTGGTGACAATAATGTTCGCACACATTACATAATTCATGACAAACGATCGCATTTTCATCTACCAAGGATTGTGTACCCAACGCTTTACCTATCTATGTTTGAATCAACAATGAATTTTATAAGTGGTAATAGTTTTTGTACAATATGGGGTTATTAGGAAAAAAAAAGAAGTACAAAATTATATGAACATAACACGATTGTTGAGGTCCCTTGAGGATAAGCCAAACTCGTAGAAAAAGACATCTTCGGTTGTCTTTTCTTTCTCAACTTCATTTTTGTATTTTATATCTTTGTCGACATATTCGTTTGTCTATATATATAATTATTTCTCGATTTTTGCTCAAATGTCAGCAACTACGCCTAACATCATCATGCATACTAAACCCCTTGTTCAGAGCTTTTTATCATTTTTTTAAAAACAAGACTTATTTGTCCCATTATACGTTTTCGTTTTCATTTTCAGTTTATATTCTATATGTGTTTGATTTGTAATATTAAATATTGATTTTATTGAGTTAGACAAACGAACGAGCTTAGATAGATGCGGACGTATGTGCAGAATTCTTGTTTCGAAGGAAACGTGACATGATGAAAAAAAATTATTTATACATTAAATAATCAACTAGTGTGAATTGAATTTTAATCTTAGTATATATAGTCGTCAAACGCATAACATATACATTGATTCTTTCAATTTTATTTCTCAACTATTTTATTTATTGTTTAGTTATTAGCGTTAGAGTTTATGAACCAAAATTAATAAGCAATCATTTTTTTTTACAATTAAAAACTACAAACCATTTTCCCATAGATAATGGAATTTGATATATGATTTTGACAACTTGAAAGTTATAAACCCATTCGAACAAAATTATTCAAAGACCAAAGAAAACTAGAATAGACCAATTTTTTTCTTTTCCCTGCTTAAATTATATTGTCCCTTTTACACTTTAATCCTATTCATTTTTTTTTTTTTGTTTTGTTTTATATGCTATGTGTTACGTATACTTTCTCTTTAATAACAGATAACGACATTTATATATATATGCATTCATATTACATAAAAGACAAGGAAAAAAATGTAGAAAGAAAGTGGAAGGAACGACATAGATATATAAACTTTTGAAAAACTCGAATTGGTCCATCCTTATCAGCAACAACTACTAGTAGGTGTCAATCAGATTGATCCACCCAGGCTCGGTCAATCACGGGTTTAACGGATGACACATTAATTAGGTCAATTCGGTTTTCGAACTTATTCACGGGTCAGTTGTTTTTTTCTTTCTTTCTTTTCTTTTGTATAAATAATTTTTTCATTAATCTGATTCTAATTTGAGGGTTAGTCTGAATCTGATTGCATGATTTGTGGGTTTTAAAAATATTAATACGGTTTTAGGATGGATAATTACATCATATCCGATTAAATAGATGCAACTTTTTTATTCACATGTATGTTTATCAACAAATATAAACACCTTTATATAGCTTAAATTGTGAAAATCTAAGCTATGGATAAAATTATATAATCCTAATCCGTATCGGGTTGGCTTCTAAATATATTTCTTACTCGTACTAACATTTAACACCAAAAGTCTATTACATAAATTAGTAGGTCGTTATTGACCATTAGAGAAGTGAAAATAAAATGCTTAATTAATAAAAAATACAGGAATACTGAATATAATACAAATATTATAGGATGTCTTTTTTCCAACAATAATATTAGAGAATATATATGAACAGTAGATCCACACTCAATAGGTTGTCTGAGACTTCCTAGCATTGGTGATAGATTCCCTAAAGCATGCTTTTTTCTGTATCACACAAGTTAGATGTTCTTAAATTGATATACGCATATTAATATATTCGAAAGCAGAATTGATAATTTGATTTTGCAAAAAAGTGGCAGTATTCTAAGGGCATTTCGATTCGCTGAAACGTCAACATATGAGTTATGACTTTATTTTGGTGGTGGACTTTAGTTTGGTTTATACATTATACGGCAGGAAAAGAAAACTTCTTTATATTGTGCCTACGGGGAGATGTGAAATTTGAGGTTTTTGAAAAGACATTTCATAGACGTAACAACCGGACTAAAGCAACGTGTAAGTTAAGATAACACGAAGATAGATAAAGATGAGACTACTTAATAAAAACAAATGAGTGTAGGATGACCTATTGTAATCTATAATTTCAAAGTGAAATGTTAATCTATGACGAAACAAAATTAAAAATTTAAAAAGGTTTATCTAACAAGTGTATCATAACAATTAGGTGGTGATCTAGACTTGGGAATTGATAATTATATTGATCATGATGTAAGATAAGATATAGTAAATTAATTAGTGCTTGCTAAGTTGGAGAAGGGATGGCATATTAGGTGAAGATTTTTGTGTACTTTTAGAAACACATGCAAAAGCTTAAAAATAATTAGTGGAGACTGATCAGAACCTACGGCTAGTTTGTCTGTATTATGATAATGACATTATACACTTTTGTTAAGCATTTATTCAAAAAGTCCTATAAATGCTTAATCATGTGACCAGTTTGTAGATTACTTTTTTATTTCTTAATTATAAATCTATGACTGTGTTTACCAGCAAATAAACATATATAATCTATATATATCATATGTTATAAATATCAGTTTACGTGATCTAGTGATGTAGTGAAAACCGTATAAACATATACAAATATACAATATGCATCGTGGAACCCATTCAAACTAAACGTCTCACCCATTTACTTGTTATGAAACTTAATGGTGCGAAGCATCGCAAAAAGGTTACAAAAGGATTCAAGAATGGTGGACTACACTCTTAGACAGCGAATAAAAGAAAAGTCACTTTGCCTTTCAACCTGATTTTCAAGTGATCTTTATTTATTATATAATTTAAAAAAGTATAGGGTAAAGGATAATATCAATTTGGCTATTATATTCTCATTCCTTTTAACCTTCCTCCTTCATGTTTGCTTAAGTCATTGGGACAAAAAAAAGAAAAGAAAAAGTGAGATAAAAAGTTAAGCCAACTAATTATAACAAAGTTCACTAACGTAATATTTTATTTGGAGTATCTAATCTGGATTATTTACTTTATCATATTCGGATTTTGGGTTTCCTACTCTCTATATCGTCATAGGAATCTACTCAAATCCAAATTTAGCTCCGGTGTTGTTGATTCACTTCACCTTGGTTCATATTTTTTCCCAACAATTCATGGCGATATAGAACAGCATATAAGTTATCATGCTCGCATATCCACCATTTGAGTCTC